GAAAGGCAAACAAACAGGAATTTGGCCAGCCACGCCAAACAGGCGAATAACAGAGATTCAAATGGGGAATAAATTGTAAGGAAACTAAGGGAATATATACTAGAAAATATTCCCAAAATTAAAAAGCATATTTAATCCCTAAATTTGAAATATTTCCAGGTTTAAAAAGGTCATTTAACCACCAGATTTGACTAGCTTTCGCTCGGTGTTGATTAATACCTCTGCCTTTCATCCTTTCTCTAACTGATTTAACTCGCTCCTATTTGGTCATCCAGCACTGAATCCTGGCAGGGTATTCCTGGCTCATTGTGTAAATGAAATCGCTTGGCTTAATCGCCTCTTTGGCAGATTTAATTTCCACCTCCCCAGCCGAACATAAAGCGAACAAAAGCCTGCGGGGGGAGCAGCAATGTAATCGAGGATCTGAAATTATGCGAGTATTTGGCACTTCGACATTCTGCCTTTCTCTATATAGATATATATATCTGACTGCATTGGTCCAAGTTCATTGTTGTTCCCTTGATGGAAGGCAGTCAGAGAACAAGGGAGATGCCGTAATGCACTCTCGCCTGCTAAATCGGCACAAATGCGACTCATAAAATGCAGGACCACAAATAAGCCAGCGAACGGAGAAGCCACTAATTGCAGCATTAAAGCTCCGTCTGGCCACCGATGAAGCTCCTGGCATCAGGCAGGATCAAAGTCTCAGTTGAAAGAACACCGAGTGTATTTAACTTCCCCACCTGAATATGCTAACCTTTGGCCAGAGATGCTGAGGTTAATGTTACTAGAAAAATGTTACGAAAAATAACTACAAAAATATTATAAATTTAACTTTTATCTTTAAAGATTGAAGATAATTTTCTATACAAAATTGAAAACCAAAAACTTATTTATATTTACTTTCTCCAGCTCTTGAAATATCTCAAAAATATTGCTAGAAACTAGCAGATTTGCCAGCAGTTCCTGTAACTATTTCCAGTCATCCTCCCCCACTCTGTCTCTCTCTCTTTTTAAGCCACGGCTCCCGCCTCTTTCCTGCTGCTGCGGCAACTTAAAGCGGCAAAAAGTGAGCTACGTGCAGATGCCTCACCTGTGATAGAGGTGATTAACAGGATTTGCAGGCAGCAGAGCAACCAATCTGCTACTTGTACAAGGTCCTTGCTATCTATCCCCCTGTCTGTGTGTTTGCAAACATGGCAACTGTAGCTGGCACACATGGCGTATGCGTAACGTGGCTTACAAAATGCAAAACCTGCAAAAACAGAAACAAAACTTAAATTTCTACCAACACATACGACATGTTGTCAACATTCGGAGAACATGGCTCAATCAAATTAATACCCGAAAAACTTTGAAATTGGCAAACTTTTGGCGATTAATTAAAATCGCTTCATGGCATTGATGAAACAATAATAGGAAAAAAGCCAATATTTGACAATTGCCAATAAGCGCCAGACAGAAAGCGCCAGAGCTGCAACACAACAAAAAAAAATGGAAAAAAACAATAACAATAACAAGGCGGACGAAAACAAGGAGCGAGCGCAACAATTAAAACAAATCGAGGGGAGAATTGCAGGCTCTTGTTTTTGCGAATATAAAAACCAGCAGCAGCAGCAGCAGCAGTGGGAACTGGGAACACCCGAAAAAGGATACACACCACGACAAGCATGCAAATTGGTCTTCTCTCTCTCTACCACTTAGTTTTTGTTGTTTTTCTGCCTCCTGGCTGGTGCTGCTGCTGCTGCTACTCTGGCAAGGACCAAGTTTTGTTCGAACAATTGCCGCCGTGCTGGGGAAATTGAATTGAAAACTGAAAGGTCACAAATTTATGCAATATATATCAGCACACACATATGCCATATATATACACCCACCAAATATATGTACTATATAGAGCGGGATATTTTTGTCTGTCTGCCTGTTTTAGTCAGGTGAGCAGCTGAACCTTGTCTGGCCACATTGCAGTTTGATTGCAAAAATGTAATTGAATGGCAACAGCAGCACCAGCAGCAGTCGGCGAACTAGTTGCAACATCACAAAAACGAAGAAAAACTAGTTGCAAAAAAAATATATATATGAAATAATAACAGAGGAAAACAATAATTTGCATAAGGCTAGCAAGCGGTCAAAAACTATGCACAAATATAACACCATAAATTATGAAATTATATTTTCAATAGCCCGGGTCACCTGCTAGTTGTTTATTGTTTTTATTTCCACTTGTCTAGCTTTGAAAAACCTGAACCGTATTTCACAAAAATATCAAAATAAATTGAGGCTAAGCGGCTTCCATAAAGTGCAGAGTCCTGTGACATTTTTATCTTGATTAAAATTCATCTGGGATTTGGAAAAGTTTACTAGTAAAAGCCGGAGAAGATTAAAGACCTAAAAAATCTAGTTCCTCAAGATAGTAATTCTAATAATTAAATAACAAAATCTATGAATGAATATGTTCAGGTTTTTATATGAATTGTTAATTGTTTGATTAAAGCCAGACGAGTTAGAGGTGATAAAAAGAGCATATATACCTACTACTTATAAACAAAGCTCACTATCTGCCAAGAGTCTAAAAGGGTTTATGGCCAAGACAATATTTATTTTCAGATAAAAGCTTTATCCTCTTGGCAGCACAAAAGAACTGAATACTTCCTTAAACCTTAAAATTTTAAATATAATTCTTTCTTCAAACTACTAAACCAACTTTAAAAGACTTTCTAGCACATTAACCTTAAATCCCACCAAAATCACATTTCTAGCTACACTAAAACTAAATAATTAATAAGGTTGTATTAAAAGCTACCTTTTAAAGCATTAAATAATATATATACCTTGCTCTTAGCCAGCTTGACCCAAGAAATCGGCTTATTGGGCAACTTTAAATCACAAGGCAATGGACCGGGCCTAAGACAAAGCCACCTGTAAGCCCCGAAAAACAGATAACAGCCACACCCCAACCTACTGACGGCCGCCACCTGGCTTTCCCAAGAAGACCGAGAAAATCTAGGCCTGCAAAGAAAAAAAAACAAAATAGAAAGGAAAAGGACCAGGGAACAGGGAAAATAATTCAATTCCATAAACACTTGTTCACACAGTTCACGCAGATCACGCGGTCGCCTTCGTAAGCTGCGACTTGGGCGAAACTTCATCAACACAAATTGTGAATTCCATACAAATAGTTTGACAAACTTGCTGGCCTGGCCCCCATGCTCCTTGTCCTGCTCCTGCTCCGGCAAGAATCCAAGGGATCCAAGGGGCAGAGCGAGCGAGATAAATGAAAGAAGTTTTGTGGTAGGCCCGGCAAGCGCATAAAAGAAATCTTATAAATCCAGAGCGGCAACAACACTTGCATATATCCGAGATACTTGCACATATAGCCATATACAAGCACATATAGTACACTGGAAAAATGGGGATGTGAAACATTTGATACAAATTTAAAAGGAAATAAAGTTATGACACTATATATTCTTAATACTTTTCAGTTAAAATAATATACACATTAGAATCTAAATGATATCCATTATTTGGTAGTACATTTTCACCCTTATAAATCTTATAAATAATTTTTCTCAGTGCCATTACAAACCAGATTGAAACAAAAGAACTTGTAGAGCGACTGAGGAAAAGTAGGGAACAGGAAATGGAGCTAGGCACTGTGTGTTCATATCTTAGTTTTTGAGCATTTCCGGGCGCCAACTATTCGGTCACGTACTATATATAGTGGGTGCCTCTAATGAATGTAGCCATACTCGTATATATATGGCAAATATCTTCCATCCATATAGGATGCGCGTGCCGCATATTATCGCCAAAGGTCGCCCAACTATTTTCACTCGGGGCAAACCCTTCGACCAGACCACATAATCAGAGCCATCGCACATCCCCACCAGACATGTCTAAAGTCCTGCTGCCGCAAAACAAAAACTTTTGGCTGCCTTCGAAGGATGGTAACCTCAGGATTGCTAGAGGATTGCAGAGAGGTCGAAGGGAGTCTTGCGAAAACTTTTCATCTTATTTGGGTTCGGTTTGGGCTGCCGTTATTCCATTGATTGTCAACATCCAGCCGGGAATTGAACTTTCCCTTCAACAACTCGACGGCGGCTGTTTAAGTTTTTTCGGTTTCGTCAATCGAAATTTTGTTGAGTTCTTAGTTGAATTAGTGGTCGATTTTAGGGTTTGCAAATACACTAAGCTACAAGGTTAATACTTGTATTTTAAGCTGGAATTTTTACTACCTTGCCTTGCCCGATGATGCAATGTTCTCTAATAGCCACTTGATAAGCGTATTTATTGATTGAATTGTGTTGATATTGCACCTGGCGTTGGCAAGGTGTTCCCCTGAGTATCTTCAAGTTGATAAGACAAAAGCATATACGTCATTGGTAGAGCAATAAATTGGAAAATCGGGGGAACTACCATAAATTAAATTTCATTAATAAAGTTTCGTTCGTTTGTTCTTGAAAATTTTCCAAGAAACGGCAGGCTGGTTATCTTGGCAAACAATACTTTAATTGTTTAAAGAGAATTTATGACTAGAATGAATTGATATTGTTGTGCAAAAATAAGCAACAATAATTAAATTAAATAACTAAAAGATAAGATGGAAGTAGTAAGCGGGCGACCAGGCAAAAAAGTCACTTTAAATTGGTATTATTAAAAGATTTTCTGCAATATTTTCCCTTCTTCCTATTCCTAAGCTTCAGTTTATCCCCCATTGTAATCCCCTTTTTGCGGAATATCTAATCTCGTTTGATAAATATTAATCCACGTACATTGTTTGCCATTTGAATGAGTGTATTTGCATGGCGAAAACCCTCTTGGAACAACGTGGGATATATCCCGCCCAACTGTTGACACTTGGCAGTTTATTGGCCACACAGCACAATTGTTTGACATTTTCCTTCCCCTGAAACCCCCTTGAATACCCCTGAAATCCCCCTTGAAACCCCCCTAAAACCCCCTTCTCATCGCCTCCTATATCCCTTTTGTTTTTGCAGCTGCTCCTGGCCGCCATTCTAGCTGCTCGCTGTTTCGGCAGCGGCTCTTCCAGACGAACGCTCGTCCTGGCCTGCGACGATGCCGAGGCCATGGAGGCGGCATCATCATCGATGGAGGAGGCAACACCGCCACTCGCTGGCAACAATAGATATAGCTTTAGGAGTACGGGCAGTAGAAACAACTACGGCGATTACAACTACAAGTGGGAGCATGGCGGGAATGTCGATGACATTGCGGATAGCAGCAGTAGCAGCAGTAGTGGCAGCACCCAGGACAACGAGGACAACAATGACAATGACAGCTATAACTACAACAAAGCACCGGCCAAATGGCAAAAGCAAAAACTCTACGGAAATCCCATCCACAGCATACACGACTTGCAGCAACAGCAACATCTACGCCAGCAGCAGGAGGAGCAACAGGGACAGCAACAGGGACAGTCACAGGAACAGTTTGATGATGATCCCGTGAATGCTCGCAATGACTTCCGTCTGCAATTGTCCGACTTAAATGAGGCCGTTCCAGGTGTGGGCAGGTTTGTTGTTGCCCAGGACCATGACAGTCCCAACCACTGGCTGGAAACGGAGGAGGAACGAGAGCAGGAGCAGGAGGAGAAGAGGCGAGTGGAGGAGCAATTCCTGCTGGCACGTCGCAGCCGCAGCAGCAGCTACAGTCGAAGAAGGTAAGACCAGGGATGGGAAGTGTATAAATTAATTAAAAATTTATTATTAGTAGAAATATATTTTTAAATATAAGATAAAATTCAAATATATAATAATAAATATATGTATATAAATATATTTTGAGATTTTAAGAGTACCTACAGTACCTACCTCTAGGTACCCCTAGCTCTCCTCATCACTGCCATGGTCATCATTTTGGGCAAGAACAGCAAAATACAAACGAAAATAGGAGAAATTAGCCATATTGAAGGCTACTCCTGCTACTCCTTTCAACTGCATTCATTGAGCTAACATTCCCAGCAAATGTGACCGCCAATGATTGGAGCCGACAATGCGAATGAAGCCATTGCACTCCTCCTACAGAGTTCTATAGAGTCCTGCAGAGTCCTGCAGACTAATCCTTGGGGGTCTCGGGCTCGCTGGTTGCATATCAACTAAATGTCAATGCTGTCATGCCATGACGTAAGCGTGAGCACAAACGTAAGCACTTAAGCTGATTCCTCTCGCCAGTCGACTGAACTCTATCCCCTTTGTCGGAGATCAGGAGGAGCTGCAAGGATCATGTGATTTCTGAGCCGGGGATTAGGTAATCTGCTAGTTGCATTCAGCAAAAATTGGACACAAAACGAGATGGAAACCGAAATATGAGAAGAGGACAATTGGCTTTGGGAGTAAAAACTGGAAATAAGTTGTAGTCTTTGTTTGCTTGAAGGGAAGTTACCCTGGAATGTTAGGGTTTCTTTTAAGATAGCAAGAGCTCCTTGAAGATTTATTTTTAATAAAAATAGAGCTGTCTTAAGACTTGATTTAAACAATTAAAACTAGAAGAGGTTACTCTGGAATGTAAGAGTTATTTCAAATTTAGAAAGAGCTTCCTAAAGACTTGATTTAACCCATTTAAAACTAAAATCTAAAGAGCCCACAGCTTAGTCTCCGCACAAATCGATTTTTAGTTCTCAAAAAAAAAACTGCAGCTTAAAAAAGCCACAACTATTCCCTTGCCGCTGCCACAAAACAGTATTATGGCTAAGACCCCAGTTTTTTCTGTGCTAATTTAAACAACCACTCTCACCTCAACTATTCCATCTGCATTCATTTTCAAAACATTTTCGCAAACTTTGCGACAAAACTATCAAAGCCGTTGTTGCCCTGAAAGAGCGAGAGCTTCCCCGAAATGCCAAAGCTGCCGGCTACCAGGAAGAATAGAGGGTAGTGGGGTTGGGAATGAGCCAGGGAGCTCCGCCGCTGAAAGCATCGACAACGCAAAAGGGGAAATCCGCTGGCAGGCAACGACAGTCGCGTAACGGAGAGCTTTGTGCCGCGCCACAGGCTCAGGACAACGCCATCGCCATAGCCGTCAACAGTGGGGCATCTCCTCATCCTCCTCCTCCTCCTCCTCCTGTTCCTGCTTCAGCTTCAGCTGCAATCCTCAGACAAAGCCGCGCGCCAAAGCGAAAGCTAAAAAATTCATTGGCATTTGCCTGCAGTTGAATGCAAAATGATGCGCTTTTGTTGGCCAGCTGGAAAAATGGCTGAAAGAAGCGGCGGCCATGCAAATAACAAACGTCAAAAACGAATTTATTTTTTTTATTTTTTAACCGAGTTCGCTGCTGGGCATTATTACATACAGAAAAATAAGGGGAGGAAGTACTCGTAGTTGTTTTTAAAATGATAAAGGTGTAATGAGACAAATTTAATCCTAGGACTTTTAGGTAACTTTTTGTATTAAGAAAAACTTTTTAAAATTGAGTTTTCCAACAACAGTTTATTGTTAATAATCAAGTTGGAAATATTTTTATACTTTTACTTTCAATTTTTAATTTAATTTTACGCTTAAAAACCTTTTTCTCCGTGTCTAACCGCTTTTGCAGTCATTTCCGCTTGCCTGCGGCGACAGCAGGCATCCGTGGTGGCTAACGGTGGCTCCATTGGGCCATAGCAGCGCTAATTCATGGCCAAAGCTAACAAATTTCCATATGCATTTTACAATTCCAGGGCAGACGGGGATGAGCCCGAAGCTGGCGTAGAACCAGGTCAACCGGAGTACTATGAAAATGAGTGGCCAGCGGAACGCAATGACGGTGTGGATGTCGAAGGCGAAGAGGATTATGCTGTGGTCTCCGATGGTCAAGCGGAGGATGCGAATGAGCTGAGTGCGCAGCTGCCTTATGGAATCCAGAATGTGCGCAAGCGTCGAGTGCGCAGTGTGATGCCACCGCCTCCACCGTTTCTGGGACCCAATCCCAGTCCCGATGGGGTTAGTAGTCCTTGTAGTTCCTTTAAGAAACCATCTTAATCTTTGAAACCTGCCAGGTGGTCACCTATCAGTCTTTGTGCCCCACAAATCGGGTGACCGTGAAGCTGGAAAGCGGTGAATACCGTCCAAATCACTATGTGGAGGTGACCTGTGCCCACAACTACGCGCCACTGCCAGCCCGGAGCCACAGCTTCGAGTATGGTTACAGGGGCAATGAACTGCTCCGAGCTCTGCTCTCCGAACGCAGCGAGAAGCGAGAGGTTAGTGTTACTAGATTTCTGCGCAATACAGCTTGATGGAACTCCCCTCTTCCATTCCCCCCCTTAGATCTGCTCGGCGACGGGCTTCTCTTGCATCCAACTCAACCGCACCATTCACCTGATCCGGCTGAACGACGCCTCCGGCTGCTGGGAATCCGAGACCCGGACCGTGCCCTCTGGCTGCGAGTGCATGTGGCCGAAGCACAGTTATGGGGACATTGCCGCCTACCATCAGGCGCAGAAGCGGCGTAGCGGTGCCTTGGGGCTAAGGCCGCATCCCTCGCTCAATGTGGACTACAAGCCAGGCGTGGGCTACCGCCAGTTGACTCTGCGAACAAGGAGCCCCAAGGCCCCGGTGCCGCGCAATCGCCGCGAGGATTTGGGCTACGAGAGCTATGAGTTCAACTAGTTGTACCTTTTTTCGAGGAGCCCAGAAGAAGCAGCCCTAATTGGTTTAGCAACTAAGTTAAAAACTGCATAAATTATTTTTCGCTTTAACTTTAACTTTAGTATTTAGTCAAGAGAGAGAGAGAGGTGTCGTGGTGTATGAAATAAACGAACTACAATGGAGCAAACCCCAAGCAAAGAGGGTAAAATGGTAATGATTGTGTGTTAAATTAAATTGCATTTGCTGGCCTGGGCGGACTTACATTAAATCCTTCATCCTTAAGTCCTTAATCCAGTTGATGTGTGCAATTCGGTAAATGCATTTCGTTCAACACCTAACGCGAGACCTGTCCTTGGCCAACGAACGCATTGATGCTGGGGATTTATTGCCTGCGGCGGCGGCCTTATCGTAAATTAAAAATTAAGCGCCATTTAAAAAACATTTATAACAAACACGCGCATGTATCGCATAAATCAAGGTAAATCCCCTCTAATGAATGGCGATTCGAGGTCCTTTTTTTACTATGATAACGTATCTAGCGGTTGGGCTTCCACCTTCTGGAGCAGGTCTTCCGCTATGCTGGTTATACGCGAGTGCAGATCCTCGGCAGACTGACTGGCATCGAACTGGTGCCAGTAGGAGGCTTCCCTATAGCAAATGCGATCGAAAACTTGGGCCACGCGGCTTTGGAATTCTACTTTTTCATAGCTGTAATGGGATAATTGGTATAAGTCGTCTGTTAGAGGCAAAGAAACTCCAATTACCCACCGCTCCTCGCCGTACTGCCCCCGATTCGTCAGGGAATCCACAGAGGTCTTTAGGTAGAACACAGCATCTGGCTTCAAAAGTCCCTTTTCCGGCGCATAGCACCAGTCAAAGTCCAGTCCCTTGGCCGCACTGTAGGCCACACCGGAGTAGGAATATCGATCCACAATCAACGTGGTGCCCTTTAGCAGTTGCTGCTTGATCTGGTTCATGTGCTCCCAGCGATTGGCGGAGAACATCAGGTGGATCACCTCATCGGGCAGATCCTTGCTGTTGGTCAGATATGAGTTTATCACCTGTCCAATGCTGGAGCTGCGCTCCGGAAAGTTCATCGACACGGTGGCAATGCCCTTGGATTTGAGGAGCTCCGCTGGAGGAGATTAAGATATCAGTATGTGGCTGAATTGGTGGGTTTATCAAACTCACCTAGCAGCCGGCTTTGTGTGGTCTTTCCACTACGATCGCATCCTTCAAAAACGATAAAGGCTCCACGTTTTACCACGCTCATTTTTCCAAAATTATAACAAAACGTAAAACCACTTTGTAAATTTGCAGTGACCAGCGCTGCACAAAAGTGTGACCGTATTTTCGCGCCAAAAAGGTATAAATTTCTACTTCAGTGGAAATATTTCCAAAAAAGCAGATTTATAGTTTACAAATCGGGTTTATAAAATCTGCGAAAAATAAAAATAAATTAGTATTCTTAAAATTAAAAAAAAATAGAAAAACCCAACCAATTTTGAGTTCAACTCTCCTAGTATTTTCTCACCCCCAATGCCGCTGAGTTTTCTTCTTTGGTATTTTCCAGTAACACACACTTCGGTCACACTGCAGCACACATAAATTACATTTTGTTTTAAACAATTGAAAATACACGTAAAAACACAATAACAACGTTGCGGCATTTGTATAATTGGCAACACGGAGTCCTAACCCATACGCCGACATGTGTTAGCCGGAAAACGGCGCCCGCTGACGCCACCCAGAGTCCGTTTCGGATTTGCCTGTGCTGCGCGACCCAAAACAAGAAAAATTCGCACGCCGTCACAACGAATTCGCAATGCGCTGCAGCTGAAAATCGAGAGGTATCCGAACCGCTTTTCCGCCTGGCTGCCAAATAACCCACTAAGCCAACGCTTAAGCCGCCCTGTAGCCGCTAATTCCAACGCCACCAGCAACTGGCCATGGAGCAGAGGCGGATAATCAAAGTGTGCAGGACGTTCGGCGGGGCCAAAGACCGCGTGGTTTTGGCGTAGCGTGCAAAACAAACGCGCTGTCATCTGTCGATAGGTTGTGTGTTTATCGGCTGCCCCCTGTTATCGTTATCGCGCAAGGACCACGAGAGCGGCGAAAAACGGTTTTGCCTTTTCCGAGCTCCGAGTGGGTCGGCCTGTGTGTGCGTGTGTGTGTGTGGTGTTGTGGGTGGTGTGAAAAAAGTGCGTGCGGTCTTGTTTATGGGCGAAAAAGAGCAGCGGCTGTCCGGCCGGAGTTAGCAACTGCCGTGCAGGATCCCCCAATACGTAGGATTAGGTCGTCGTCTCCTTACCACCCCGCCCCTCTCCCACAGCCGCGTTTTGGGTGCCGCAGCTCTGACAGACGGCTACGGCATATGACCCGGGCGCTATATACACCCGCCACGAGTTAGCCCGCCTGCGAGATGGCCAACAACAATCACCCGCATCCCGGGCACCTTAGCCAGGCGGCGCAGAATCCCTCCTGGAACCCACTGCAAGTGAGTATAGGTTTTAGGATGCTGACCACCCAAGGAAATCGGACTAACCGCCCTTCCTTTCGTCCTTTTCCCTCCACAGATACCGTCGTACATTCCCCGGCAGCCGCAGTTGGCCCACATGTCCAATGAGCGACCCGGCATGGTGCGTTCGCCGCTGGCCTGGCACGGCTCCGTATCTGCCCAGCAGCCACCGCCACCCCCGCCGCCCGATGCCATATACAATTTCATGTCGGCCAATCATAAAAACGTAATTAGGCCTCCTTACCGGGAGGGAGTCAGGAAGCTGATCTTATGCATGCTCCGCCTTTAGTCTGTTGTAGAAGCCTCTTCCTTAGCCTCGTTTTCCCAGTTGTTATGCTAGTTTCTTAGTTTGCTTTGTTTTCTTGCCGCCTGCCGTCCATGTCCTGTATATGTTTTGGTTTATCTTAAGCCTAAAATTACATTTCAAGTGGCTTTTCTTATTGGCAGCTGGACCACCATCATCAGATGAATCCTTTGCTGGCACCGCCTTACTCAGGAACATTGCCTTTCGACTCCATGGACCTGTCATTGCAGTCCGCCCGCAGTGCGGCCCAACCGCTGGCCAAGCAGCCGCCCAGCCAGCAGCAGCAGCAATCGCTGATGCATGCCCCCAATTATCCATCAATGTAAGAGCCAAGCCAAGGATCTTTTAAAAATAAGAAATGTAATGAGTTTAATCTTTGTGCAGTCAAAATCTCACAACCAACGCCTCGCCCAACAGCGCACAGCATCAGCAGCAGCAACAGGGTCACCTGGCAGCCATGGCTGCTGCCCATGCCAGTCTTCTGCAGTCGAGTGGATCCACTAGCATGAGCAATGGAGGCGTTTGCGAGTCCCTGCTGCCGCCACCGCCGCCTACAAGTAGTGCCTCGGGAAATAGCAGCAATCATGCGGGGAGCAACAGCAGCAGCAGCAGTGGGAGCAACAACAACATACCCAGCCCGCAGTATATGCATTCTCGCGATGAAAACTTCAAGCTGGCACAGCTAAAGCGCAGCTTTGACCACGAACACCTCTCGGGAAAGGCTCTGCAGAAGGACAAGGACTGCGGAGGCTACCCTGGAGCGGGAACAGCCAGCAAACTGCCCACGCACAGTGTACAGCAGCAGCAACATGCCAATAAGAAACGTAAGCGCAGACTTTAAGCCAATGATAACAGAAAACTAATTCTGTTTTTCCCTGATTAGCCTCACCCCTACGCAACTATCACCAGCAGCAGCCGCCCTACAACCTCACACCCAAATACAATGGACCACAGACGCCGCCCACTCCTCAATCGCCTCTGGCTGCCCCGCCGCCCGCCATGGACTACAATCAGCTGCATCTGCATCAGCATCATCACCAACTCAACAGCTCGGGCGGAGGCAATGGCAGCTATCATAACCTGCAGTCGGATCAACACTTGCACTACCACAATCAGCATGTGGCCAGCCAAGGAACAGCTCAGCCACCGCCACTCCTGCCACCGCACTTGGCCAGCGCCCAGTTCCATGATGCCCCGCCACAGCTGCCAAGCCAGCAGCAGCAGCAGACGCATCATTCCCGCAATGCTCACCTCACGAATCTCGAAACCTTGGGTGTCAAGCACAAGCCAGAGGCCGAGGAGCCCACGCCTGTCATCACCGATCTGTCGTACCGGAATCCCGAGGCAGATAAGCCCACAGCCAACTCATTGCCAGATGCCCCGGAGTCGCCCTACCTGACCACCTCGAATGAGGAGTCCTTGGAGTCCAATAGCAACAGTAGCAATAGTCGAAAGCGGCGCAAAAGGAAATCCAGCATGGTCATGCGGGTGACGCCAAACGAAAATGCACCCGAAGGAAGCAACACCAAGCAGCAGCAGCAGCAGCCTCTGGTTCACCAGGGCAATAGCTGTAGTCCCAAAAGGTCACCCAAGAACGGAGGCGGAGACTTTCAGCCTTTTAGTATGCAAGGGCAGACTTCCAACGAAAAGACGCCGCAGGAGAATGGTCGCGGCAGTGGCTCGCCGGCGCCAGCGGAGAACAGCAGTAGCAACAGCTCCACTTTGTATCATGACAACGACAACCCCAAGACCAAGAAGCAGCGGCAGGCCCTGCTGCAGCGGAACCTCACCGAACAGCAACAGCAGCAGCAGCAGCACCGTCAGCAGCAGGAGGATGAACCTACCAAGAAGCCCACGCCGCCCAGCATGCCGCCACCGAGTCCGCAGAGCAACAGCAGCAGCAGTAGCTCAAGCAGCTCCAGCGCCAACTCTCACAGCAGTCGCAGCAGTCAGGCGAGCCAGGACAATCGAAAGGAGCCCAAGGCGGAGGGTCATAGCCAGAACAAGACCACCACAGACACACCAGCATCACCAGCTTTAGTCGAACAGGGTGACATTGATGCGAAGCCAGCGGTGAGTGTGCACGAGTGCGATGAGGAGGAGGAACCAGCGGAACCAAACAAAAAATCGCCAGCGCCAGCAGCTGTTCCACCCATCATAGAACCCGATGTGACCAAGAAACCCTCCCCTTCCGAACCCTGTCCCTTTGGCGAAGTGGAGGATAAGCTGGAGGAAATGTTTGCCGGCATCGAGGAGGAGTCTGAAACCATTTGCACACCCGAAAAGCAAACAGACGAGACTGTCAACCATGACTTAAGCGCGCAGCTGGCTCTGGACAGCGCCAAGCCGGATGAGGCGCCAGCGGAAAAGGTGGAAGCCAGCACAGCAGCAGCAGCTGCCCCGCCTGAGATACGGCCCATGGCCACCAAGGCGGCCATGAAGTCAACAATGCCCAGTCCCGTGCACAGTCCCGCGCCACAAGCCCGAAGCTCCACCTCGACGCCTCTGACAGTGGCGGAGGAGAGTAAAGACAACACTCCTGCTGCTGCTCCTCCAACAAAGGCCCCCCCATCCCGGCGACTGCCTCCCCGAAGGCTATCTATGGGCATGGATGCCTCCTTGCTGCGTTTTATGATTGACGACTCGCCGCCAGCCAAGAAGCCGGGACGCAAAAAGAAAGCAGTACTGGACGACGAAGAGGATGATGACAAGCCCAGCACTTCAGCAGCGGCTGCGGCGGCCCTAGCAGCTCGTCAGCTAAGCGAGGCGGCAGCTGCTCCAAAGGGAAAGGCTGCAGGTGGGGCCAAGAAAAAGAATGCTGCAGGCAAGGGCAAAAAAGGAGCAGCGGCGGCAACGAAAGCCAATGCTAAGAATGCCAAGCAGAATGGGAAAAAGTCCGGGAAGAAGCCAGCAATCACCACCGATGAGGATAGCACTCCGGCTCCGACAAACGGCGGTGGAGGCAGTGCATCAGGTCCCGCCGAGTTGAGATTCAAGTCGCCCTTCATCCTCATCAAGCCGGACGGCAGTGTGAGCATCAAGAACACTCACAGTGCCGAGGATGTCAACGAGAAGCAAACCAAGGTAAAGAAGGCGCCGCACGAACGCAAGAACCTGCGAGGCATGCACAGCTCCACGCTGAGCAACCGCTATGATGCGGACACCACCGACTCCACCTGGATTTGTGTGTTTTGCAAGCGGGGTCCACACAAGCTTGGCCTAGGGGATCTCTTTGGTCCGTATCTGGTGACCAGCGATTGCGAGGAGTATCGAGCGGCCTTGCAGGCACCTGGTGTCCAGGATGTGGACGGACTGTTCGTAAGCAAGCGGCGACGGGAGGATATGGTAAAGATGCAGGAGAGAAACCTACCCGTGGTGCCCGCCACTCTAGGTCACATCATGCAGGCGCCCAAAATCAGCATGGTAAGGAAGCGGAAGCAGACGCACGACAGCACCATGTCCTACAGCGACGATCCCAACGACTCGCGCTCCCTCTGCTCCTCTGTGGATCCGCTGGACTGCAGTCACGAGTCCAAGTTTGTGGAAACTTTCCGTGGGATGGGCAAGACCTCGGAGCATGGCTATGAAGTGTGGCTGCACGAGGATTGCGCCGTGTGGAGCAATGACATTCAGCTGATTGGAGCCCATGTCAATGGTCTAGATGCGGCGGTGTGGGACAGCACGCGGTACCAGTGTGTTCTGTGCCAGCAAACGGGAGCCAGTGTGTGCTGTTTCCAGCGAAGCTGCAAGGCGGCTGCCCATGTGCCATGCGCGAGATCAGCCAACTGGAGTTTGAGAGAGGAGGATCGCAAGGTCTATTGCCAGCTGCACAGCGACAATCCGGAATCTGGAGCCACGGAACCCCTGAAAATGGAGCCCCTAATGCCAGCTGTGACGGCCCCAGCTCCTGCACCTGCACCGCCGCCCGCGTTCAACGTTCACTCGCTTCCCTGAGTACGCGTGCGCGTCCAGAAATGCCGCCTGGTCGCCAAGCGTTGAGCGTTGAAGGCACGATCCCCCCACATACCCACCCACCCCCCTTTACTTAAGCTTTGTACATAAGTCTCTCCGACTGGTGGGCATTTCGTAATCCATACGCAAGTTTTTTGTATAAATCCGCTGTACATTTTTAGGCTTTATACTTAGTTAGGTTTCTCCCCTCCCCCCCATGCCGCATCCTTAGTTGTTTATGTTTAAGTCAAAGTTTAAATTATTCTATCTCGCCCTTGCATTAGTACCTTTTAGTTTATAATTATATTTAAAGCCCAAACAAACCCGCTCTGCATCACCCACAACAATTGACTATTGATAATTCGATTTAGTTGAATTCTGTCTGTATAAATACGAATACTCCATGCCATACCACGCGATAACTAACACTGAGTAATCACCATAAGCAGATACGGGAGACGATGCACTAACGTTACGTATAAATAGAACGAACATTCGAAGCCCAATTCAAAATGGAATATTGTAAAACAATATAGATATATTGATATATGCATATAATAATTATATTAATAATAATTATAATTATAATAATATTAGAAGTGCTAATGTACAAGTTAAAGCCAGCATAATGAAACCTTGTATTGTATTCGTATCCGGTAAGGTCTGTACGTATTTGCTGATAATTTTAAACTCTAAAGCGTATAAACAATAAAAACTTAATCTCACAAGCAAGACACAAACTTTATTTATTATTAAAGTTAAAATTAAACAGATTACTAAAGGGAATCAAAGGGACTGCCGCCGAGCTGCTCAAGGGGAGGAAATATTAAAATGTGTCTGATAATATCAAGACCTTAAGGTGGGAGTAAGGTATTTATTTTATCTTGTCAAAGTTTCACATTATTCATATCTAAATAGACAAAGGTTTGGGTACTTGAGCGGAGTTCGTTTGATTTTCAGTGTATTAATATTAAAAAGTTTATGAAAAGTAGCACCAAATTAATTATACCCCCCTAATACACAAAAATTTTGTTTGAATTTTTCATTTTATTTATAATAAATATTCAAAAATATACACACACGCATAGAGTGGGAACAGTGATCTCTCTCTATATCGTACAGCGGTAATTACAGTTGTCGTCTTAGCTTAGGCATAAATAGTTTATTAATTTAGCTACAAGTTAAAGGTGTCTCTAGGTCCTAGCTCTCGAATCTTCTTCAGAAGCGACGCAGCCTCCGGCGCAGCTGTTGCGTTACATCATTGGGCAGTCTTCCAACGCTGCTCTGGGGCACATCATAGGAGGTGCGTCCGGCGTAGAAGGCCCGCTCCCTGCTCTTGCCCGATCCGGAGAAGCTACCCTTGCCCATGGTGTCGGTGTATTGCAGCTGACTGGCCGACACATCGCTGCGCTTTTGGGCCAGCTGCAGTCCGGGTATCAGGCCATTGCCCAAGGTAGGGAGTTGTACATTCAGATGATCCACATGCCGACCGGCTATCACTGGTCCCTGGGCAATGTTTCCAGTGGAAACAGCCACGGGCGGAGCCAATGGAGGAAACTGTGGCAACTGTTGCTGCTGCTGCTGATAGGGCACAAAAATATTGGGCGTGAGGTAGGGTTGCTGGTTGTTATGGATCGAGGGACGTTGCTGCTGCTGTGGGACATGTTGCTGCTGCTGTGGGACATGTTGCTGCTGCTGCTGACGGAAGGATTGTTGCTGCTGCTGCTGGAAAGGATGTTGCTGTTGCTGCTGTTGGGGTTGCTGATAGTAGACAGTCTGCTGCTGAGGTTGCTGGTATTGCTGTGAGATGAAGCTTAGTTGCTGCTGCGGATGACGCTGCTGGTGCTGCTGCTGAACATGTTGCTGCTGCACAGGCTGTTTCTGTACTCGTTGCTGTTGATATTGTTGCTGTGGCTGCTGTTGCTGGTGCTGGTGCTGTTGCTGCTGTTGCTGGTGCTGTTGCTGCTCCTGCTGCCCAAATTTGTTGCTCAAGAAATCGTTGAGGGAGACATAGGAGTTGCCCTGATTGCTTGCTGGCGGAGCCTGAGTGGCCAAGTTCGAGATGATGTTGCTGGCAGAGTTGGGCGAAATACGCTGACCCTCAGCACGAGCAATAACAATGCCGGGAATCGCAGACAGCTGAGGCAACTGGGAAGCTGTCTGTTGAGGACGTGGTGGAGCAGTGAGGGTGGAAATAGCTGGAAGAGAAGGAGATCCAAGAAGGGTTACAATAAAAGTTAAAAAAAGGAGAAAAGCAATCCTCACCTGGCGCTGCTGCTGGCTTCACATAGCTGCTGCTGACCGTCTGATGTTGCTGCTTGACCACTTGGTGTGGCTGCTGCTGACGCTGCTGCGACTGTTGATGATGATGATGCTGTTGGTTGGAACCCAGCGACTGGGCACTCTTGAAATTCTGCAAAACGGACTCGTCAACAATGGCACGGGTTAACTTATCAAATGAAAGGAAAGCGGAGGCAGGTGTAAGGCTGGATGTGATCTGAGACTGAGTTTGAGATGGAGGTGGAGTTTGGGAAGCGGTGGAGGCATAGACTAGCGACGGTGACTGCTGGCTGGGACGACTGATCTGCGGAGGAGCCTGGTTGTAGCTGTAGCCGCTGTTGTAGTTCGAGGCCAGGGCCGAGATGTGCTGGTTCAGCGAGGAAAGTGAGGAAGATGCAGGAGAGGCAGTCGTCCTTTGGGTGGTACTCCTAGGGGTGGTGGTTCCACGGGTTCTCTGCACCGGCGCCTGAGTCTTGAAGTTGGAGTAGCGATTCTTGCCGCGATTCACTGGGACAGTGGATCTCTGGGAAGTGGGTGCCACATAGCTTCTGGGAGTGGTACTAGTGGGGATGGAGCTGGTGTAACCAGTGCTCCTTAAGCTGCTATTGCTGGTGGTTACCGAGGCCCTCGTTGCCGGCGTGTAAACCCGATTGCCGCGTTGCACCTGGAAACGCTGCAGATTGCTGTGTACACTCTCCCAGCTGGCCTTACTGGTCGGCGCTATCTTGGTCTCCCGATCGATGTCGCGCACTGTCAGCTTCTTGTTGGGACCAGGCTCAGCTCCACTGCGAATTTGCGAGAAGGAGGACAGCGTAGTCGTTGGTACCGATGGCGCCTGAGTGGTTGTAGAGCTTGGAGCTGCCGTTGTGGCCTTTGTGGTGCTTCTGGTGGCCTGGGAGAGTTTGGATAGACGCAGCCTGCTGGCTGCCAGGCGCTCTAGATAGCTCTTGGTGGGCATGGTGCTCTTCTGAGTAGTAGACGTGGTTGTAGTGCGCACCAGCGGCAAGGGACGCACATTGGCACGACGCAACATGGCTGAGGGACGGTTCTTTCGGTAACCACGAATCCTCTCCTGGGTGCTGCTGATCTCGGTGACTGTCTCCGTGGAGGTAATCATGGCCTGAGTGGTGCTAGTACTAGTCGTGGGTATGGGGCTGCTGCTCCTAATCCTCTCCAGTAATTCGTTTGTTTGCAAAGAATTCTCTTCATCGTGAGAAGTGAGCTGAACTCCTGCCAGCAGCAACTTGGCCGCCTCCTGGTGAACATCATTTTTCTCAGCTGTTTCCGGACTCTGTTCTTCCTGCTGGACAACAGCTAGATCCTCGCTGAGGGGCAGACTGGCGGTCAGAGCAGCTGCCTGGCCAATGGACTCAATGGGCGGCACTTCCGCTGTAATATCCAGTTCTGGCGGAGGAGCCAGCAAGGTAAGAGGTTCCGCGGCTGTACTAGAGACAACTTCTGGTGCCGGAGTGTTGGTTACCTCCTCATCCTCTGCCGGTGGCAAAGTGGGTGCAATAAGCAGAGCCTCTATGGCTTCGGTAGCAGCTTCCGTGGTGGAAGTGGTGCTGCTGCTTGATTTTGGGAACTTGTGTTTGTGCTCAATGGATTTGTGGTCCTCGGTGGGAATCTCATTGGGCTGTGTGAGTGTGTGGATTCATGTGATTCATGTGGTGTTTGTGGCATGTGTAAGCAATAGTTGATAGAGTAGCGATACAGATAGAAAGATAGATAGATACGAGATACAAAGAGTTAAGAAATAGATAGAAGAATAGGAGATAGATATTTTGTTAGCTTGGGAGAAACCTCCCTAAGAAAACCCTTAGAAAAACTCACCGTAAATCTGACAGTGCTAGGCGTCTGCTTGGGTTTCACGTAGCCATAGCCCGTGGCGGAGCTACTGCTCTTGCCATTCTCGCCCTGCATCGCAAAGCCGCGACTCAGGAAGCGGAAGGGCTGCTTGACCTTGGGCGGAGCCATCGATTGATAGCCGGAAACGGCGGGATCCACATCGGTGGACACCTCGTCCAGCAGATTATTGATATTCGACACTAAATCTAGTTGAACGGCCTCGTCCTTGGTGTTCCTCAATACTTGGTGCTTGATATAGTCCGGAGCCATTACCTCTCCGGAGGAATTAGACTCCGTATCGGTAAGTTCATCCAGTCCGGCATTGACACGCTCTGCAAAGTTTTTCTGCTTTTGGTAGTGATACTCCCTGGGGTACTCCGCTATGATATGGGCATTGGTGTGATCAAACTGGATGCCGGGGTCTGAGGAGAGCTCGCCCAAGCTGTTGACATAGACGCCCTCATCATCGTCAGCATTGATTTCCGACTTGACAGCTTCCAGAGGCTCACTCTTGAGGGCTTCTCCACGACCCACCGAGGGGTTGGTTTCCTGGGGCTTGATCACCGCTGCTGGCTCAGTTAAAACTCCACTGGCTTTAGTCAGATCCTTGCTGAGACTGCGATGGTTATGGGGATTCTGGGACTGCGACTGGGACTGACTCTGCTGCAGGGCCTTCGAGATGGTCTTCATGGGATACTCCATCATGTGGCGCACGCGCTCCATCATCTCGTGAGTGCTGCCCACAATCTTCTCCTCGTTCATTTCGTAGAATCTCTCAGATTCATCGCAGTTTACATTGCGATACCAATCGCAGACAAAGTTCTTCTGGCTGAAGAGAGTGCCATTGGGGCAGAGGAAGCCAAAGCCCTGAGGAGAGCGAGCAGTGTGGGCGCAGATGCGGAAGGCCTGGCAGCGACTCTCCACATCGGCATAGTAACCTTAAAAAGTGTTTGTTTATATCAAAGAAAGGAATTATTTTATTTAAAGAAACCTTACCTTCATGTCTTCCTTTGCACACAAAGCTGGTCTTGGGCGGAGCACTCAAAATGGGATAGTCCAGGCCTGGTTCTCCAGGTATGGTGTGCCTTAGGTCAAACTGCTGATCCGTGTACTCGCTGGACTTGTCTGCATCCTCAAAGTGCTCTCGGCTGCTCCCTTGACCCCGAGCCAAGCCCGCCAGGAGTACAAGGACCAGCCACAGGCTGGCACTAGGTGGCCACATGCTGCAAGTTCAAAGAGAAAGATATCTGTATCAATTGTGACATCTTGTGAACGGCGCTTGGCAAATACCGTATTCATTAGGCTGATTGATAAACCGCAATTCCGAACCAAACTCATTGATTAAAATGTGAGCTTGTGGCCCATTTGCATACAAATGCGGCGGAAACACACGTAAGGGGCTAGGAATTTGCATAAAACACATCTCTCTGGTGGTATCGAGGCGTGTCCACAGAGCTCTCACGTAACCGAAACGAGAGGGGAGCTTGGCTTGTCCACTGATTTATGTGACCCAAACAAATGCCTTTTACAGCGAACGGTGACTTTTTTGCAGCACTGTCCGGTGCGGATATATTTTTGCGTGGGGTCGAGAGTGTAGAGTGTGCAGACAGATCGGGCCTTTTATGGCCGAGCGTGTCCATCAAATGGCAGTTAAAAATTCGATTGGGCTTATCTCTTGCACTTTTGATGATTGGAGGCAATAAAAGGAGGCAGCTCTCTTGGTGGTGACCCTGAAATATTTGATCTAGATCTGCGATCAATATCGATTCCGATCCCAAGTGTCTTATAATGCCGTTTGATTGCCCCCAACAACCATTAATCACTGGGCTTTGTCTTAAAATTGATGAGCAGCAACAGCGGGCAGCGATTATTAATCACACTCTTTGGGCCTTATTAGAATGTGGCTAATTCCGAATCGAATCCAGCAAACAGAAAACATACAAACCGAAAATCAAGTGTTCGGATAGCGCTTCCAGTTAAACACTTGAGCAATCAATTCTCGATGGATCTTTGGATCCCCTCGGATCAGACTGAGACGAGAGATGCTGCTGAGGTCATTTGCCGCTATTATGTTTTCCAAATGATATGTGCTGACAGCGGCCGATTCGGCGGCTACAGACTGATTTTCATATTTCATGCAAATTAAAACGAAAGACTTAGGCAACGAACCCTCGACACGGTCCATCTTCACCCTGAATTATTGCCTTTAATTGCTCGCATTGCCGATTTGTTGTGTAAGGAAGTAAGCGAAAAGCGAAAGAAACACTCTAGTGTACTACTCGGAGGCACTCAGACACTCGGCTGTTCAATGAAAACAATTCAGTGGCAATTGTTAGCCGAGTTTTAATATGGTTATGGTGTTATGGCACTGCATAGTAAATTGCTTTCTTTGAAGGTTTAATTTGTTTGAAATTATACAAAATAATTGAGTATTGAAAAGAAATTTATCAAATATGTAATGTCATAGTCCCCTAATTAAGAAATATTGATTACAATTGTTCGTCAGAAATAATTGATATTAATATCCCAGAAATGTTGTGTCAAATACTAGAGTTTTGGCACCGCATCAAGCATCATAAAATATTGTAAAAAATTGTTAATGAAACCAAACACTGCAGTGTCAAAGCCCCATTAGAGCAGCATCTCAAATATATAATAGTAACCGAATAACTGCTGCTAAAAATATGCCCATTTTCATAATAGAGTCATCATCGTTTATATAAGACCTATGTAGGTGATGTAACAATCATAATTACATCTGAAAATAATTGCATTCCCTGGTCCCAACAGTCAACAACCTTCCCGCAAGTCAACAAACTGTAAGCCGCCCCTCTGCGATCGGCATTCTATAATGACTATCTAAGCGACATCTAATTGAATTTTAATGATCTCTTCTTCGGCCAGAAGCCGTTGGCTGTTGGCCGTTGGCCAGCACTTCACACAAGACGCCACAATATGCAAATGTCGTGTGGAAAATGGTAAGGGAAAATGACCTCCTCACAAGCAGTACTCATCTCAGATGATGCCTCCAGTCTTCGTATTACATTTACCATTTACAATTCGACACTCTCAGGGTCAATATCAAGAGCAGAGCAGCAGCAGCAGCAGCAGCAGAATCTGAAAATCCAAATCAAAACAACCAGACAACGAGGAAGCACTTGCCTGGCTTGGAAATATGTTTTACTTCTCATTGTTTCTCAATGATCCATCAAAACATTAGACAAAATGCCAGCCAGACAAATGATGATTAAGAAGAAGCCAACAAGAATGGGGAAGGAAAACTCAGATAACAGGGGCCTTTGCATTGAAAATGAAGTAATAAAAGAGAATGGATAGTCATAGACCCATCAAAAGGCATTTTCAATGAGGTGGCAGCGGTTTACCCAAAAATTATTTTATTTGTAGGTAGTCTTTGCTGTAACTTCTCGATCATTACTTTTTATGATCGCCGCCCGAGAGTTCTTCGGTGCAAATTAATTGGCAGCACGTTTCCGAGACGGACTGAACCATAAATCTTTTACAGATATCACAAGAAACGGGTTAGCTTTGTCCGTAGATATTTAATTATAGCGAATCTTTGACTCTTTGCCGACCTAGCCCCATGAGTCTCGAGTGTCATCCAGCGGGATTGGATTGATGATTGGCACACAGGGATGGGTCCGCCTAGGGGCCTGCATGTCTGTTTATATTTATAGAAGGATCATCTCGGATTTTTTTAGGCTACTTCTCACGATCTCCGGTCCAACAGTTTGTCGACAGCTCTCAAGTAGAGCCCGCATCATTTGGAATTTCTGTTTGGTTTTTTTTTATGGTCAGATGACGTAAATCGAGTGCGTAACCCAACAAGCCGAGAGTTGAGCCACTTCTGCCTGTCTACTCGGACTTCTCGGGGAGATCTTCCATGATTTGCCATTTCTATATCCGTATAGCAATTGCGAGTCGAGGGCTTTAGAAGTTTGCTATGTAAACATATCACTTACGGATTTGCCAACATTATTATTGCATCCGTGAGGGGTACGAGTTATGGAAAATATGCTTTACAGGGAATTAGGGGAATTTTTTATATTTTTAAATAATTAATAATAGAATGTGGGTTGAAAAAATAGTATCTATTTTAAAAATACGTCAAAGAAATCAAAAAAATTTATAAAATATGAAATCAAAGCCGTTTGAAAGTAAGGAAAATTAGCCAAATATTTTAAGAGACATTATGGAACAATGGGTATTTATTATTTTTGTTTCAAAGATAAAATTTTATTTCTGTTTGCTTATTGGAAATATGAAAAACACTATCTAATCCTTATCTAATTTCTAATCTTCATTCTTTCACAGATAAAATAATACTTCTAATTATTGTTTCCACTATGTTAACTTTAATAAATTCTAATTTTATAAACATCCTTTAAATCTCTATAAATAAGTTCCCATAATATCTTTACTTCTCATATTTTCCATTGAGATCTTATTCTTAAATCTTCCTTGAACACCCATTAAATCACAGATATTTATAATTAAAACTGTTCCCATATTATCTTCATTCTTTCATTCATTTTCATTTGCATTTTGTTTGCTTCCACATTCTGATTAATCTCCAGAACTAAATATATATTTTTTGGGAACACATTTTCTGTGTGTGGGAGTGTGACATTTATCATACTCAGCTTTTTAATGAGTACGTATTTATATTGTTCTTATTTTGTCGGATTATTATCTCTGTGTGTTTGTTCGCCATGCAGTCACATTATTACCTTATATATCTCCGATTTAATGTTTAAACTGGACCGAAAATTAATTTGTTTTGCTGTTGTTTCACCTTTTTGGGTTACTTTTTTTGGGTTTTTTTTTAACGGGACACACAGAAATAAGTTAGGTAACACAAGAGCACACTAGAGCATTATCCTGTCTAGCCAAGGATCACTCGATTAAGGAGCCTGCTGCGGAGCGGCTAAACCAAGGCAAACTGATCCGTTCGAGGCGCGAACTTGAACTGAACTTCGGCCATCCAAAGGTAATCGAAATATTTTGGCCAAAAAAGAGTTCGGCCAGCAGCAGAAGCAGCATCCCAAGCAGCAGCAGCAGCAGCACCAGTCGCAGCAGCAGAGCCCGAGTTAACCAGACATTCCGACTCTGAAGCCAAAAGCCCCGAAATATGCGTTGAAGAAGCAACAAAAGCCCCATCGATTGCGTATGATGAAGATGATGATGATGATGTTGATGCTGGGAAACCGGTGACAACCTGCTGCTGCTGCTGCCGAAGATACATAACAGTAACAGTTGGAGTCCATAAAAACCTAAAGAAACCTCGAATGAAAGGGCCCAGCAAGACCCTACTACTGTCAACTATCTTCCTTGAGGGCGTGTTTGGGCATGGGAAATTGGACAACAGTGAAAACTCAATATAAATGAATTGGGAATTACAAGAAAATTAGGTGCAGATTTATATATTATTACTGTGAGGGATATTATGTATAAGGAAGAATTATTAGTCATTATATTTCCAAAGGAAAAGTGGAAATGGTAAGTCAGAAGCCTTAAAGATCTTAAATGTATAAGAATAAATATAGCTACTGACCTTATCTTCCAAAATATTCAACCTAACTCTATATGTATCCCTTGAAAAACCAAGTTAAACAATAATAAATAATCTCATATTTCTTAGTTAAACAATTTGTAGCTCTGTGATTAATTAATTATTGATACTTACAAAGACCTTGATCTCTAGTTGGCACACTTTTTAAATGGGTTTCTATTTGTTTCTGCATAAAAAAGCTTACATAATACCATATAATCTACCATAAAATTGGCCTTGCTACCCATGCTAACATTAAGACCATTCCCTATTATAAAACCAGTCTTCTCCTTATCCCCCAAAGTTCTTCTTTTTGGGGCTTTCACTGTCGAAAAAAAGACTAAAATCGCTTTCGTTTTCATTTTCATTTGGTTTCGGTTTTCACATGAATCCAACACAAAAAATGCGGCAAATCGGGTTGAGATTCCTTCCATAATTTATATCGAAAAGTCTCAGTTTATGTGGCAAAGCTGCTGAGGTTAATGGGTATATAGGGGACGCCATATACTTGTGGCAGTAAAGAAGGAAGGGGCCTGACTTCCGCATAACCTAAGAGTATCGTGTGACCCAAATCTAAAATTTTAATTAAACAAAAGCTCGATCAATTAACATTAAGCGCTGCTAAGCAGCTGCACTTGAGGCGCGTTTTTCGGCTCTCCGCTGCCTCTTTTGCCCAAATGATTGATGGATGGCCACGGCGTTGGCGGTGTCATGTGAGTGGAGTGAATCTGCGCGGATGATCCACGCATCATATCAAGCGCCTTGGTGTGTGCGCGTTCTACAAATTGGAATTTTTGAGCGCCATCCAACAAGCGGACAAGCTAAAATATTGTTTGCCAGCACAGTGTTTCTGCCCCTGATCCGCTTAAATGTTTTTTTATTTTCCCATGTTTTTTTTTTTTTATTCGCCAATAAACGTGTCGAACAAGTGGCCAAATATTTGCCATGAATGCACACAAGAAAAGATACAGAAAACAATTTTTTGCACCTGATATTAGGTAGGTGAGGCTTTAATTTAATATATATTTTTGTCATAAGGGAAGGGATTTTGGTATTTATAACATATCAGAACGCTACAGCAAATTGATTTTGTATCTAATTTTAATTATGATAATTTAATAGAAGCTTTGAGAACAATGTCACCAAATTTTATAGCTTTATCTCTTATGGTCTCTGAGTTCGGACGAAGCTAAATAAATATTTTTAATATTTTTTAAATACTTTATTATATATTCTTTAAAATCTGTAAATCTAAATCTTTATTTCTATATAAAAAATAAATTTAACAAGAAGAAAAGCTAGCTTTGAAACACCAAAAATTATATACCCTTCCTATCTGCAATTTGACCATTGAAATTGATCATAACTAAGCCAAAAAAGCTTTAATTTTAAATCGGAAAGTTTTTCTGTGCTAGTTTTGATTAGGTTAACAAATCTGCATTCTTAACTCAAAATTTTTAAAAATAAATTTTTGGATCAATTTTTCATGATGTAACCCCTTTTAAAATTTAAAAAAAAATATTAAAATTTTTATTTTCTTTCTTACATGCCTAGAAAGACTCTCCCATTGATGCTGATCAAGAATATATATGATTTATAGGGTCGGAAATGACTCCTTAACTGCCTACCAAGCTTTTTGGTAAAATTATACCACCCTCAAGGGAGTATTAAAATTTAAATATATATTATATATATAAGGGTATTTATAAGGATATACAAATATTCCCAGAATCATCCCAAATTGTTTTCAGTGTGCCTTTACTTATTGTACTTTCCAGCCACAACTGTGGCAACATTGGTAATTGGGTCAGGCAACAACTTTCAGTGCCAGCAAGTGCCTCATCCCTGTATAAAAGTGCAACTGGTGATGCAACTCAACATCAGTTGAACGCCAGTGGAAATGCTTGCCGCAACGAAAGCAGTCACCTTTATCTTAGCAGCTCTTATAGCTGCCATGATCCTGCCACTGCCCTCCAGTGCAGCGTTCACAAACGAACCCGAATTGGACCAGGACAGACCCAATACCAACTTTACGGCTTTGTTTAAGGCTTTTCTGGACATGGGCAATGCCATCTTTGGTGACTGGGCGCCGGAAAGGGTGATAGAGGACTTTATCCGGGAATCGGAACGATGATTAGTTCACCTTTCCACCGTTGCATAAGATCCACAGGCATCAATAAAAGTTTAACAAGACAGGGCACACAGCCAATAAGAGAGAGAGAGGGAGTAAAGAGGATTGGGAATGGTGCAGGTCCAAAGTGGAGGGGTCAGAGACAACGTTTTAATTATGCACGCTTCAGTTTTGGCCATATCAACCGTCATTACTGCTTTGTCCGCTTTTTGGCCATTAGATATTCGCGTGGTTGCCTAGGCTAAGATGTATACCCTGCCAAAGGGGTTGCTCGAACAGTTCTTAAATACATTTTGCAGCTAGATTATAAATTAAGCAATAAAATATGTATCCTTGACAACGGATTTTTGAAGGAATATTAATATTTTCAAGGGGGATTAAAGGGTTTTTGATAAAGTTTGTCATGGGGTTTAAAATAACCCTCAGACTATTTCGAATTAGAACAAAAACCTTCCTATACCTAGAGTATTTTCCACCTCGGTGCTGCTCAAAAACTTAACCCCCTCGACACTCCTTTAATTTTTCAATATTTTCTAAGCCTTTTGACTGTGTGTTATCTCTTAACATGACACTTTATATGTTTTCTTTCATTGGCAAATTAGTTACTTTTGACAAATCCGCTGAAACAGAGACAAAAAGCAAATAAATAGTCAAATAAAAGCGAATAAAGGCAAACGCCGGACACATCGATCAATTTGACTAATCATATTTATTTATATATATTCTCCTACCAACAACAAAGCACAATCCCATTCGATTTTATGCAAACTACCACCTACGAGTCCATCACGGATCATCATTATGCAATGGCTTTTAGAATTCAATTGTCGATGATCGGATGATGAACTGCCCCTCTGGTGTGCCTGGTGTGTTTTCAATGGATTCTTGAGGAGCGGTAATCACCTGGCGAATTCCTCCACTTCGATTTCAATTATTTCGAATAATAAATGAGCCAGCCAAACAATTTGTCTGCGGCCCGCTCCCAAGTGTGTTTCCTTTGTGCCTCTGTTGCTGCTGGCAAGTGTTTTTCTTTCACAAATTAAGTAATCCAATTGTCTGGCAAATCGCAGAGCCATTCATCTTGCTCCACTATAAGGGGTTTTTTACTATATATAAACTCCTATTTAACCTGCGGCCTATGCGGGTTCAGACGACGCTTTGGCCACAGATCTTTACTTCCTGCACGTGTCTTGGTAGATTATTGAGTTCGTATCATCATTTTTTTTTTTTGCTGGCCTGCCTTTAATTGTGGGTTATCGCGGCTGTCAAGAAAAAATTTGCCGGCTAAACTATTATTAAAACCGAATTTGCCAACCCGAAATGGCCAAGAACGCGTTATACAACGCCAAGACAGAGGAAACTTTTCAGCAAAAAGTAGTAAATAGTTTCGATTTCAGGGGTTATATCACGTGCTAAGGTCTGAAATAGGTAGACATTATAGATATTCATTATAGTTTTCTTTTTTAATGGATTTTTTACTAAGAATTTTAGGTTGGAAAACTTGGTAAAATGGGTTCCAAAAGATTTCAAGCCCACCTCAGATAATCTCTTAAACCCAAATCAAAACCATTTTCCCTCCATCTTTCAATAATTACATGCAAATCTGTTGGCATTAAGACCCAAGAGGAAGGCTTCAATCAGAGCTAATCCATCCGTTCATTCATCGCTAGTTTAATTTGATTACGAGCCACACGAGGGGCAGCATTCATTCGCATTCATACACAAATTTTCGAGTCGCCGAAGCACGCAACTGGTGACCACTGATCCCAGTGGTTCGCAGTTACTCCAGTGGTGGCCCAGTGGAGCGGTAATCATCATTAGGTGGCTTCAATCATTTGTTTTCCGCTTAAACAGTGAGCTTAGCATGCAAATAAGCCGAGCGAGGAGTAACCATTCCCAGGCCCAGACCCAGACCCAGGCGAAGGCGAAGACTGATGGGCGTTGCTTCTAAACGCATGTCAAACATCACATTACTCAAAATGTTTTTCAAATTGTTCGAATAAATCAAAATTAACACATCAGCAAGCGACAGCAGCAGCATGTTTCACTTTCATTGGAATATATGTTATGTTGCTTTCAATTTTTTATATAAAAAAATAAATGTTTTTCTACAGTTTAAACTCTTGAGTGATGTAAGCGGGAAACCTTTTGATTGGCGATTGGCATTTCTAAATCAAATTACTTGCATTGATTCGGTTAATTTAACCGGTGAAGCTACATTTCCGTAGCCTCAAGAAAAATTCCAAAAATTAAAATCAGAGAGCCCGAAAACCAAAATTCAAAATCAAAATAATCAAATGCCTATTACATCACACATCAGCATACTATATATATGCAGATGGAGCTGGAAGCTGGGGAGCTGGAAGCTTTGGAGCCGGCAAACGGCGTCTGACAAACACATGTTAATTTCCACTCATCTCGGAACTCGGCATCTTGTTTCTATTTCAACGTCCCCATTTCTCTATGCCCTCTCATATGTATTATTGATTTCTTTTGGCAAGCCAAATTTCATAATCACACGCTACTACAGCGCGGCGACGATGCGTTGCCGGATTATTATCAGCGCCATAAATTAATCAGTGGAAGAGCGAGAGAGAGGGGGAGGCGAAAGGGAGTGAAAATTGCGCTGGTCGGGTATCGCCTCAGCCCAACCTCATACCAAGCTCCACCTCCAACCCCATCCGAGTGAAATGCATATGTAAATTGGCCGGGGGAAGCCAAGAAACGCTTTGATTTTGCCGGAAAGCAGGGGGAATCTACGGTGTATACTATGGGGTAGGGGGACCCCGCAGGCCGGGGCAGGTGATGTGCAAGCGAAGCATTAATTTAATTTTATGTATTTATTATGCATTTGCCGGCCACACGTTTATTTTTTATACTTTTTTATATATTTATTTTTTTCCTTCTTTTTGTTTTAATCGCTGCCCGGATTGCCACAACAAAAACTAGCCAAATGCCAGCGGAGAAAGTGGAGGAGCTGAGACTGTTGCACATGGAGATATGGGCCTATCCCATGACACACTATATAAGATTGGATTTAATAGGACAGGTAATAATATTTTTTTCCCATGGAAGAAATTTAATAAAGGGAAAAGTGATCGAAACAGGGGAATTACGTGGTAACTTGAATGTTTATTTATCAGAAAACTATTTTATTTAAGCCATAAATGTAAAGGTTAAATTCAGATATATTTTTAATTATTTTTTAAAACATGAAGGGGATCTTTTAGCTTCATCTGTGTAATTCAGAAGAGATGCTTTTTTTGGGAGTACAAAGACCAAACTTACACATTGCCAAGGATAACACTGTTTTGGGGTTTTACAAAGACAAAACCTACAAGACTTCGCTCTAAATTCCTTCAAAACTACGACTTAATGCTAGGTTTTAGTAGTTACTTTTGTTATTAAGCTCTGAACTTAATTTTCCTATTTTAAAAATAGTTACGTAAATGTCTCAAGTATCCCACATTTATTTTTGTTTTATTAATAAATTTTAAATTAAAACAAAATACAAATAAACCTGGAAACCCCTTTCTATCAATATAATTACTACTCTGAATAGAAACTATTTTTTGTTAAGAGCTGAGCCCTCATTTTGCCTAAAGATTTGTCATCGATTAGTCAGCCCGAGCTGTCGGCACATCATAATCTGATTTGGGCATTTAAACTGTTTTACAGTTTTGTGATTCGGGATTGCGAAATGGTTTTTCTGTTTTGATTTTTTTTTATATTTTTGCCAAATTAACAATCGTTTATGTATTTATAAGTTTATAGCTGACCAGCCTCTGTCCCTCCTCTCTCTCACCCTTTGAATTTAGAAAATAGATAATTTCCACTAATTTTTATGACATTTTATGTAACGGATCTGTTTGGGTTTTCTGCCGTATTACATATGATACCACCTGTCCACAAATATTTTCAGCGTAGGGCAGGGCAGGGACGGAACCGAGTGATCCGAGAGAGGCTGGCTCAATAAATTAATTTATGATGGCCATAAAGTCGCATAAATCATAGTTTTTAATGACGATTGGCGTTGTCCATAAAAGATTTTCGGGTGTTGGTCTTTGAATATTTGAATATTTTAAGTAAGTGATGGCCGAGGAGGGTCCTTAGGGAAGAGAAGGGTTTATAATTGATTATAATTATGATTTTGAAGGGGGTTTTATAACCATTCCTTAAAGGTATAATAATAATTTGAACAAGAACATAAACCCCATATCTAGAGTATTTTTCAACTCACTGACAATGGCTACCTCCATTTCCTACTATATATCAGATTTCACCCATTAAAACATTCACTTCCAACTTTATTTCACTGTTTATTTTTATAATTTTACATTTTACATATATAGTTTCATAGTTTGTTCTTGCTTTTTACGATACATAACATGTTTATGGGTCACGTTACAGAATAGACAATAAACCAAGTGTGATTGTGTGGGATAGGCTTAAGACTAATAAATGTGTTCTCTCCTCATCTCCTCTCTTGACTTTCGACTTCTTATGCCTTTATTTGGTGTTAATGAACAGATCTTCACGCTTTGCTGTCACATATATATGTTTTTTATATATATATATCGGTTTAAGATTAATAATTTCCATCAATTTTGTGAAGACTTTGCAACTCAACTTCCGCGCACACGATTACGATTACGATTACGATCTGTGTGCAAAGTCTTCTGACAAAAGTGAACAATTTGTGTGGCGCAAACAATGTGCACGATGTGTCTGTCTGTGAGTCAATCAATCGGTGATTGAGATAGAGGGGTATATCTAGCTGTTGGTTGGTTGGTGTTGCCCTTATCTATACATTTAATACTGGGTATGACTTTCACGGCCACAACTGAGGGGCTTGAGCTTAGGCTAGGCTAGGATAGGATAGCAGATCGCGCGATCATGCACATTGTTGCCGACGCGGTTGCTTAGACAAAATACATTTTACATAACGCAACTTAACGCTTAATCAACGGGTGCTGTTTAAGGGCAAAAGACTAAGACTTTATCCAACTATTGTTAACGAAATTTCGGTGAGTGTGGCTAACATAAAACCTAGAACATAAAACGGATTCAAAAAAGATATGTAGAACGAAACATAAAGCAGATAAACAACACGATTCATTATTCATAAGGATGTTCAGCTTTTGGCTTTTCTCTGCTTTTGTAGCACAAAAGCTGAACATTTACAAAAATGGCTTATTAAACATTTAGAATTATAATTATAACGATTATGTAAATTGTATTTTATGATGTATGTATTATGTCATGCCATGTCCTGTCCTGGTTTCCACACCGAAATTCTCCCTTCAATTTGCAAAAAGGTTTCGTTTGGCAAATTGAAAGGTTTAAGTGAAAGCCCAGGAAACTGGGACGGCGACGTTGCTTACGCCTAACACTTAATATTATAATATATATTCATTATTCGACGAGTTTCATCAAGCATATGGTGACCACAATGGTAAATGGTTTTGCTGTTTGCTTTGAAAAATAAATCAAAAAATGTCATTGCCTCTTCTACTTCCTCCTACTTCTTCCACGAAATTTTGTCCAGCATTTTGTATTTATTTTTGAAAGCGTTGGCCGTATGCAGCTAAGAGGTATCAATAGTCCTTTGTTCATCAATTCAATTCAAGTGTCCGAAGCCTCTGCTTCGGTTTCAACTTTAATCTTAAGTTTAGGTTTAGTACAAGGTCTGGCTTTTGTTTTTTTGTTGGGGGTCTCTTTAAGGCTAGTTATTGTTCGATTCTCCTCCTCAACTTGGCTTAACATCCACTCATCCGGCTCTGTCCAGTGTTTCGTGTTCAATTTCAACAACAAAAATAAATAAAATAATAACACCAGCAGTTGGCACAACTTGCACATAAATAAATAAATAGGTATTAACTAATAAATTTGCTATTTCAAAAAGAATACACACTGTTTTTTGCTTCTTTTTCTCTTTTTTTGTTTCCTTTTTGAATTTGCACCTAGCTTGGGGTTTTTGGATTTTGTTTTAAGGTTTGTGGACGGGTATTTTAATTAGCTTTTTGTTTTTCTGTAAAGAAAACTATTTGAACTCGCCTATTTCTTGGCATTGTTGAGGCCCAGTTCACTGAGGATTTTCAGGGCATTGCGTGCGGCATCATTCTGCGACTCCTCGGAGCTCTTGCCCACGCCATGGCAGATCTGTGGCGGATTTGTGGACAGAGTCACTATGGTCAGAAACTCGTTGTGATTGCCCTTGGGATAGTCCGAGAAGTTGACCTGGCAAAGGAGGAGATTTGTTACAGAAACTGGGGTTTGGCAATGCCTCTTAACTCACCTCAAAGTCTAGGAGTTTACTGAGATACAGCAGCTGCTCTTTCATATGGACACCCGCTCCTTGGCTGCTGCTATTGCTATTGCTGTTGGTGTTGGTAGTGGTGTTGCTGTTGTTGTTGCTGCTGCTGCTGCTACTGTTGCTGCTCACTCCGCTGGTATTGCTGCCACTGGAAGTGTTCAGGGCACTCTCACTGGCCGCCTCTGTGGACTGGGTATCGTTGCTACTGCTGCTGCTGGTGTTGCCTGTATTCGCACTGCTGCTCTTGTGCTCCTCCTCAGCGGCAGGTGCTGCATCCGTGGCGACCTCCTCCTCTTTGGAGTCTGCATTGGCCTTGACCACCACCACTTGATCTCTCTTTTTCGCAGCTGTTAAGAAATAAAATAAATAATAAATGAAATAATTCATTTAAAAACCTTTTCAACTCACGTTTCTTGTTCTGGCGAAGTATTAGAATGCCCGGCATAGGACCCACTGGCGTGGACACCATGGGCACATCCCCTTCATTTGTAGACTCCACTGTGGGGGCTGTGACTGCCGAGACTGTGGCTGAGCTGCTAGTCTCTCCCAAACCCTGCGTTTCATTGCTGGGCGTAAAGTCTGTAGCCTCCAGGAGTTCAAAGAGAGCTAAGAAACATAAAAATAAATAATATAAAATAAAATATAAATAAATAAATATAAATAATCCAAAGCCTCACCCTGAGCTGCATTCCTCTTGGCCAACTTCTTGCTGTTGCCTGTCCCGCGGGCCGTGCTGCCGCTGGCGGAGACCTCCATGACAAACTCCCGCCGCCGGGCGCTCTCGTTGCCATTCTTGGCTATCAGTTCAAAGATGGGCTCCTTCTCCTTGCGCGTCTGCTGCAGCTGGATAAGCTTCGTGATGGGATTCTCGGCATCGTCTGGCTCTATAATCTTCTCCTTCATGGTGACATTGGTCCGCTTACGTCTCTCTGGCTTACCCGAGGGCGGAGTTACGCCCTCGCCTGGCACTACCGCCGCTCCTGGTGCCGCTGTTCCTGCATTTTTGCCCGGCGTCTTCACCTTGATCCGCTTTAAGGGCGTCTGTTTGGTGGGTGTCAGAGGCGGCAGTTTCTGCAGCTCGGCAAGCATCTTCTCGGCAGCTCGCTTCTTTGATACCTTCTTGCCATTGCCCTCGCCCTCGGTGGCAATGGAACCCACAATGCAGGCCGTTATGAAGTTCTTCATGTGCGCCGGTCCCTCCTCGCGCAGCACCTTGAAATGCACCGTCATGTTCCGCTTGATTCCAATCTCATGAACCTGCGAGATGGGTGACTTCTTGTCCCCCTCATCCATGGAGTCCTCCAGGGCCTCCTCTGAGGCAGAGATGGCCTGGGTCTTTAGAACCTGCAAGGCCCGGGCCGCTGCATCATGCTTGGCCTGCTGCAGGGTTCGTCCGATTCCAACAAACTTCTGCTTACCCACGAACAGGGTAATCTTGCTGGGCGCCGTGGGCACAGGAGCATAGGGGCCATTGGGTCCATGGAGGACATGTGGTCCCAGTGGTGGAGGAAGAGCAAAGCGCGAAGGAAACTTTGGAGGAAAGGGTCTTTGTCCTGGGCCATGATAGAAGCCATGCGGATGCATTGGAGGCGAGGGAATGGGCACAAATCCATTGCCATGCCTTTGCCTCAAAGCATACGCAGGTGGCGGCGGTTGAGGCGGCATTCCCGCACCCGATGGAGCCGTTAGCATGGGAGCACCGCCATAATCCGGCAGCATGGGTTCCGCCGGCGGTATCTGCGTGGGATCCAGCAGGTAGAACGTGCGCTGCCCCAGCTTCATGGCCAAGGCATTCAGCTCCACCGTCGGTGTTATGTGCGTGCGCATCGGACCGCCCTCATCGCTGCGCCGAATCTTTGGCGGCGGATGCTTGTACTTGGTGTCCTCGATGGCTTTACTGGCGGCCAAATGCTGAGCCTTTTTGATCTTGAAACCATCTGCTGAGTACTCCTCCTCGCCCAGCTTCAGGGTCACTGTGAAGGTCTTGCAGTGGGCAGGTCCTCGCTCTCCTGTGAGCCTGTACTGATGGGTGATCTTGTTGTACCTGGCCAGCTCATTGACCAGACACATGGGTGTCTTGTCCTTGCCGCTGCCACCGCGTCCTGAGCTGCTGGTGTCCTCATTGGGCAGGGTTCCGGCGGCATCAATGTGCTCGCTGCTGCTGCTGCAATCATCCACAGAGGGAGCTGGTTCTACCGTAGACTCCTGCTCTTGGGAGCCTTCCTCTGTTTCGCTGGCTTTGACTATGTTGTTGGTGGTCACAGGTGGCTGCTCCGAAACGGCGGCTATTTCCGCTGGCTTCACTACTGGAGCCACCACCTTCTGGTTCCTGTAAGTGTTCTGGAGGATGGCCTTTGGGGCATAGCTGCTGCTGCTGTTGTTGATGCTGCTGCTGCTGCCATTGCTGCTGTAGTGGCTGTACTTTGAGGGCTTCGCCTGGCTCATATAGTAGTGAGGCGGTGGAGCGGCATAGCTGCCCAGATGGGCGGCCATGTGATGCGGCGGCGGCGGATGCGGAGGAAGCTGATTGTAGGCCAAGGCGGCCGGGTTATAGGCCTGCGGTGGCGGCGCCTGCTGCTGGTGGCTCTGGCTGTTGCTGCTCAGGTGCTGGTGCTGCTGGCGGATCTTTTGCATCTGGTTACTGTTGCTAGAGCTGTTGCCGTGATAGGCAGCTCCAGCAGCAACGGCGGCGGGATTCGACGGCGTCTGCTGCTGTTGCTGCTGCTGCTGCTGTTGGGCGTGGATATGATGATGATTCAGGCTGCAGGAGAAGAGGGGAAGAAGAGAGATTGGTTAATCGATGGAATAAGCTCCCGGGGCGGATGCCTTGGCTTTTGCGGTTAGATCAGCAAACAATGCACGCCAAGAGGATTATAGAGGCCATGTTCAATCTGCGAGACAAAAGTGTACATCGGGAAAAACAAAACTTCTCCTGAAGCTAGCCGCTACCCGTACCCCAACCCTTAGACCTCCTCCCTTTCCCCTGCTCTTCTTCCTTCTCTGTTGTTGTGCCTGCGGAATTGCAGACAACAGCGGCGAGGACGAACAATGGTCGAAATCCTCAACAAAGCACAAAAGCCGCATTCTCTTACGCATCGTGTCATTTTTCGCCAACTGTCAGTTTCAATTGAGACGCACCTACTGCGACACCCCAGCCCCAGCCCCTCCCAGGAGGGTAGGTACCTCCTATACACTGCTACCTCCGGCCTCATCTTGCATTTCACAAGACCAAGAAATATTTTCGGCAATTTATAATCGCTAAATCAGTTCGTTCGGGGCAAACAAGCCTTCAAATTAACATTGATATGGGCAATTTGTGATTAGGATCTGTGCAGGAAGTATATAAAAGCATTGGGTATAAAGATGTCCTAGGCCCAGGCAGGGTTTTATCTTATCAAATTCAATCTTCTGGGTTGTTAATAACAAGGGTTAACAACTTTAATTAGTGTTTTTTGAACTTTGTGTATCACTTTCTTTTCGATTATTATTTTTGTTATAATTTATGATATTTGTAGGTTGCATTTTTTGTTTCTTAAACCACTTTTTACAAGAGGTTTCTACTTGATTAAGAATCTTTCCTTTTTTCTAGAAAATCTAAAGAATCAATGCACATTGTCCAGGAAGGTGGTTCATCTCGGTTTGAGGAATCAACTGAAGCTGAAAGATATTTTCTTCACCTTAAACTAAGAGTTTAAGGAACTTGGGAATATTGAAGTCATAACTACATATTTCCAGCAATCTTATATACCTTTTCTAAGGTTTTTATCCATCTCCTTCTAATATAACTAAACTACAAATTCTTTTCAGAGTATTATTATTAATTTTCAGAGATTTACATGCACCAGGAAAGAATTCTCTTGATGAATTAACAAAACAACAAACTATATTGTGAGATATTATATCCATTTTCCGAGATTTACTTGCACCAGGACAGAAATTTCCTGAAAATACAACTGAACTCACTGTCCTGAGATTTTTATAATCCAATTTTCTAAGATTTACAGGCACCTCTAGAACCTTTATCCCCCCATCACTTTCTAACCATTTAAAACTACAAACTCCAGCATATTTCACCTCTCACTTGGCACTGATGATAGAATTTCATGATCGTCATGGAAAAGCGTACGTAAAAGTACGTTATACAAAACTGCAATCAGGTTTAACTCATATAAAGCGATCCCTTCCGAAACCGAACCGAAGCGAGTGGCAGGCAAGACGCAACTGAAGGCGGAGCGGGTTGAAAAGTTCATTGCTAGTCCAAAGAGTCGGGGGCAAAAACATATGATGATGGGAGAGGAGCCTGAAAATCGAGCGAGGCTCGATCAAGGAACGTCAAGGATAATTGCAGCCGGGGCAAACCCGTTATCCAGCGGAAGTCATGCTGAGCGTAAAAGAACAAAGAGCCACTGAAATTATAATTTATGAGTTGAGAAAATGGGATGATGAGTCTCACACCGATTGTCAGTGACAGGAATTAACATAATTGCCGCAACGCATAAAGCACAGACAAGCTGGCGATGGACCCAAAGGTGATCTCTCTCTGGAAACCTAAGGATCTACGTTGGATCTCTGGGAGAGAGAGAGATCCAAATTGAGGTTTCTTTCTTTTAAGGTCCTGAGAGAGATCCAAGCTAACCAGATTATCCTTACGGGCACACCAAGTGCTCTTCCTGTAAAGGTATCCTATTACCAAGACAGGAAAATGTTTGCCTTTTTCTAAGGAACTGTGTCATCCGGGGAAGGTTTCTCGGTTTTGTGAGTTCAAACTGAGGGAGGAGGTCACATTCACCTTAAAATTAGAGACCTTAGGAAGATCAAGGAGTCTTGAAATATTTGTTGATAGGTTTTCTGAACTAATAAGAGTTTCCAGCAAACTATTACAACTTTTCTAAGTGAAACCAAGCCAAGAGTAGGCCAAGGAACCAATCTTTTTGAAACTTAAGCAAGGAATTGATATTTATGACCCTCTACTGAGATCAAAAGAAGAGAAAATGAGCTAAGATGTGCATCTTAAATCCTGATAACCTACTGAAAACCCCCCATAAAAGGATCCCTCTGTGCTCCCATTTCCCACCCCCTTTTCTTACCGTGCATGAAGATGCTCCCGATGTGGAGGCTGCTGCTGTTGCTGCGGCGGCGGCGGCTGCTGTTGCTGCTGCAGGCCGGGGCCCAGATGCTGCTCCATTCCCGGATGCATCTGCATATGCCCATGATTATGGCTGTGGCTATGATGGTGGGCAGCCCTAATGTGGGGCGCTGGCCGGGCGGCATGAACGTTATGCTGCATTTCGCTGGGATCCTGAAGCCTGATTCCCGTTTATGCTTCAATTGCAGCTGCAAGGAGCTGTAAAAGAGAGGAGGGGGGGTGAGAGAGTAAAGCAATGTTTTCGTTTGGCCGCACAAAGGCCCTGGAGGTGTCTCTTTGTCTGGCGGCGATTGTGCCAGAGGAGCGGCATAAACAACTTGCAAGAAATGCAGCAGCAGCGGCAGCGGCAACTGCTGCTGCATGCAAATGCAACGGAGGCGACGACATCAACGGGCCTAAATCAAATCGTGACAGGCGCAGGCACAGGCACAGAAAAGGGCAAGAGAGGCGGAGAAGGAGAAGCGGTAGCAACCACCGCTGCCGCTCCTTGTTGCACTTTTCTGGTTATTCTTGCGCATTACGGGTTGTTTTGGCTGCCATTCGTGTCTGAGGTCCGGTCGGGCCTCTTCTTCAACTGAAATTGGATAAACTGCAGCTGCAGTTCCCGTCCATTGAACCTCTCGTCCTCTCTCCGTCCAAGGACTGCACACACTCGCAGCCCCCCTCGGCCGCGACGCCTCTGCCAGAACAGATCCAAGTCACCGCCGAGTGGCATAACCACGCAACGGGCACAACGCGATCTCTGCCTGCACTCACCTTTCTCTTCTTTTTTTACTTTTCTCGCGCGGCGAAGAAGAGACTCGAGACTCTCGGGGCTCACGGGAAAAATCACACACCAACGGAACGAGGAAAACTCCACACGGTCAGCGGGTTGGCGGGCACAGCCGGGCGGGGCAGTCGCGGAGGCACGTACCACGGGCGCGGGCGCAACTTAAAACACTTTACAACTATTTTAACACTTAAATTTAATTGATAAACCTATTTTGCACTGTGGCTGCGGATGAAACTCGAAAAATAATGGCTTGTGGGCGGGCGGGAAGCGGGGACGCAGACACCGATACCGATAGCGGTGGGTATCGATTTCCGAAATCGACTAGTCGATTGCAAAATAGGTGGAAGAAATGGATAAATTGTTGAAGCAACCAGCGTTGCCAGACTTAACCATAATTTAACGAATTTTTAAAAAATTTTGAAAAATATTTTTTAAAACTATATAATTGATTAAATTTTGTAAATAAATACTTTTTTTCGTCTAGTTTGTATCATGCAAAAGCCTTTTAATTATTTATTTATATAGAGGATAATTAAATTCGTTGAACGTGTTGTGGTTTCCGTACTTTGTAAAATTATTCCATTAAATACTACATAATAAATAGCCAATAGATTATCCCAAAAATAGAATTTTCAAATAAGTTCAAAAGCCGCGGCCCCCCTTTCGGTGTGACCATCTTTAGTTTATCCCCAACGCCAGCGTTGCCGGACCTTCGCCATATTTTCAGGTCAATTCACGGTTTATTTTGGCATATTCCAACGGTCCCGCGACGGTCACACACGAAAATTTGTAAGATTTTAGAGCAGATCGTTGTTCGTGATTTCTTCGTTTTAAAACCAATTTGTAGTATTAAATTTCGGGAAATATGCAGCGGGGTCGAGCGCGAGCCGTGTGAAATGCATGCGAACGGCGTCGGTGCGGCAAATCAGTGCGAAATCAAGCCCAAATGTGCGTAGGCTAACACTCACACACACTCGCGCACCACCACACACACGCACATACACACAGCTTTTTCGGTCATCACTCGCCCTCCCGTGAGAGCGAAGAGCATAACAGTAACAGTGTCTGGCAAGCAGCATTGGCAGCGCTGCGCGCACGAAAGAGAGGCAAACAGCAGAGGGGCGAACAGCAGCAAAAGGAAAATGTTTTCATTTATTACTCGCGGCTGTCGAAGGAAAAGCTGAGAAACTGCGGTGTTTTCCCGACTGCAAGTGTACTAATTATGCACCGGGCGGGCGGATGGCGCCGTTGGGGGGCGCAAAGTGCGTTTGTGCGTCGGCCAGGCGAACAAATCGCAACAGCTGATGGCAGCGCAGCATCGAAGAAAAAAACTGAGCAGCAGCAGCTAACTGTAAAGTGCTCTGTTATTGTCGCACTGCAGGCCCCGCCCCCGCGCCCACCGCCCATAGCCCCCCAACATGAATGATTCACATTTTCCTTTGGCTTTTCCTCTCGTTTCCCCCCCTTTTTGCTGGCCAAAATAGACGCTGCTGCTGCCGCTGCCCATGCGTGTGCGCAATTAATTCTTTTCGATTTCCAAAGTTGTTTGCCAAAGTGCCAATCGTGTTTTTTCTCCCGTGTGTTTTGCCGCTGTTTTTCGCAGGCTCGAAGTGAAAACCCCCTAAAGCCAGAGGCGTCGTCACACACACTCGCACTCACTCACTTGGAATAAGCAAGGAAAAAGAAAAGGAAAGGCCAAGAAAAGCAAGTGTGTGCAGAAAACGCAGAAGAAGAGTGCGAAAAGTGCGGAAAGCTAGGAGCGAAGTGGCGTCGGGCGTCGGAGAGCCGGAGTGTCGTCCGGAGTAGTAGTAGTTGTCACCCATCCGTCGCAGGAAAATCCCCAGCATGGATGTCGAAACACAGGAAATACGACAGGTGAGCAGAGCCTATATGCTCTTTATGCTTTTTTTTTTCGATGGCCAGCAGAGCTAGTAACGAACGTAAATATGCGGCTCATACTTGAGAAAACACGGCTAAATAGCGCGCTCATTAACATTCCAGCGTTGGTAGTAGCAAAAAGAGGGGGCTAAGCGCAAGCGGGGGGAGCAGCGCGGCACTACCACCTACTCTCTTTGCCAAAATGGTGCGCTGAGGTAATGCCGCTCCCACTGTTCCGTCCGCTCTGCCAAAGCAGTTACAGTGGAAGCTCGGTGGAGTAAACGCAGCGTGGAAGCAGTGGGGTTACAGTGGGGATTTCTCTAGGATTATTGCTTAGAAATTTCGTTTTGTGTTATTTAGACAATTACCTTACTAAGAAAAAAAAACAATTTTTTAACTCAATAATCGTCTGAAGCGAGTCCCCACTGTAAAGCCACTTGACGCTTAGCGCTCAGCTCAGTTGTGTTCAGTTTGGCTTAGCGCTTAGCGCTTAGTATGCGACCGACACCTACTTACCTTTCGACTGGTTTCGATGGCCAATGCAAACAACAAACCGACCAGCAACCGGCTAGTTGGCCAGCAGAAGGGCGTGGGGTGCGGTACGGGCTGTGGAAGTAATAGGCGGCGCTGCTGCAACTTCCATTCATAAAAACTGCAGCGGCAGAAAACCAAAGCCGGAAAATGGAAAACGCTCTGGGCTCCCCTTCGATTAAGCGCCGAGCATTTGTTATCGTTTTTCTCGCTCTCCGCTCCACTCTGCGGCAGCTGCTGTTGCATGACCTAATCGCTAAATAAAAATAAAGAAAAAAACGGCTTACGCATGCGAAAGTCGAACGAAAAGGGAGAAACGCCAGCGCTCTGACACTCTGCTCGGGGGTTTGGGACTGCCTTGCGTGCACAGAGCTGACTTTTCCCCCCAGACAACTCCCTAGAAAGTTGGAGCTGGGAGCTTGGGTTTTGGCCGTTCTTGACGCGGCTCTATGTGATCGCCTGGCAATACAACGCGGCAAGCACAAACGAGAGCCAGCAAAAGCCCCAGCAAACCCCACCAGAAAACCCATTCAAACACCCAAAGTTGCTGACTCAAGCGGTGCGATGCGGTGCGCTCTCTTTGCCGCTTTCCTCCAATTTTTCTCTGGTATATTTAGCCTCGGCTATCGTGGAATGGAATGCCACCAAAAAACAAACGCCAGTCGGGCAAGATAATGAAATCATAAAGCCGCGCAAATTTCAATTTCCATTTGTGACATTTAAAAAGAACGCCAAGCAACTGAGAGACTTTATGGCAAACATATGCGGGCGATGTGGTGGGTACAGAGAGCAAAATGTCGCGAAAAAAAGGGGAAAATGTAGTAGAGGTTCTTGATTAAATAGAATGATATTTTAATGGAAATTGGGTTAGAGAAAAGAAGTTAAACAAATTATTTATCATACCTCTCGGAAGCATTTATGTTTGTAGTTTTGGAGGTATTTTAGGGCCTTGTTAATTGAAAATTAAAGAACAAAATGTCGCGAAATAAAGGGGAAAATGTAAAAGAGATTCTTGAATAAATGGAATAATATTTTGGGAACTAGGTTGCAGACATGCCAAAAATTTAAGTGGAAAATGTTGTAAAAGTTCTTGAAAATTTGAATAATATCTAAAATGGAAATTAGGTAGGAGAAAAGTAGGTTAGAAATCTTTAACTCACTTCTTTCTTCTTTTAGTTCTTTTAGGCTTTATTAATTAGAAATAAGGTTCAGTTTTGGGAGTACTTTCAGTATGTTTAGCCCCTTATGTACTCCTATTAGGCCATTTCCTAATACCTTTACCATAAGCTCATATAAGAACAGCTGTTCTTAAAAATTCCAGCACAAAATGCATGAAGGCGGAAATCTACATAGTATCTCTAAAATAAAATAGTTTCATCACCAAGATCATTAGGAATTAATCTTAATTAATGTCTTGTCTTGACACAAGTAGATCACTTGATTTTCTCTCTCTGCATCTCCGTGTATGCTGGAATAAAAATATGCCATCCATTCAATCCATCTCTAGTTCCATTCATTGTGGGCGTCCTAAACCAGCACTCATTTATTGTTTTTCTACGAATTGTTTACACGCTCTTTTGAAATTTGAGTTTCAGACATTTGGTTTTGCTTTGCTTTAGGTTTTTCCTCTGCATCTCCAAACACATCCATCGATGCCAAGCAAAGTGCAGCCAGAGTTTTTCCATTTCGCTGCTGCCGCTGCCTTGCCATTCAAATTATGTGGCGGACAGTTTTTCTGGTGGACACCGGCTTAGGCTGGCTTTTGGGTGGAAAGCGCTGCTCAACTGGCAAACAGGTTTTCCCTCCACCTGTTGACCAATTCGCATAGTTGGACGACGGTCTACGACCTACGCCAATATTGAAACCCCTCTCTGCCGGTGCAGTTTCCCCGCCTGAATCTGGAATGGCATTTTGTAATAAGCTTTTAGGCCAAAAAGAAACATTTGTTGTTAGACAAAAGAATTGTATTTGAACGAGTTCGATTTGGTTCTTGGCTGACACAGTTATTGATGACTTCATGCAACGATCTTTTTGGTGGAGAAACCCGTTTGAAACTTATGGAATGAAAGCAAATAATAAAGATACAAGATACAACAGAGGTGTTGCAACAAATACGTCGAAAAAGAGGCGCCGAAAGCGTGTAGAGAATAAAAAAGAATTGATGGATTCTCCTCTTCTCTTCCTCTATCTCTCAGTTCCTCTGTTATCTTCCCTGGGAAATAATCTCTACTGTGTTCCGTGTGGGCTGTTCTATGTTTACTTTCTTCATTAATATAATCCCTTGAACTTTGCCTGGGTATTTTATAGGCTGGCAAATAGAGGTTCCGCAGTCCGAAAAATCAAAGTTATATCTATTTACAGCTTGTGTTATCAGTGAACCATGTTTTATATTTGTTCTGGAGGTGAGATAATAGAAATTGGAACATATATTTAGTTTTCAAACCGATTTTCGCCTCTGCTACCGCGACAGTTTCCCTCTTGAGACTCTTTTTGATTGCTTTTTCCCCCTAGTTTCAATTAGACCCATTCCTAAATAGAGTCTTGAGGCTGCCATGGCTGTGGCTCTGTCGGAATTGTGATTATGAGTGCAGCAAGAAATGGGTTGGCTGGCGAAACAAGGCACAGCACTCGAGATGATTCTAAAAACGGGGCAGGAAAGAGCCGGCTGCGAGTGGAGTCTTTCATGCTGAGTGACCATCGTCCAGCCGAGCAGGCACAACCCCTTCACTTGGCTCCACTCCACTCCCTTTGCTGCCCAAAAAAAAAAAAAAAATACAACAAAAATTAAAAGAGATGGGGCAAACAATGGAAGGCGGCTGGCGGCGCACGCCAAGCCAAACACGAGCGAGTTTATCGAACTCATATTGAAGATTGTACGCATGGCTTCACTCGGGGCACAGATACAGATACAGATACAGCTGGAGCTACCAGCTATACAAATGCAACAGATGCGGGGCGGGGCGGAGATACAAATACAGATACGATAGGCACTTGGCAGTAAGCTAGTTAATTGCCAAGGGAAAAAACAGAGAGCAGTTACGCAGGCTCAACTTGCCCTTGAGCTCCTCTGGGAGGGCCACCTGTTCTCGCGTTATCACAACAGCTTCCTCTGTCTGATTTAAAACCCATCCAAAACCCATTGCAGGCTCGTCAACGTGCTTCCGTCAAGTGGCTGCTCTCGAAGGCGTTCAACAATCGCGTGCCGGATAACCTAAAGGAGCCCTTCTATCGCGACCATGAGAACCAGGAGCGCCTCAAGCCGCAGATCATCGTAGAGCTGGGCAATGCCACGCTCTACTGCCAGACGCTGTCCAACCTGTATTCAGATCCCAACTACCAAAGCATGAACCACTGGTCAATATTACAGACGCTAGCGCGCAAGGGAGTACCCGTTGCCGAAACCTCGGACATGCCCATTACCGAAACGGTATTGATTCAAACGAATCCGCTGCGAATTGTGAGTAGAAAATTAGTTGAATCTAGATGTGAGTTCCTCCCCCATAATTTATGACCCCTTTTTTAATTCCTTTCAGAACGCCCACATGTCTGTGATAGAATCGCTGATGGTCTTGTATGCGAAGGAAATATCATCGGGTGACCGGGTCATGTCGGCCATTCGAAGGTGAGAGCTGGGATTACTTGGTTATTAAATCCGAGCTAATGGGTTTCCATTTATTTTTATGAACAGAATATCTGGCAGCAATTACCAGGCGCCTCCTGGCCAGTCCTATGAGCAAGCTCTGCTGGGCTGGATATCGCATGCCTGTGCGGCTCTTAAGAAACGCATCATCATGGAGGTGGAGACAGGAATGCCCGATGAAAATGTAAGCTAGAATATTTCCCTCTATATATTTTGCTTAATAACTTAATGGTTTTCGTTTTTAGGGCTCCCGCTTGCAGACGCCGGATATACCGCCTGTCAGGGACTTCCAGGATCTATGCGATGGCATCTGTTTGGCCCTGCTCATCTCGTACTATTGCCCCAAGGTGGTGCCCTGGACGAGTGTTAGGATCAACTATTTGCCCGCCGTCGAGGATTCCATACACAATATACTGCTAGTGGCGAATTTCTCCCAGAAGCATCTGCCATATGGCGTCTTCCACATGACGCCCGAGGATGTGACCTACATGCGGGGGTAGATAATTTTTTTCTAGCTATTAGTTTAAATTAAATATCTAATAATTGTTTTATTCTAGCTCCATGAAACTGAATCTGGTCTTGTTGCTCACGGATCTGTTCAATCTGTTTGAGATACACCCAGCAAAGTGTGTCTGCTACCCTGGAATGGATGGTCAGGGTAAGTGGAAGCCTTTTTATATGGTCTAAACATTCCCCCAAAACGCTGCACCGCATCGCATCTATCCCTGATCAATTGAACCCCCCTCGAAAAACGATTGGCCTGCCTGTCTGTGTTTTAAATATCTCAGTCCCTGGGGCATGCCTTGTTGTCCAAAGTGTATCCTTGTTTGCAATTTGTTTTCTTCATGGTTTCACATATGATTTTCTTTGAGTTTTAATCCTAATTTGGAAATAGCAAAACAATTGGTCAATAGAGAGGGGAAAAAAGTGGAATATTAGTCACTTTAAGGTGTAGAGAAACAAAAGAAATGACTCAATTTAAAAGGTAAAATCATCACCTGCAATTAGTCACAGAAAGCTTGAAGAGTACCTAGGAATTTAGAGCTCTTCACAGCTCGTAGAATCTGTAAATTAGCCCGCAAAGAATCAGTTTAAGCAGAACCGCAAAGCACCATTTAGGAGACGAGATAAACCACAACAGAAGTCTAGCAAATTTCCTTATTTATGTTTTGTTGTTGTATTTTAAACTGCGGTTTATGTTCCCTTTTTAGAGAAGAAACCACAGAAATTGACATGGAATCCATATGTAAAGCTCTCTCTCATCTTCACCTGATCCCACACTGAATCGTAGTCTCCACATTCTTAAATCAAAATCCAAATCAAAATCAATTCTGTACTGATCTCTTTCTTTGTTTCTTGTGCAAAACGCTTCCTTCTTGCCCACTTGTAACCGCAATCGTATCGAAATTTTCGGCTCCTAACCACACACACACACACACACTGACACCCATCACAAAACCACACTTAACCAAAAAAAAAACGCAACGTGTGTGTGTGCGTGATCCGCTCCAGATGTCATCGCCCGGCGCAGTTTGGGCGCCAATGAGCACGGGATCTGCCATCGAAGGGGCCTCACCGTACAGCCCGTTACGCCCATTCCCGATCTGCGCAGCGATCTCGACCAGCCGCCCGTTGGCTCACCGTCGAATCGGCCGCCATTTCAAGGTTTTTTTCTTCAAATTTTCTATGCGTGTTTTCCTCCCCCAAAAACAAAATGCAAACTTTCGATTTTTACTCCTTCGTTTGTTCATGAATGTGTTGTTGTTTCCATTTCCATTTGTTTGATGTTTGTTTGCTTGTTCTTCTGCTCTCACACATTCAGTTTGTTTGTTTGTTCGTTCCTTTTGCTTCATGTTTATATCGCAGGCCGACAAAATGTAAAGAAATTGGAGAACTAAGAAAAGGACTATAGTTTTCCGAAGGTTTTTGATACGCCTACACCTTAGGTTTTTGAGATATTCCTTCTTAAAAGTTGTAAATTTGTAGTGCTGTAACTTTAAAACGTTTTATTTATTTAAAAACCTGATATACAGCAAATTTTCTCAGTCCGGAAAAGTATATTCCAGTTCTTGGTTCCCAAAAAGCTGTCGACCTGTGTATACCAAGGTTTGGATTGGTGATCACAGCTGTTTGATATTAACAACCATTATAATATATAGCCCAAGAAGCAAGTAAAAGCAACTGTTTTAAGTCTGCACAGAAACACAGAAGCCTGGTAATGTCTTTGTCATAAGAGCACCCACTCATTTTTGGATTTTAAGACAATATAAATTCATTTTGTCATCTTAGTAACAAGCACATTGACTTGACGGAGACTTGAAGAAGACTTTAAAGAGAATTTATAGCTAAATTCTCCATTAAACCCATGCCTTTGAAAGAGTGAAAGCAATCTATGAAGCAACCTTCCCGTTGGGATAATTACCGAGTTCATGGGGGCACCACCACTTGGCACCCCATTTATACACGGAATGTTTCTGCTTTCGATTTGTGTTGTGTTTGCTTTTGCCCAATGCTTCCGATGCAACCAAAATATATATTTTAAAGTTTATCTACCTGCAAGCTGAACAAATTGTTTATTATTTAATTATTTCATTTTCTTTTCTTGTGTTTTAATTTTTGTTTATAATTTAGTTCCGCACTCGAATTCATTTGGCGGCGGCTTAAACCGCAAAACCACTCCGCCCAACGATTACCAGGCGACTTTTGATGGTTCAAATAATCAGGCCGAAGGTAATTTTATTTATTTATTTATTTATTATTCTTACTTTAATAAATTTAATGTGTGTTTTACCTTTGGTTCTGTGTGTACACATACTCTACATGTTTATTGGTTTTTAATTAAATTAAATTAAATTTGTGTAATTTTTTTTCTTTTTTCTGAATCCACCCCCCGACCCACACCACATGCTTAACAACCACAAAACCACCACAATCGTCATGCAACTGCCTCGCCGCTGCCTGCTACGCTCCAGCCTTCGTCGTGCACAAGTCGCGTGGCATCACCACCCTCGCCTCCATGCACTCGCAGCAGCAGCAGCAGCTCCATCAGCAGGCACAGCAGCAGCCGCAGTATCACCACCAGCAGTCACAGCTTCAGCTCCAACAGCAGCAGCAGCAGGAGCCCCTGGTTCCGGCTCGCTTGCGCCAGGCTAAAGAAAAGACCAATGTGGAGTCAAAGGCGGACGAGAGAGGTTTGCCTTTGCAGATGACTTTTTATTTCCAAGCCAAAGGGACTTGTATGTGGGAACTCTTTAAAAATATATTACTAATTACCAACTCTTAAAATCCCCATTTCCCATACAAGTCTCTGCCTTTATTGAACTTATTATTTCCTTAATTTGATTCACATTTTCATTTATTTTTATGTATTTTCCTTTTATTTTTTTCGTGCTTAACTCAGGCGATTTTGTCGCTGCGGGTCGACCAAGTAACTGGGAACAGAGCCGCCGGCCAAGCTTTGCAGGTATGAGCCACCTTAGTGACCCACTGTTGACCCAGAAATCGTAGTGTTCCTGTTTCTGTGTGATGTGTTGAGTTCATTTGAATGCAATTAGTTTCGTTTTATGGTTCATTTCGGCTTACTTCGTGTCCTACAAATACTCTCTCCTAAACCCCATTTGTCGTTGTTTTACAAGTTCCTTGAGTTTTCCAAGTTTTCCCTTTTGATTGGGACACCTTTCTGGCCTTTTCAGGACGTCGGTCGCGTAGAAATTCCTCCAGCGAGGACTCCCAGCTGACCATTGAGAACTTTGGCGGCTCTCAGGATCAGCTAAATACGCTGGGGAGATACGAACGCGAGCGGGATGTAAGGGAACGCAAGCTGTCCAACACCAGCGTAGGTGGGTATTTAAGCTAAGAATTCAGAGTTGAGCTGGGAATTAAATTCATTTTTTTACAGTGGAACCCGCTGTGGCCGTTCGCTCTTCTATTGCCGATGCCCGGGGCACCTTGCAGCTGGGCTATGACACGGATTCGGGCTCTGAGAAGCAGGATCGCGAGACGGAAAAGTATACGATGCGGCGACAAGCCAGGTGAGGACCAGGAAATCAACAGGTAAAAGCTTTGTAGTTACTATACCCCTCTTTCCTCTTCAGCGTCGACAATGTGCCCACGGTGTCATCGCACAATCTTTCGAATGCGGGCAGCCCGTTGCCCATGGCCCGGCACAAGCAACATTCCATCGACAAAGACTATCACAACAACAGCGGCGGCGGCGGCATGATGGCAGATCCATACAGTGATGCCCGCTCCACCAGCGGCTATGATCCGGAAAGCACGCCCGTGCGCAAGTCATCGACTAGCAGCATGCCGGCGAGTCCCGCTGCCTGGCAGTTGGATGTAGGCGATGAGGATATGCGATCGCTGGAGAATGCCAGCAAGCTGTCCACCATACGGATGAAGCTGGAGGAGAAGCGAAGGCGCATCGAGCAGGACAAGCGGAAGATTGAGATGGCGCTGTTAAGGCACCAGGAGAAGGTAGGCCTAGACTGACATATGTATATGTATAAACTATATATATATTTTCCCAGGAGGATCTGGAGTCGTGTCCGGATGTCATGAAGTGGGAGACCCTGAGCAACGAGTCGAAGCGCACGCCCGACATGGACCCCGTTGACTTGGACAAGTACCAGGTGGGTGTGGTTTTATATATATCTATGATGTTTTCCCCCTCACTAACCTTGCTCAGAGTGCCAGAGAGAAATTAATGTCTAACGCCTGTGTTTCCTCTTTTCTGTCCCACCCCCATTTTTTGTGTCCTGCTTCAACATCCCCACAAAACATACTCACACGCAACAAAAACACACAACACACGCCCATTAACCCAACGCCCACTAAAAAAAAACAACAATGGAACGAGCAGCAAAGCATCGCCATCATGAACATGAACCTGCAAGATATCCAGCAGGATATCCACCGCCTGGCCACCCAGCAGAGTCAAATGCAGGCGCAGCACTTGCAGGCCCAGCAGCTGATGCAGGCCCAGCAGATAGCCAACATGCTGAACCAGGTAACCGCCATTCAACCACATTCCCCCCGCCTCAAACTCAAACTCATCGCAGCAGCAGCTACAGCAGCAGCCTAGCTAATTAACGAAGGATATGGATCTAAGCTTCATGTTTTTGTTTTTGTCTGATTTCTTGGTGGGTTTTAAGGATGTTGATTGCTTTTAGAGGAGATTAAGGGGTTCTGTTTGTTAATCCTTGCATAGCTTTTCCTTAACTTGAATCTCCTCCCAAAGAAACCAATGTCTCTCTGACCCCAAACTTGTATTATTTGTCAACAAAAAAGGCTCAAAACCCAGAAAAAACCCCAATTTCGTTGTCAACTAACAAATTGTTTTATTGATCTCGTTTTGTTACCCGCAACTTGCAACCAACCCCCCGCCCTGATCTGCAACTCTCGTTACCCGCACTAACCGCATACACAGCAGCAGACCTATGGTTCGCAGCAGCACTTGGCCACTGATCATCATTACCAGCCGTCAAGAACCATGCAGCAAAGCTTTGGCTCATCGCCGCATCTTCCGCAGGCCTACAATGCCCCCGTCAGTGCGTACAGCTCCCGTCCGCCCAGTCGCGATCCATACCAGCAGCAGTTGCAGCATCAGCATCAACAGCAGCAGCAGCAGCCCATGGCCATGCCCCAGCCCATGCAGTATGTCAACGAGCACGGCCAGTACATGTCGCCGCCGCAGCCCGCCCACTATATGCCGCAGCAGCAGCCGCAGAGCATCTACAGCGACAACGGGGCGGGCTACAACCACAGCAACCACTCGCCGTATGGCGGTGCTCCGCCTGAGTACAGAAACAGTGTGGTTTATGATGATTATGGGCAGCCCACCAATCACTTTTACCTGCACGAGTCCTCGCCCCAGCAACAACAACAACAGCAGGGACATCCGCAGCAGCGTCGAACCTGGGCGCACTCGGCAGCAGCGGCCGCCTACGAGCAGCAGCAGCAGATCCAGCAGCCTCTGGTGGATGTGAATGCCTGGCAGACGCAGCAAAAGCAGAAGCAGACTTGGATGAACAGGCCTCCCTCGAGTGTGGGAGCACCCAGTCCGGGCAGCTTTGTCCTCCATCAAAACGGTGGAGGTGGCGGAGGCGTCGGCGGCGGAGGTGAGCTCCAGCATCTCTTCCAGGTCCAGGCCTCACCCCAGCACAGTCAGCGGCAAGTGGGTGGCTCCAATGGGGTCCAGCGTCAGCAGTCGCTGACCAATTTGCGGGACAATCGTTCGCCCAAGGCCCCGCAACCCATGGGAATGCCCATGGGGATGCCCATGCAGCATGAGGATATGATGGCGCCGCAGAGCATCTGCTTTATTGGGGATGAAGAGGATGTGGATGAGCTAGAGCGCAACATCATCGAATCCATGCAATCAACGCGCATCTCCGATTTTGTCCACCAGTCGCAGCAGCAGCATCAGCTGCAACTTCAGAACCAGCAGCAGCAGCAGCGGTTGCAGGGTCACAGCGGACGAGGCAGCAGCTCGGAGGACTACGACAGCGGGGAGATGATCTCCAACAAGCTGAACATCACCAGTGGCAACCTCACCTACCGCATACCCTCGCCCTCCCGTCCCTCCATTCAGGCCAATAGCTTCCAGGATCCCCGGGCCTTGGCAGCAGCAGCGGCGGCAGCATCTAGTGGCGATGATCGAGAGCCGCCCGAAAAGGGCTTCTACATCTCCTTCGACGACGAGCAGCCCAAGCGGCCGAAGCCACCTTTGAGGGCTAAGCGATCGCCCAAAAAGGAGGCCTTGCCGGGCAGCAGGGACAGCGTGGATCATCAGGCCACCCTTAAGCGCGAGTCCCTGAGTCAGCTGCACAACAACAATAACAACAATATAGGATTTGGTGGGGAGGACGAGAGCAGCAGCAAGCCGGCGGCAACAACCAGGCACAGCATCCATGGCCTCAATAGCCACTCCAACAGTGTCAAATCCCCCGGCAATGCCACCTACAACAAGTACACCGATGAGCCGCCCATCCAACTGCGGCAGCTGGCCGCCGTCTCAGGAGCACCAGTTTCACCCACTGGCCATGAGCGTCGGTATCTGGAGGATTTGACCAATCAGACGTCGCCACTGCCCCAGCAGCCAATGTCGCCCACGCGGCTCCAGCAGAGCAGCAACAATGCCGAGGCGGCCAGGAATAAGGCGCTGGTCATAGGGGCAGACAGCGCCAACTTGGATCCGGTAAGTTATGTTTTTAATTGGGATTTAAACTCCATAATCTAACCTAAATATACCCTTTTGCTCTGCCAGGACTCTGTAGATGAGATGGAGCGACGCAAGGAGAAGATCATGCTGCTGTCCTTGCAACGACGACAGCAGCAGGAGGAGGCTAAGGCGCGCAAGGAGATTGAGTCTTCGCAGAAGCGGGAAAAGGAGCGCGAGAAGGAGGAGGAGCGAGCGCGCAAGAAGGAAGAGCAAATGGCGCGGCGTGCGGCCATTTTGGAGCAACACAGACTCAAGAAAGCCATCGAAGAGGCCGAACGAGAGGTAAGCAATGCCATTAAAATCCTGTGAACAGAATCTCATATATATTTTGTTATTTTTTTGTAGGGTAAAACCCTAGATCGGCCCGATATGCATGTTAAACTGCAACCCCAGTCATCCACCTCAACGACACCGCGGCTGAGACAGCAGCGCAACACGCGACCCAGGCCCAAGACCATCCATGTGGACGATGCCAGCGTGGATATCAGCGAGGCTTCGAGCATCTCTAGTCGGGGCAAGAAAGGCTCTAGCTCGAATCTAACTGGTGAGCTTGAGAAATTTTATGATATCTTTGAAAAACCTATGAAAATCTGAGATGTTATAAGATTTCTTTGAGAAATCTGTGTACTTTCGGTCTCCCGAATTTGTTTTCAATTGATATCACACCGTTTTTATGTTAATATTTTCATGTTTTTCCTATTATTTCTGTGACCTGTTTTTATTTAGCTATTGATTTTGTTAAACCCTCGTATTTTATTGCTAATTTGCTGACCTTTATTCGTTTTGTTTTTCGTTTTTGAATTTGAACTGTACCTACAGGCTACGGTCAGCTAAGCTCAAATTCAATGAAACGAGATTACTACAGGGGCTCGCAAGACTCCCTCACTGTAAAAGGTAATTTTTGGCTTTTATTTTACCCTCATTAATGCATTGTCTTTATATATATTTCATCTGTAGTAAGTCGTTTTTAGTTATTATCCAAGTTAAGTTTAAGCATGTTTAGTTATCGCCTAAGTTGATTCGGTTTTTGGTTAACTATTTGAACTGCACTTGGACTAAATTGTAGGCTGTGTAAGCTCTTTTTCTCTATAATAACTAAATGGATATATGGATATTTGATAAGATGTAACCACTAATCTCGTTTACACAGAGTCACCCGATGATTATCCCAGTACAAGTTCAACTCCGATTGGACGACGGGGATCGTATAAAACTTCCAGAGGTTGGTGATGGGTAACACACACACACACGCGCCTAACAAGTTTTACTTTTTGGTTTTAACTAGGGAAATATCGGTGGTGTATCGATCATATAATTTATCGATCGATAATTTAACGTTGTGATATATGTTCTATAAATCGATTTAATCGAAAACACACGTTATGTTATCGAAAGTGATATTTCCCTCGACTCTTTTCTTTTAATTCCACAAAATTCGCATTCAAAACACGCTTTTGATTTCCTCTTTTTATATTTCTTGATTTTATAGTTTGGTCTTGGACTAACAACGATTTTTATTAACTGATTTATTGCTAAGAAAAGTCACGCTAAATGAAAATAGCCAGCAAAAAAAGAAACTAAGCTAAACTGCAAAAAAACCTCAACTACTAAACTAACCCAAAAAAAAAGCACTGCCAGTAAAAAAGCACCCCAGCTGAGAGCTAAAAAATGGATATAAGACACGGTTGAGGTTCGGAGGATATTTAAGTTTGGTTTTCCGTTTGGTTTTTTGAGGTTGCGGGGCAATAAGTTTGATTTACGACTTCATTGTAAGCCTCATTTTGTGTGCCAACCACCCCCACCCATACATTTGTGTTGATTGAATTGCGAAAGAATATCTAGTTGTTTTTTTCACCTGTATACTGATGCACACACACTCCGGGCTCCGACCCGCCTTGACCTGTTTTCAGAGCCAGCCGGCGTTGAAAGGGGCCGCACTCTGTCGCGGATCTCCGTTGCGAAGGGCAGCACGCTTAATTTCCGGGGCCGAAAGTCCAATTCGCTAATGAATCTGTGCGGTAAGAAGCGTTTCCACAACCACAACAAGCTAAGCTGCCTGCCTGTGTTTACTACCTTTACTCTCTACTGTATCCCTTTAAGTATCTACTGCTACGTCTTTCTGTTGATTTTTCGGGTTGTAACCTGTATCCTTTAGTTTGGTTTTGGTATCTCTGGTCTTTGATGGTGTCAAGTACTTGTATACTTTCTTACTTTCCGTATTCTATCTTGTCTTTGTCTTTATCTTTGATTTTTCTGTACATATCTTTGAAGAATACTTTTATTATTTGCTATATGATTTTATCTGTAAACCTTCACTGCGCTGATTCGGCTTCCCAATTGCTTTCAATAATGATGATGATGATGCAATAATGGTGGTGGTTATGGTGGTGGTGTTGGTCTTGGTTCCCTTTCAAAGCTTTATTGTGTTTTGTCTCAGCGAAATGAGGGATATGGTTTTGGGGTTCCCGGTTCCGGTTCCGTCTTGTGAAATAAAGACAATGTACACTCTGGCACAGACACAATCACTCTCACTCTCACCTTTAAACACACGTGCACTTGTACATTTGTTCGATTTAAAACCAGATCATGATCAGCCTTAGCTTTAAGAGATCTACGAAATTGCTTAACTAAATTTTGTGCACACATTCTCTTCTTTTATTTCTCTTTCTTTCAACTCAACTCAACTCTCAAACCTGTCTAAAAACGATTCTTGAAATTAACCAAAAACCAACAACAACAAAAAATATGAATAAAAACCGTTTGATTTAACCGAATAAAACGAACTCATCGCCATCCATCCACGTGACTAACAACGCATACATCAACTGGTAACCTGCATGATGGACTCTTTGGGTGATGATCTCGCTCTCGTTCTGATCCGATCTGTTTTGTGCATGCGCCGCTCATCGCCCGTCGCTGACTGAATGATTGACCACGACGACCACAACACTCTCTTCCCTCTCTGTTGCTTGCCGGTTAGACACAGATTCGGGACTGGGACGCGCCACACCGCCGCGGCGTGCTCCGTCGCCTGGAATGGGAATGGGCGCTTCAGGTAGGCATATGCCATCACCCTCGGGACCGGGCTCTTTGCCGCCAGGTTTGATATCGAAACGTCGCGGATTTGATGATGGATCCAGCGATTTCTCATTAACTCCGAATTTGAACATGGAATATTCGGGTTTGTATCTCCTCTCTCTCTCCTTCTCTCTCCCCCACACACATGTCTTCAAAAACAATCAATCAATCCATAATTCAAATCAATCCTCAGTTACATAGTTCACCCTCTCCACCGATCATCACCTGCATCTGCATTTGTTTTCCAAGTTTGGAAGCCGCCGCCTTATGATTTTCAACATTTATCGTTTTAATCGTTTCATTTCCATTCGTTTATTATACAATTTAATCGTTTCATTTCAATACGTTCCATCCATTTACAAGAATTGGCGTCTGTTGTGCAGATTGCATTTATTTATATACTCAACATGCCATACATATTTGAGTTCTACATAGATGATATACAAGTTCTAGAGGTCTGCGACAGTCTGTAGAATCCGATACTTGGTTCGTTCGTTTGTTCGTCCACCTCTTGCGTTCCCTACAATATATGATATATATAGCGCCGTCAAATCCACGACTTTCGATGGTCAAACGTTAACCCGACATACGAAATGTGTTTTTAGTGATTTAAAGCACCCAAGAAAAAGCTTTCTAAACCCCAAAAATAAGAATCAAATAACCGCTTCACGTTGGAATACTAAAAATTAAATTAAGCAAACAAAAAAGCAAGCACTTAAGTTAAGTTTGTTTTGATTTTTGTTTACTTTTAAAAGACTAATGTATGCGCTTAGGAAAGTTAAGCCAGTTTTATTATTTCTTTGAGAAGTTAATACTATTATTTATTTTATTTTTTTATTATTAACTTGAAAGTTAACCCAAGTGAATCCCGTAGATTCGCTTAGCACGTAGCCTGCCTTAGAAGAGTTTTAAAATATTTATACAATCTAGAAGCTTGCCATTTGCATCCAACAAAAAAAGTAGAAAATATCCACAGATATTCTTTTTTATTCGATATATATTTCAACTTCCTTGGGTTGTGCTTTTGACAGGTCCGAAACTCTACAAACAACCAGCGGCCAAATCGAATCGTGGCATTATACTAAACGCCGTCGAATACTGCGTGTTTCCCGGCGTGGTTAACCGCGAGGCCAAACAGAAAGTGCTGGAGAAGATTGCGCGCTCGGAGGCGAAGCATTTTCTGGTACTCTTCCGCGATGCGGGCTGCCAGTTCCGCGCCCTCTACAGCTACGTGCCCGAGACGGACCAGGTGACCAAGCTGTACGGCACTGGGCCTAGTCAAGTCGACGAAGTGATGTTCGACAAGTTCTTCAAGTGAGTTTTAACTATGAGATTTTCCTAGTAAAGAGCTCGCTAACTTGCTATTTGTTTGTACCTGGCAGATACAACTCAGGTGGCAAGTGCTTCTCGCAAGTGCACACGAAGCATCTGACGGTGACCATCGACGCCTTCACAATACACAACTCGCTGTGGCAGGGCAAGCGAGTGGCTTTGCCAAGCAAAAAGGACATGGCGCTTGTTATCTAAGCAGCGAGTAAGAGTACGAGGAACGTGAAACGAGGAGCATGAAGCTAGTAAACAGGAACGTGAAACGAGTAGCGAGTAAACAGGAACGTGAAACGAGTAGCGGGTAGCGAGTAAAGAGGAGCTTGGAGCGAAAAGCAGCGAGTTCGTTCACGGCGAAGCCAACAACGAGCGCTTGGCGCTGTTTTTGGCCAGGATCCACCACAACTAAACTATTCTACACACGTTTTGCGCATTAAGACATCTCCCTGCAGAAAGCATAACACAAACATAAACAAAGTTGGGTGTTCATCGGGGTATATAGTACATAATTATGGCTAATTACTATTTGCACATGTTTGAGGAACAAGAAACGAGAACAAGAATTGGAATTTACGGAATATTGTAGTGATTAATACAATGCGATTGAATATTTATTTTGAATATAAATGCATATAATCCAGCCTCTGAGAATTTATTGTTCGCGCATGATGATGAGCTATATAGAAGAGCAAAAGCCAAAAGCCAGAATATGTCATGGTGGGGAAAATCGAAGAACAAATGTAGAAAGCAAACACCATTTTTTATTAATTTGTTTTTATACATATATATATTGTTATTCTTGTGAAAATTGATACTTGGCGGAAATAATATTATGGAAAAATAATTTTTCAGCAGCCAAAGTCGAAACACTAATTTTAATGCCAACTAGCTATTTATTTTAACACTAATTAATACTTTTACTTTTTAATGCGTATTAAAAAAAGGGAATAATAATACAACTAATATTTAAAGCTAAAGATATATCTCGTATATCTCGATACAAACAAGAAAAAGACTTTTGACTGCTGAAAGCGGAGCTCCTTGGCATCCGATTTCGATGGCATTTCTCGCTTCTCGAGCTGAGAGGGTTGGCTGGAATTGACTTGGTAACTGCCATCGACCTTACTTTAAACTCTGTTCGAGATTGCTCAACCGTTCGTTGCACCTGGCCTGCACTTAACCCCCACTCATCCTGTTTTACTTTTTAATATATAATTTTAAATAAAGCTGCTCGTATCTTATGATTTACACCTGCTTCTACACAAAAAACGATATTATTTCCCTTGCAAAGGTAACTCGTGCTTTGTATTTCTAGCTAGCAAAGTGAGGGGAGAAGAAAGAGTAACTAAAATATAGAGCATAATCCAACTACAAACTACAAGGCCATCTCGGGGGCAGAGCAGTTTGGTGGGGGATCAGGTTAAATATTAAATCTATGTAATATGTATATGTATGTGCGTGTCGGGGCAGTTGTGTGCCCTTGGCCCAACTAGCTCCCAAATAATGAATATTAATGAGATCTAAAAACATTATTATATAAAATGTAATAAAGTTATTGAACAATGATTATTTAACAAAACAAATCTAAAGAGTTTCAATGTGTGTTTTATTAATAATTCTACTTAAATCTAAGCATTAATTGTTTACATTTGGAAATCATCTCGCATGTCATTGTAGCGCATCACATGCTCCTTGATCTTGGAGCCATCCACCCAGGTAACAAAGTCCTCGAGGTTTCGGGAGACCAGAAAAGCAGGATCCTTGACCATTTCGGGACCCACGCGTACATGGCCATGTTCTATGAGGTCTGTGGCTCCCTTGAGATGCTCCGACATGCGCACTGTAATGATGTTAATCTTTAAATTTATATTTAATTAATTTAAATAAATAAAACCTACGCTTGACCATAATCACTGGCAGCCGTCTTCGGCAGAAGTGACTGGCCGAGATTTTGGCTGCCGTTTCCAGTGTCAGTTGATCATTTGAGACGCCCATGGCATGGATTTTATTAAGCAGCATTGTGGTGGCCTCTACCTTGAAGGGGTCTGAGGCATCCAGCTTGGCTATCTTCTCAGCCAGTTCACGTATTTCCCGGGCTAACTTATTGTACCTGAAATAGGTTTACCAAAATATGTTTAATTATGCTAAAAATCTTAGTTTTTAGTGAGACTCACTTGGTGTAATCCTCTCGTTTTTGTATGTGATAGCGCCTTAGGATCTTGTTCTCCTTGCCGCTGTTGTCCACCTTCCAGGTGATAAAGTCCACCTTCTTGAGCAGCTTTTGCTCATGGAATTTGAGTTTACGCACCATTTTAATTAATTATTTTGTTATTATTGTGGTTGGCGAACATGTGCGATGAAACAATGTGACCAGGCTAGAGTCTAGTTTGGGATTTTGATAATCATTCAAAAAGGGTCACACCTTACAAAGAACAACAAATTTTAATCTCGTAATAAATTGTTTAAAAAACCACCAATTCAATGCCTACTATGGCTGCCTCGATGGATGAGGATATATCCGCCAACCCGGCACCTAGTCCCGAAGAAGATCCCCTGGCCGAGGAGCGTCTGGGCTTTGTCCGGGAAGTGGGCGCCCAGGCTGTTTGGAGTCTCTCCTCCTGCAAGCCGGGTAAGCTGGTTTTAAAGGGGTACCACAGCAGCTCTAACCCTTGATTTTTGTAGGTTTCGGTGTGGAGCGCCTGCGCGACAACATCATGGACACCTATTGGCAGTCGGATGGCCAGCTGCCGCATCTGGTAAACATCCAGTTCCACAAGCGGACCAACATTAGCCAGATTTACATCTACACCGATTACAAGCTGGACGAGAGCTATACGCCCTCGAGGATATCCATACGCTCCGGGACCAACTTCAATGATTTGCAAGAGCTGCAGGTGATGGATCTCACCGAACCCACTGGCTGGGTGCAGATACCCATTAAGGATGGCAATGTCAAGTCCATACGCACTTTTATGCTGCAAATTGCCGTGATATCCAATCATCAGAATGGCAGGGACACGCACATGCGGCAGATACGCATCCATGCGCCTGTAGAGGGCAAGCACTATCCCCTGGAGCTCTTTGGGAAGTTTGCCACGGTGGACTGCCAGAAGTATGCCACCATCCGGTGAAGAATGTGATCGAGAGTTGGAAGTAAAGTCTTTAGGTTTTATTTGTTTTTTTCGGGATATTTAACTGCTAAAATACAACATTTAAAAGATTACTAATTAGTAATTATTGTATGCGTAATATTTTTGGTGTTTCTAATTAAATGCCCGTCGTTCGTAGGTAAATATAAATCGTTTTGCAAATAAATATATGCTAAGCTTAAGTACAAAAGAAAATCAACAAACACAACTGGTGGTGGTTATTGTTATTGTTTTTTTATGCAAAATGTTTGTGTAACTGTGTGTGTGCGAGGCCTAATGCATTGCTTATTATTATTATTATTAATAATTCTGTGTGTTTTTGCACTATCCCGAGGATTGTCGTTATGATTACGCCTTCTTGGCTGCCTTCAGCGTCTTGTAGTGATCCTTCTCCCCGCCATTTTCAGGTGGCTCGCAGTCGTAGGAGGCCTTCATTAGCTGATCCTCTGATAGCACCTCTGCCTTGAGTAGGTAGGCCACCACACTAGACACCTGCTCGTAGGGACAGTCCAGACTTTGCCACTGGCTAAAGTTACGCAAATGGAAGCCCAAGAGACTAAATTTCTCAAAGTTTAGCTGGCCGTTGGAGAGTCTGCAAGATTTAAGATTAATTAATAACTAATTTCAGGGATTTCAAGGCGGTAAACCCACTTGGTTTCATGACTCTCATTGATGGCATGCAAGTCCTTGAGAAATAAAGAGAAAAAGGGTATGATGGCACGCTCAATTTTGTTGGCCATCTCGCGTTCCGAACGCCAAATAGCTGCCTTCATGGTAGAGCGGTAGTTGAGAAAATTCGAACTGGGATCCATTTGATGTTCCAGTCCCTCGAACTTGGTTGTCTGCACCTTGCCCCACTGGAAATACATCAAGATTAATAAAGTTTGCAGCATTTAAAATCAAGTTAACTCACTGTCTTCTTGAGTCTAGCTATGGCCGTGAGGTTTAAAGCCGTCAGTATGGCCATCAAGCTGTTGAAATTGCCCGTGTTGAAGCACTCCAAGGCAGTATCCACCCAGAAATCAATCATTTGTGCCCTCTGCGACTTTTTGCCCAGCTAAAGGATAAGTTATTCATTAAATTTGGAATGATATTACTTTATAATCCTCACCTTTAGGATCTCCGTGGCTGTCAAGCTGCTGAGTTGATTGAACCACTGCACATAGCTGTCGATGGTCACCTGGCTTGTACCCAAGGTGCCCGCCTTGGTCTGGCTCAGGCAGGTCTTTAGTTCGTTCTTGCCCAGCATTTCCACAAACTCCTCCAGGCGTATCTGCGACAGATAGGCATACTCTATGGCATACAGTTGGTGGGCCAACTCGAAGGCACTACCACAGCTGTTGGCCACATTGTCTGTCTTGTAGACAAATCGCTTTAGTGACTTAATGCTGCTCTGACGGCCCAGGGAGCTGGCCGAAGACTGCTTGGCCAGCAGATACTGCAGTTGGTTATGCGACTTGGCCTGCCTTTGGGCCTGAGATTGAGGTATTCCGTCCAGAAAAGCCTTTAAGCCGGGCTTCTTCTCCAGCTTCTGCAGCAGCAACTCCTGGTTAAAGTCAGCGGGACAAATGCTGAGCCAGTGCTTGAGTAGGCGGATTAGGACATCCTCTTTGTCTTGGCACTTGTCAACGAGTCTGGCTAGCAGATCCTGGGCTGGCAGAAACAAACGGAAGCAGGTGAAGAGGGCAAAGGCCACCTCCTCATCCTGGCCAGCAATTAGCAGGCTGACTAGCGAGTCCAGGCTGCCGCTTTTGGGCATGTCTTTGGCGTAAACTGGCGACTGAAGGCAATCGTTTGGCTCTGTGATCTGCAAATTGGTGTTCTAGGACAAGGAAACTTCAGTAAGGAAAAACTGGACTAAGGGATTCCACACTCACCAGTATAGAAACCGCATCCGCCTCGTCTGCAGAGCTGGGAATGTCGCAGTACATTGAGTCGGTAAGGGTGTCTCTTGGATGTGACCATGGCGCACTCATCGACACGCTGTGGAAGAGGCCATCGTGCCCGGAGTCGCAGCTACTTATATTCGAGCTCTTGTCCCCAATGGTGGTGGATGAAGCAGAGCCTATCACTTGATCGGACCCCGTGATGGCCGAGCTGCTGGACATGAGGGAAGCATTCGAGAAGGTTTGATTCAGCTGGCGACCCAGCGGATCGGACGGGCGATGATCGTCCGAGGCGAACGTGGAATTCGAAGTGGATCGGTATTTTAAGGCATTCTCCGGGGTGGCCCTAGCCAAAGCTGACTGCTGCTGTTGCTTGACGGGATGCCAGATTTCCTTCTGGTGCGACTGATGGTTAAAGTTTTCCTTGGTTTCCACTGTCCGCTCGTCCAGGATCTGGCCATTGCGCGAGACTAGCACCTCTTCTGTGGTGGTCAGCGAAGACTTCACCGTCAGCGAGGTCTCCACCTCGATGGGCTGCTGGGCCAAGCCGGCACGAAAGAGTAGTTGGTTGAGATGCTCCACGGAGGGCATTTGTCCCTCCAGCAGGGCCGCCTTGATGGCACTAGCATCATCCGCTGGGAGGCCGTCTAGCTTGACGGGCACACCGTTGACCAGCAGCACCTCCTCCTGCTGCAGTGACGTGGACGTCTCACAGTCCACAATCTTGACGTCCTTGCCGAACATGGACTCCACGGCATTCAGAATATCCTCGTCCATGATTGGGTGGGGGGAAATGGGAGAGGGGCAGGCTCTCGGGCAGATGGGGATCTCTAACTGTCAGCTGGTTTAGTGGTTAAATGCGTTATGACCCGTGGGACTCTTTGGATTAGTCGCAATGCACATGCACTAGGGCGCACATTTCTGCAATGGAACGAAAGGAGGGAAAGGGGTGGTGGGGTGACCACGACCACCTCTTGATTAGCAAACACACTTGGACAGTGATACTGGGGCCAGAGACAGGGACGGGCACAGGGGGGACAGGTGTAGAGCAGACACATGATAGCCGGAATGAATGGGGGGCTTTAGATTCGCGACGCTGATGACAACGCCCCTTCAAAAAGTGGGCTGGGCTTCCGATCGGAAATCTCGCAAGCGGAACGGTCGACGCAGACACACCTGCAGGAACAATGTTGCGCGGCGGCCTTTTTCCACGGGACGCACTGCCGCCATTCCTCACGGCATCACTATTTAACGCCCCACGATGATTTCTCTGTCGCGACGCGCCTAATATAGTTTAATTCGCCAATTTGATCTAATTTATTTTTATTGACTATTTTTTGTTGTACGGAGAGTGTGACCAGGTAGGACGAAGCGTGGAATTCCACTTTAAAATGAACATGGTTATGGGCAGCACTGGCCGTGGCTTTAGTTTATGATGGTCACACTGCAGAAGAAAGGCTGCTTTTTAAAATTAATTTTTAACTGATTTTATATTTGTAAATCTATCAAAAGATGCTTTAGTTTGGTTTTAAATGTTAGGAAATGTATACTTTTTTGAGCAGCATTCACAGAAAAGTTGTTAAATGCGTATCAAACTGTCTAGGAATATATTTTTATGACCTGGCGAGGTGTTTCAGTCGAAAGCTAATAAAACACTGAAGGACTCATTTCCGACCCTATATATCATATATATTCTTGATCAGCATCAACAGGCGAGTCTTTCCAGCCATGTTGGAAAGAAAAAAAATTTTTTTTTTTTTTTTCAAAAAAATGATAAGGGGTTACATCATTAAAATGATCAAAAATTTTGATTTTTAAAATTTTCCAATTTAGTATGCAGATTTTTTAACCTATTAAAAACTAGCACAGGACAGCTTTCCGAATTGAAATTAAGGCATTTTTGGCTGAGATATCATGGATTTCCATACTGACCCCAAGTCCAATTGCAACCTTCAAGGGTAAACAAACATCGACTACCCAAAGCTAGGTTCTTTGTTGTCATGTATTAAAAATAGTTTAAATTCTTATTAAATGGAATCAGGGACTTATTCCCGCAAAAGTTTTAGTTCAAATCACAATCTTCAACTTCTTTTTGGGCTTCAGAAATCAAAGCTTCTCGAATATCGTAAAATCATTTAAATCGTTTTATTTCAAAAATGAACTTAGACCAGAACATAACTTTGGACATTTCCTAGTGAAAGCCAAAAGCTTAAACCACGGGATAGGAGCACTCATCGGCCACAAGGCAGAAGTTCTTGCCGCGCGGCAGACGGAAGTAGCCCTGCTCTCCCCAGGTGTCATCCCAGGAGTTCTTGATGATCCAGTAGTCGTTACCGTTGTCCGAGCCATAGCCCACAACCAGGATGGCGTGGTTGGGCTCCGCGGAATTGTTGCACTCCTCATCGTTGTAGATGCCGCCATCGTAGTTCTTCAGACTCTCAATGCCGTACACCGAGCAGGCAACGGGTCCCAGGGTGGCCACCACCTTCTTTAGCTCCTCCTCGTCCTTGGGCGGAATGGTGCCGAATCCACTGATGTGGGCTCCCGCCTTGCTTTCGTCGTACTTGCAGGTGTCCTGCTTGTCCAGGTATGGATACGTTGGCAGCTGAGAGACGCCCTTCTGGTCCTCGTTGATCCAACAGAAGGCAGCCTCCTGGAAGCCACCATCACAGCCGTTCAGAGCAAAATCTTCAGCTGGACCACAGTCCACCAGGTTCTGCTCGGAGAGGACGGGCAGAGAGCCTGTCTTGCGGAAAACATGACCCTCAATGGCACCAACTGTGGCATGGGCCCAGCAGGAACCGCACGTGCCCTGGAATCTGACATGGGTGACGCCTCCCTTGTCGCGCCAATCGAAGGAGTCGGGAACATGACCATCGGGAATAGGGACATCCACCTTGCTGGAAGCAGCACGGGCTTTAGCGGCGCGGTTGATCTTGAGACCGGTCAACTGGCTAAGGAATTCGCCCTGGGTCAGATCAGCGAAGGCATTCACCGCCTGCTTGAAGGTGGAAGTACCAGCGGCATAGGCAGCGTTTCCAGCATCCACCAGGTTTTTGGTGGCAGCAAAAGCACCCTCGTGCAGGGCCTGATCGGCGGCGTTGAGGTAGGACTTGCCAGATTGAGACTGCAAGGGGATAACCAAGAGTTAGTTGTCTGCTTTCTGTAAGGAGTTACTTTATAAATCTCACCAAGAAGTCGCCGAAGCTCTGGACATTGCTGAGCAGTGGAACCTTGGGCACAACACTGGCAATACCACTGGCAGCACTCTGGAAGCGGTTTGCCGCATTGGAGGCCAGGTTTCCGAGGCCACCTCCCAGACCACCTCCCAGGCCACCGCCGAGGCCACCGCCGCCGAAGCCACCTCCTCCGAATCCACCGAACTGGGCAGAGACCGCAGCCACCAGGAGCGGCAGAACCAAAAAGAACTTCATTCTGATCTGTGTGGGGAAACAACAAACGATTAATGGAAGGCGGTTCCAACTGGTTTCTCGGGGGGAACTACGGCCGAGATCTCTGCGCTGTAATGACTATATTTGATTGCATTTGAGTTCTCTAATCGGAATACTATATGCAACCTGTCCAGTAATTCCCAACAGACGACTAACCTTACGCGCCCACAGATTAAACGCAAATGTTTTGGGCTCGATCCGGGGACGAGGCTTATATATACTATTGAGAGTCTCTCTAATGAAACCCGCCAACCTCGCCCGCACCCAGACCAATCCGAACCATAAATCCCAAGTCCAGTGATTCGGAATTAGCGTACTGATTGCCTGATCTTGCCTATACTATAGAGACTACGCCAAGTGGTTTGGGAACTCGTCTTGGCTCATTAGTGGCGCCGTGTAAGAAGCCACTAAATATAGGCGAACTAGAACTAAATCTTGTTCCGAATACTAATTATAATCAGGGGTATATAGATCTTGTTTATTTGGATTACGGGTTTGCTGTCTTTATAGAAATATATAGATGTTCCTTTCGCACTGCATTTTCATCAGATTGATTCTTGTTTTTAATTAGTTAGCACACTTAATCCCTTTTTAATGTTTTATTGTGCACTGATAACGAAATCAAAACGTAAGAAACCGGAAATTATCCAAAAACTCGTTGCTTAAATCGAGATTGAATAAACTTTGAATTCTCCACGGGTTCTAAATTAAACTTTAGATTATGAAGACTCTAAAAACTTAATAGAGTTTCCTCTGACGAACCTTTCGGAACGATGGACGGCTGTTAATGTTTTTGGCTCAGTTCCAAGTTCGATCTTTTATAGCCTTCGATTTGGCTGCGCTTCGTTAGAGTTATCTTGCGAATTCAATTAATCGAAGAGTTTTGAATATTAACTAGTGGTTTTTGATTATAAAATCTACGTCATGCATTAACATCTCATATCTTGATCTTGATATTAACATCTTTTATCTGGAATTAAGTCCAAACGACAGCAAACAGTAGCTGTATAAGAATAGGTTTTTTAGTTCCCTAAAAAAGTCAAATGTAAATAAATGTAACTCCCTAGGGGAAGCCCCTTCTTCAGGCTATTTTGAGGTAAACAAGTTTGTTATCTAAATTAGGTGACGCTGCGTTAATTATGTCAACTGGAAAATGAATATTTATTAGGTCTATGCTTATTTATGGGTGACAAGAGCTAAGCGTTTGTTTACAATTTCAAATTAATTAATTTATGTAGATTCGGAGGCAGATGTGCAGTCAATTAATTTGCTAATTTGTTTAGAAACAATTAAACAGAAAAAAATAGTATAAAATAGATAATTCATATCAGGGGGACCCTAAAAATGGTTTTTGATTTTAAAAGGGAATTATTAAAAGTGTATTAATTATTTTAATTTATTATATTATATATTTAGGCTCTTTTAATTTTTTGTATCATGTAAATGGCACTGCATTTAAAATATCATTACTGTATATATTTATATCCATTTAAATCTCCTCGTAATCACAATTATTGTCACATTTATTAATACTCGCTCATCATTTTAAATTTGCCTTTTAAATTCATTTCGAAAAAAGTGCTTTATGAGCAAACATATCATTCGTATTAAACCGGAAACAATGCAAAACTCGTTGTTAAATTAAACTCAATTATTGCGCCACAAAAGATTATATCATCTGGAGAGGGAGAGCAATAATTTCCAACAAGTTCATGTTCCGTTTTTAAGCAGTTTTTTAACTTGAAATAAAAATGAATAAAATGAAGAATATTTGAAATATTATAAGAGATTTTTATACGAGTAATTTAATAATCATTGGTCATTAAATTAAATAGTTTAAATACTGAAAACTTTCTACTCTACTTTTACCCACACAATTGTTTCCCTATATTTAAACATTTTAAATGTTAAATATTCAACAGTTTATTGTCATTATAAATTACTTAATTAAATAAATAATAACATAACATAAATTTATAGTATTTTTAACCACTCTTGTGGCGTCTGGTTTGAACAGATCGGGACTCTTGGACTTCATGGATGGGCGTGGCCTCTGGCAGGAAAATAATGGGCTTGCTTAGATCCACAGGAGGAGCAGCCCAATTTCTGGTCATGGGAAAGCGCTAATTTTAAATAGAAGAATTATAATTAATATTTTCATAATATATTTTATTTATTATTTAGATACTCACGCCACTGGGTCCATTGATAGAACCATGTCCCACCTGAGGAAGAGCCAGACAGAGAGCCAGGCAGGCCAGGAAAGTCAGAACCAGGATAACTTTCATTTTTAGGGATTATTAAAAGGATATATTAAAGGCTTAGTGAAGTTTAGAAGCTTTTCCAGGCAACTGCTTGGCTTGCAATGATGCAGGAATTCCGGCAAGATTCCCTTATATATTCAGAAGTCTGCGACCGAACTTTCTCCTTTTGCCAGCTTCCTGTACTTCCGCTTTGCTTAAAAATAAACCTCAAATCGGGATCGAGCACTCTTGCTTTTAACTCCAGAGAGACAGCGAGAGAGGTTCAGCCGGAATCCCGGCTGGGGGCATTCCCAGTTAGCAGTTACTTACTGTTTTCCTCGGGTTCTTGGTGCTTCAAGAAGAAACAAAAAAGTGGAGGGCCGCGGCAAAGCCTTTTTTATATTCGTTCGTTGGACTCTGCGATACATTTCAAGGTTGTCTTGGCATCTGCTGCCACATACCACAAATATATACATATATATATACGTATATTGTGTGTATATACGCTGTGTGTGCTTCTTTCATTAACCACTTTGAGCCGCGGCAGCAGCACAACATCAGTCAACAGAACTTCAAACGAAGTCACTCGTCTGCGTCTGCGTCTGCGCGAAGGTGGAGCTGGAACTCGTGATGAAGATGAAGATGAAGACCAAGGATGGAGCAGCAGCAGCAGCAGCAGGTGGGCGGGGGTAGGAGTTGAACCTAGCCGAGGGGCACCTTTTGGATCTTCTTGGTTAAGAAGAAGTCGCTGCCTTTTCAGCCTCAGCTCCACCTTCGTCTCCGACACACATAAAACTTGATGTGATGCGTCTGCGTCGCCGGAATCCTCTTTAAATTAAGAAAGATGATTTGCAGATTTGAATGCAGACACGGGACATGGACAGCGGCTAGCGAGGAATTATTTATTTTCATTCCTCAACTCTGTAGAGGAGCGCGAGTGCAATAAAATTCCCCAAACACACTTCAGATTCTTCTCGTTTGAGAGCCTTAGCAGTTAATTTACGATTATTGGCTTTCATCTTCGTTTCGTTAAAGCCGAAAAATAAAACCAGTGACTGGTTTATGAGCCCCGTTATGAAATGGTTTCTTCTGGCATTATTCATAGGAAAAGCGGAGAATCTTGGCTAACTTATGGCTGGAGTTCTGTTATGGATGAGTTTACGGTTCTTAGATTAATTCCTGGAGAGAGGGGAAGGTTTTAGTTGGAGTTTTAAGACCTTCTTAAGTTTATTCTCCATTAAATTTACTTGGAAAAACTTAAGTTTTTTTTTTTTTTTGTTTACTTATTACTTTTATTAATCAAGAGTTTCCTTTTGTTTTTGTGGTGGTTGTCATACAATTAAAGCATACAATACAATATATATTTATCGTTATATATAGATTAATGTCTTAGCTCCTTTAATCTCTTTCTTGCTGCTCGATTATCCAGATCCTGGGGTATCTCTGGGTCCTCAGAGAGAAGCGTCATTTCCGGACATGTCCGGCCGGCTCGCGGAAATGCTCAGTTTCTCAGTGGAACCCGGTGATTTACCCAGATCCTAACCACACCAAACAACACACACAACTTAGGCTAGCGGGGCTAATACCGGGTGGTACCGGCAAAGCCTAGTTGTGGGCCGCCAGTGGCTTGCCCAGGACACGCATGGCATTGGAGTAGTCCGAGTCGATTTGCGGTATGATCTGCTGCTCGTTGGGGCGCAGGGTGCGTATCAGGTCGTTGAGGGACAGCGAGGACTGCGGTGTCAGCTCCTCCTTGGGCTGCAGCAGCTCCTGGGAACTGGCCATCTTCTGGAAGTCCTGGGCAATCTGCTTGATGCGCTCCTCAATGCCGGCAGCCGGCGATTCCGTGGAACTGGGCAAAGCCAGCGGTTCGCTGGCCTGGATGGGCGCCTGCGACTCGTTGTCCGAGTCGGAATCAGCCTCCACCTCATGCTCATTGTCTCCCTCCGCCTCCGAATCGTGCTGCTGGGAGCTATCGCTCTCCTCGGCTGCGGGAGCAGCAGCTACTGAATCCTGCTCCTGCTGCTGCTGTTGCTGCAACTGCTGTTGCACCTCCTCGATGGCATGCATCTCGGGATGCAGCTCATTGTCGCTGAGAGGGAAGACATGCTCCTTGATGTCGCCATCGCTGTCATTGCCCAGCTCCCGGGCATGCTCGCCAAAGTTGTCGCCCTCGTGCTCCTCTTCGCCCTCGCCCTCAACCTCATGATCGTCATGCTCCTCGGCCTCCACATCAACCTGCTCCTGATCCTCCACATCCACATCGGCGGCATCAGTATCAGGCAGCGAGCGGTCATGATTCAGCTTGAAGGTGATGGGCTGCTGCTGGAAGTCCTCAACCTGGAGGCGATGGCCCACAGCTGGCGAGGACTTGGCCTTGGCGGCGGAGTACATGATGCCACTGGTGGACATCAAAAGAGGCAGCGGGGTGGTGGTGGCGGCATTATGCAGGTTGATCAGTGAGACAGCTGGGCGGGGGGTGGTCGAGGTGATGGGACGTCTAATGGAGATAAAAAGATATAAAACAGAAAGTAAAGATGAGTCTTAAGAGATTACTTCGGGTATGGTTTAAGGTTTTAGGGTTAGTGCGAAAGTTGCTTAGCCTAAAAGTTAGTTAGTTGAACACAAATCATCATGACAACATCAACAACAACAACGACAGCGACAGCGACAACGAGAGCGACAACAATTCTAAGGAAAGCTAAGCCCCAAAACCACCAAACAAAATACATTTTTTGGCGCTCACATGAAGATGGACCAGAGAAAGTTGAGGCAATCTCAAGGATACTTAGAGAGCAGGATCTTCTACACCCTCGGAGATTGCATTAACTTCTTGTACATCACATTGGCGTCTACAAAAGAAGTGTTCTTTTTTTTTGTCGGGTCTTTGTGGATCTTAAATCATGGTTTCATCGTAGAACTTTAGAACTTGGAGTGGCGTTAGTAAGAAGTTAGCTGCTAGGCTTCGCATTAGTCTTTAGATGCAGAGAGATGTGTGTGTAGTTATGGTAGATTGGTTACGATTTGGGGTTTAGCTCACCTATTTGTTTGTTCTTTAGCAAATTCTGTACTCGAATCCCTTGGATTCGCACTCTGTCGGTGTGTCTAAGTGTGTGTTAGGTGTGTGTTTGTGTGTGTGTGTGTCAACTAAAGTAACTTGTGGGTTATCCTTGCGTAATCTCTTGATCTGGGCTCTGGGTTTTGTTTTAGTTTAAGTTTAAATTTTAGTTTTAGTTTTAGTTCGTTTTACTTAATTAAGGACATTTGTTTAATTTGTTTGCTCGTATAGCGTATTAATTAACGTTAATTATAGCATAATTTGTTTATTGCATTATCAATATTCTTAATCCTCCTCCTTTCTTTCTCTCTCTCTCTCTCTCTCTCTCTCCAGTCAGTGCTCTTAAATTCTGTTCGATGTGGAGTCCTTAAGTCCTTAAGTCCTTACCCCTGCGCCGACGAGACGGGGATGCTGCCATAGTTGTAATAGTAGCAACGGGTCTGCTCGCAAATAAAGTCCTTGACGGCCGAGCAGTCCTCGGGCATCCACTTGAGCGTGGGCTGCTTCAGGATCACGCATCCCTTCTCGGCGCCACTGCTGCTATAGATTTGGAAGGAAAACGAAAAACGGATATCGATGTAGATAAGCTGAGCTTACAAGGGCATTGACCTTGGGCTTACCTGTCGCGAGCCGTGCGCTGGGGCGAGGTGTTGCTGTTATGATCAACGGGATCGAGCAGACCGGCCGAGATGGCGTCCGCCGAGTTCTCGAAGAAGTCGAAGGTGGCATTGAACGGCAGACCGGTGCTCATCCATAGGAACATGCCCGTGCCCAGGCGATTTCCGGAGGTCCAGAAATCGTAGTTGCCGTAACCGGCGTTCTTCAGATACGTGGTCATCGATTCGGCCTTCTCCTTAGTCTCGAACGAGGCCAGCTGCAGGCCCAAGGAGCGGCAGTATTGATAGGCCAGGAAGTAGTTAAGCTCCGGTGAATAGGGATTCATCCGGCTGATGAAGTACTGCACTCCATCCAGGTGGATTGTGGTGATGCGTTGACCTGTTGAAGAGGATTACAGATGAGGAGAATGAGTGTGGTAAAGATTTGTAAACCTTCAAAGCCAAAGTGAAGATGTTCCAAGTTCACAATAGGTGAATGAACCTACTTATTCTATATATATATATCTCCAAATTCCGAACGCAATTGGAATCGCAATGCGTAACCGAAACAGCGAAAATGGTAACGGTTTCAGCTTCGGACATAGCATGCGTAATCCAAAGAAACCCAAAGACAAACATCATTAAATAGGATTACCAAAAAAGCAGCCAAGTAATGAATCGCTGGACAAACGCTCCATAAAAACAGACAGAAGAAGAACAAAACTTTGGACCCCAAATTGGAGGGGGTTTGCGTGATTCACAATGATGATGATGATGACCAGGAGCATTTATGCGGTCCCTGACCCCTAGGGGCTAATTACCCAAGCCCCGAAATAGAGAATCAAGGTGCTGATGACATTAATTAGCCGCTGGTCAGCCGAAATGGAGACGGCGACCCATCCATCCGCCGAATCTTATGTAATCGCCGACCCGGAGAAGTTAAGTGTAGTAAAGTGAGGAGAGGAATGCGAGGAACAATGCAAGATGACAAAGCCTAAGACATAGGGTAACCAGGTAGAGATCTCTTGCCCAGATACCTTCTATATTTAATAGTGTATATACAAAGGAGTATGTGTGTGTGTGTGTTGGCCCTTACAAAGCGGCTCAAAAGATAAACACAAACAGCGGGGCAATATGAGTACTTTGTCTTGCACACTGACGCAACAGAACTCTACTCCGGACAGGGCACTTGGCCATTTATGGCACTTGTCGTGAATGGATATTGGCTATGGAATATGGGATATACATAGGCCCAAGCCTAGACATGAAGAGAGTTCCAATGTTTGAGGAGATACCTGTCTCTGTGTGTGTGTTTGCTCGTATATGAAATTATTTCCGGCGATTTAAATGCAAGACACACACGAAGCCAAGCACAAAGTCTGCCTCGCTGCCAAGATTTATGAATCAACTGATTCTGAAAAAGAGATCTTGGCACTTTGAAGTGAATTTATTATGGGTTCAAGCGGTTTAAAATTGAGATCTCCATCTGGTGAGCTAATAAGAATAATGATCCCAAAAACCCAGCCCAGAAGCTCCGCAAAGAAATTCTTAAATTTCATTTTAATGGGGCAATTTAAGCTTGAAGCTCTGGGCCAATCTTGGCCAGGAATCAAATTCAATTCAAGCATTAATTTCCGCCCCAAATGAATCCAGATCTTGATGGCAATCTCTCCTCCGCCACGAAATGAAACTAAATAAAAGCGAGTAAGTAGTATCTAGCCAGGAGATAACGAGCCTCGGCCCAATTGCAGTTAATTTGACACCGACTCTAAACGTGAATCCAACTGCGGGATTGGGATCGGGATCGGGATCGAGTTCGAGTTCGGGAACCGGGCTAGGGTAGGCAATAATTGGGCAGCAGAATCGAGCCAGAACCGAACCCAAGCCTCCCTGCAGCTGTCCGGGCACCGTAATTTGCCAAGGTAATTACGCCCGGGCCAGCGATAGATCGCGAATCTAGCACGTCTCTAATGATGCAGTCAAAGTCAATTCTAGTGTTTGCCGGGACTCTGATCTCTGATGGGGATCGAGATCGAAATGGTGGGGATGTGGCTGTAGATGCGGACGCCATTGCCGGAGGATGTGATGGGGCTAACTCTAGTTATTTGTTGGCACCTAACATCCCTCCGGCCAGTTAGCAGGCAAATCATTATAATGGAGATGGCGACTTGGGATAAGCACAGGGAAATTGATAAAAAGCCAGGCCAGGTACAGAGGAACCCAGAACCAGTGCAATTCTAGCCATGGGGTAATCGATGAGTGGAGGAGAGCTCCCAGCAAAGACAGAAGACTGAAAGAGTCTGGAGACTGCAAACTAAAGACCGGGGAATGAGGATAGAATCGAATCGATGCTTAATTACTTAATGACTGCGACTCTGATTCGGATATAATGATGGGAATGCATCATTCCTTGAATCTTGAATCTTTTTTCAGTCTTTCTGTTTTTTTGTGATTTCAGATTTTGTTCCCCTCCAGGCTTGACTTAGGCTTCTTTATTTGCAGTTCCTTGGAACGAACTTCTTTTGTTTACTTGTTAAATGAAAGAAGGTAGGAATAATTATGGGTTATTCCCGGAGATTGAATTATCATTTGCTGGCTGAGGTAAGCCGCCAATTAGCAAGGCATTTTAGAGAGTACAGAAGGCTGAAAACTTGATTAATCCATTCCAGGAAAAGACGTTTAATTGAAGAGTCATTACGTTGATAAAACCACACAGATTCCATTTAATAATTTAAGGTGAAAAGGGAGGAAAATATTTATTAACTAGGAAGGACCTTTTTTTAATGGATCTAAAATCAAAACTTTTGGAAATTAAATTTCAAAAATATATATAAATTACTTCAAGTTTCTAAAGTTCTTTAAAAACTAGTTTTCAACTTTAACTTTCCCTAAAATGATTTACCAAAACACCCATATATCCTTGAACATAAAATTTAGACATAAAGTATAAATGCTGGGGTCCCACAAAAACCCATCAATCAAAATTCAGTGACTTTACTAACCTGCAGCGCATGCCAAGAGGCTCAGCAGGCAGAAGAGTACGATTTTGGCCATCTTTCTTCGGCTTGGATTGGAGTTGGGGGCGCGCGGAGCACTATCTGATTGCCGCTGGCGACGATCGGGGAATACGAATCGGGTACTCTGGCTTTTAGGACGCGGCTCAAAAGATGGCTCAAAAAGAGTTAGGAGTGTTCAGCACTACACGTCGCGTTCACTGCAAGCCTTCGTTGTCGACTGATCGCGAGTGTCCAAGAACTGCGGACCGAAGAAGAGACCGACGAAGAACCAACCGACTCGCTGCTTCCAGAACCCCAGCGATTCCAGTTCCCAGTTCCAGTTTCCTCTTCCAGACGCACACACACACACACAGCACAATCACACACACGGACTGAGATACAGGCAGAGATGCAGAGGCAACGCGACTTGGTTTAATCCTTGGAGCTGGAGTTGGAGTTGAAGTACGAGTACGAGTAATTGGAAATGTTAGATCCGCTGAGCTTCTGTTCTGGCCAAGTTAGCGTTGCTAAGTGTCGGGTGGTGCCGAAAGCAGTTAGCTTAAGAAGGAAATTGCCGGATGGAAGTGCGGGTAGGAGGGTGTGGGGGAACCGTGTGGAATCGTGGAAAAGAAAGAAGAAATAACCGAAAGATACAAACTATTTGCTTATTTCATGGATGTGATTGGAAATTGGCCTCGCTGGCTCTGTCTGTGTGTGTGTGTGCGTGTGGCTGGATTCTTCCTGAGCCCAAAGTCAGTGCTAGACAAAGAGCGCAATAAAGCAGAGGCACACAAAAGCGGGGCTCAAACCGAAATATTAATCCACTGAAAGAAATTTAAAAGGCTTAAGATTGGGATGATAATAATACATTTTATAAAAAGCTTTAGTATTTTATTTTCCCATAAGGAAATTTTATTAATTTAAAATTATATTCTTTAATCTATAAAAGATGTTCTGTTTTAATATTCCTCCTATTTTGTTTCAGTGCACACGCACACCTTCAAATCCCACTGCACGTCGCCCGTCTTCATTCCAATGGGAGTCGGAGCCGCGGTCGGCGTCGCTGCCATCGCCAGCGTCGCAGTCAGCGTCGGCGGAGTCATCGCAGTCCATTGTTAGTTTTGTTCTTTCTCCCACAACGTCGCTTTGGTTTTGGGTTTGGGTTCTTTCTGCTGGTTCCCCTGCCTCCCCTGCCTGCCCCTGTTTCACTCTTTCTCTCCGCCTGTCTTACCTGTAGGGCTCGCTGCACGTTTATGCCCCCGCTGCCCCCTGCCCATTGACTGCTGCCAGGTTCCAGGGCCAGGGCTCATACCCCTTCCAACGCGGCGCAATGTGGTTCCATTTCCATTAATTTGGTGCGCTATCGCGACGCTGAGTCGCCGTGGAAATCGCCGCTTTCTGCGGTTCCTTGGGCCGCGTCTTTTACTCACTTTTGCTGGAAGCGTGAAGTGTAATAATAATAATGATCTTCTGCTTTGCATTTTGACAATATTTCTCGGCTTTTCTGCGGGTGCCAGCCGCTAAACACGACTTTTTTCGGCCTTAAAAAATAAAGAAAAAAAAAAGAATACAAAAGAATATGATAAATGTGTGCATGTGTAATTAAAGGCAGCTCTTCGCGGCTTCTCTACTTTTTTTCTTTTTTGGCTTCTGGCTCTGGAGCTTTCTAATTAACCCTAGAACCTGGTGAAGGATAAATATTGGTTTAATGATTATTAATAACCGAACGATTTAAGTGGCTAAGCGGAAATTAGCCTCCAATTAGAAGGGTTACAACGGAAAAGGGGGACGCTTACACAGAGAGAAGTTCCCTAGGGGCTCGCTTCTTGATCTTTTTTCTAAACGAATTGGGTCGATCTTATTATGTTTAATGTGTGTTACAAATTAGTTAGGTTCTTAGCTTTAATTAATTTTAATAATTATTAATTAGCCTATAATTATATTTCGTTGTTTTTTAGTTTCTATAGCTATCTTTATTAGCTTAAAAAAAGAGCTCCTTTTAACTCAAAAATTGTGTTCTGTGCATAAATTATATCCTTGATATCGATACACCATGTGTATTATCCCTGCTTCAACGACTTTGCGGCAGTACGCCCTTTCGGCCTTTATCACTCCCATTTGATTCCGGCTTAATGCTAGCCTGGCCAATAGTTAATCCCATTCGACACATCGCCGATCGTCGGTTGCAGGCTATAATTATGTACGCGTTGGGCTAAACATAATAATGGTCAAGTGATTAACAGTCATGGGAAATGAATGGGCCGCAATTTCCCAGTTTGGAACGGGGGGGGAGGGAATCGATGGAACGAAGGCTCCTAGGACGACCTGATGCACCTGGAAACCTGTGCGTGTGCATTGCAATCGAAACTTCTATCGCAAGTACAACGCAACACCGGAGATTTGGGCCCTTCGTTGAGCGTGGTAGTGGCTTTTTGTTGGTAAAACAGCCGCCGGGCGACGCACAGCGGAGGAGCTTAATGTGACCACCGCGAACTTCTGGCAATCTGGATTTCCAGCGGAGTGGGGGGAGGGGTTGGAGCGATGAAGGGGGGCAGGGACTATTGGATGGCCTTCGCCTTAACAGCATTCATCCATCTATACTCGCGGCTGCCGCTGATGCTGCCTCTTCTTAGCCTGATCTTCTGATCCTCACCATTTGTATTTGTGTGCGAGTGGGTGCACTGAGAGAAATATAAGTTACGAGGCTATACAGATGTTATAGGTTGTAGGTTGAAATTTTATAATTTAAAAAAATAAACTATTTTATACAAAATTTGAATTAAAGCTTTTGTTAAAGTGTAATTTCCACAAAAAATATCAGATTTCGGTAGGAATATTAGTTGAAACTATTATCACATAATACGATCTTGATAAATTGGATTTATGATCGCTAAATTCTATAGGACACATTTTTTTTTTTTTTTTGAGTGCTTTCCAGGCGTCGTCTTCTGCTTCTTCTAGTCGCCTCCCCCTACTCGTCCTCGTTCTCCTCCCCCTCTTCTCATCCTCCTCCTTGGCTTCCTTCTCCAACTCCTGGTCCCATTTCATTGCTAGTTGCTGTTCTTGTTCCTGTTGTCTTGTTGTTTTTGGTCTAAAAATAAACTCGGCACCAGATTGAGGAATTTAATTCGCCTTTTGGTAGAAATCCTCGACTTTGGCTTTTGCCAACGGACTTTGGTGCGCCTCTTCTTCCTTTGCTTTGCTTTGGTCTCTCCTCTTGGCTCCTCTTCCTTCATTCGCTTTGCTTTGCTTTAAGGTGGACTTCCAATAGCTGTTATTTTCAATGCTTAGTAATGGGTTTTCAAGCTCTCCTTTTGGGGGGGTCCACCCTAATGTGTGTGTGCGTTGCTCCTGGGTATCCACATCCATTTTAGCGTCAAGTTTAGCGATGATGCTGATGATGACGACATGGACATGGCATCTGGCCAAAAGGATAGAGCGAGAGAGTCAAACTAATACACAAATTTTCCGCCTGGGATCAAAGGATTAATGTGAAGCGGGTTCTGTGGCTGAGAAATGACACTCAGATATTCTTTTGAGGCTGACATTGCGCATTTCCACTTGCCTGCGTTCTAATTAGAAGAAGCGCATGTCTTGTGTCCTTGGCAGCACGAAGGTCATCGGCATTTGCATCGCGGGTCACACAAACACACACACATACACACATAGCAAACGTCGTGCTGGCCAAGCCCACAAAATCGCAGGAACATGACCAGCAAGCCGATCAGGAGCATTCCAATACGATCCGAACCGATCCTAGACCATCCTCGTCGATCCCCCAGTAACAGCCAAACCGTTCATGCATAAATTCATGTCCGATTTCCATTTCCACTCCCCCTTTCGACTGCCATGAGTCATGTGCATTAATAATAAACTTATTAAAATATGCAAGGTTTTCAATAAATGTTGTCGTCCTCTGGCTGGGATTTCGTTTCGGATGTTGGTGGGGTATATGGGGCCAGGGGACAGGATCCAGGAATTATTTCGGAATGTTTTTTGAGACCTTATGGCTTTGTCAGTAGGTTTGTCATGAGATATTTCACTAGTGACAAATATCTTATCTTCCCTTTCAAATCAGCTCGAATCTGTGAATTTCTCTAAAGAAAATATTAAATATTTTTAGATGATATTTTATGATGTTTAATATATATTTTAATACATTTATTATAAAATAATAGATGTAAATTGTTAATGCAATGAAATTGATTTAAAATATTCTATTATTCAAACCCACATAAAAAGTCAAAAGTCAGTCACAAAATCTCAGCAATTTGCCACAACTAGACCGATCTCTTTGGCGCTTTCCCAAATCATTATCCGCGAAGCCCAAAAAGAAAAAAAACGAGGTAACCCAATGATCCTCCTCCCGCCGTCAAAGAATGGCAATTGGCCTGCTTCGACTCTGGCTTGGACTTCTTCTAACTCCAGCTTCAAGCTGCCAACTCCAGCTCCAGCTCCCAGGTCGCCTTGACCATAACCATATCAACGGTAAATAATTTCGATCACAAAGCAATGGAGCTGAAACGAAACGAGAAACGAAACCAAATGAGCATTTGCCGGAGGATGGGGTTGAGGATGGCCAACTGGCAATCAAACGAGGGGAGTAAAGAGGCAATGCTATTGGGGACATAGAAGGAGGAGAGGTCGGGATTTCAGAGGAGCTCTTCCACGTCATTTCAGATTCCATGTCAAAAGGTGAAGCCAATTCAACGTTTTCTGGCGAACTGGGCAACAGAATCACGACCAGAACAGGCAACAACATCCACATCTTCCAGCCAACACAATGCCAAACTAACCGCATCAACACGAAAATCACCCAAAAATGGTGGAGAGGAAGCCCAGACCCAGAGCCAGAGGGGGAATTCCATAGGGGTTTCGGATGATTTCCACTAATTTGTGAGTCGCGCAACTCATTGACCCATGCATGATCTGCTTCCACACACACAAACACAGCGGATACCCGAAAAATTCGATCCCAGTACCAGAAATGTCTCAATTCGATATAGAACAGTCTCAGAAGAGAGAAAGATACAAAGATACATTTGGCCCGATCGCTGGTAATGCCCAGACAAATGGCCAAAGATCTTCTCATGTCGCTAATACGGCCATTAGACCTAAACGGTTGGAGCTGGAGTTGGAGGAAGGGGTGGAGGCGGAGGTGGAGTCGAGGTGAGCAGGAAACCAAGAGGCATTCTTAATGAAGGGAATCAAATAGAAATGAAAGAAAGACGGAAGTAGACTTTTATGTGCAGACACCGCCGCTGGCCAAGATTATAGCCAAGTTGGTACGTTGGCAAAAGGGGCTCATTTGCGAAATTGAAATGCCACTGCCACCAGGTTACTACATACCTCTCTATGCGGGTGCGGAATGGTGGTGTTCAGGTGGCCACGGCGTGGGTGTGGGTACGGGCATGGGTCTCGGTCGCGGTCTTGGTCTCTAGCCGGGTTCAAGCACCTCTCTGAGCCATGACTAACCGAATGACTGATAGCTGAGTGCCGGAGCATGGAGCATGGAGCACGGAGCGCTGCCGACTTCTATAATAGAGTGCCCGTGCCCGATTCTGCACTTGACCGATGTCCAGAAAACCCCAGAACCCCAGAACCCTAGAACCCAAAGCGGGCCACATAATTACATGCTATCTCCCGCAGCTCCACCCTCTTTTCCCACTCCAGTCACTGACTTTTCCACACGGAAATAAAATAATGGCATTTGCATTTGTGCGGGGAAAACTAGGCATATAAAGAAACCCAACAGCATGATCAAGAGGTAATAAAAGTATGGTAAAAATGATGAATGTTTCTGAAACCACATTAAATTTAAAAATATATTCATTAAGACCTAACGGAACTGCTTTTTCATAACTTTAAGTTGTAAAAAAACATAATAGCAATTTGTAGCTTAAATTAGCAGAATCTAAGATATTTTGAAGCCATCAAAGCTTATCCTACGCTATAATATTTCCTTACTTTTTATAGCCTTGCAGGGTTTTATAATTTCAGTCAGAAGCTGAAGGAGTAATTTCCGACCCCATAAATCATATATATTCTTGATCAGCATTGACAGGCGAGTCTTTCTAGCTTTGTCGAAAAGAAAAAAAAAAAATTTGAAAATTTTCTTAAAATCTGAAAATTTTATAAGGGGTTACATCGTTAAAATTGTAAAAAATTCACAAAAATTTTAATCTCTTAAAATTGTAAGTTTAGTATGCAGATTTGTTAACCTAGAAAAAACTAGCACAAAAATGCTTTCCGAAATGAATTTAATGCTTTTTTGACTTAGTTATGATATTATATAAAGCTTTAATACATATATCCTAAAATTATAATGTAAATTTTAATACCCCTTTAAGGGTATTATAATTTCAGTAGAATCATTTTTGGCCTACTTATAATATTTCTATAACCTTCTTAATAAAATATTAAAGTAAAATTTTAATATTTTAATTATTAAATGCAATTTTCGAATTAAATTCATTTAATTTTCCCCTGTGCACTCATTTCTCTAGCGAAATGCCGACACTAGAGTGTGTTTGTGTCGCCTACGATCGAGTATGCCATGGACGTGGATGCGGATGTGCTTGTGGATGGAGATGGGGATGTGAGGGCACCAGCCTATATATGTGTGTGCATGTCCAAGGGGTATGTGCTTCTCACGACAGCAGAAGCCTGGAGCTGCAGCTGAAGCTGAAGCTGGAACAAGCCGCCAGTAGCAGACATTGGGGCCAATGCTAGAGCCCAGAACCATGGACAGATGCAATGCCAGATCCAGGGGAGGATCAGGGGGTCGGGCCTCCAACACGAGCTTGATGACTATTATATGTGGGCAGAGGTCGGCGGGGTCGGTGCGCCGTGAACTTCTCATGAAAAGCCTAACCATGGGGAATTTAATAGTGCTTAGCACCAGCAGAGGACACCCGAGAACGAGAACGCGACCAGCCAGACAGATACAGATACAAATTCAGATTGGTAGCGTTCATTTGGCAGTCAATTACGGAGTGGAGATGGAGGTGGAGCCCAGGCCAGAACTCATGCTGGTAGCAACACCTGGCCATATTCATATTATGGCCAAGCACTAGCAGTCGCGGATCAGTCAAAGTCAAAGAAGTGCGGCCAGGAGAAGGGATTTTAAGCCAAAAGGAAGCTGGAAGAGGTGGAAGAGTTATTACTTCTATTTAATTCGAATTTGTATAGGATAAGCTGCTTCCTTAAACCTTATTTTTGCTTGCGATTAAACCTTGAGAATATATGTAACTTGGAACTTGGGTAATCTTCTGTTTACTCTCTAAAGGTCACTGATCAGTGGCCTCTTAATCGCTGATCTCGGTTCAAAGCTATTGCGCAATAGGCAAAAAAAAACCAGAAGGTGAAATGCTAATGATAATGATGCCCCATGGAGCACAAGATCTCTCTCGTTTTTCCCCTCAACAATCATTTATCAGACTCAACATTTACCAAAGATAAAAACAGTACAGAAAGCAGAGGAAAGCAAAGAGTTCCAGCAGCAGCTGTGTTAGGAAACTGGAGGCTTTGGAGCTCAAGTACCTCTCCTGCTCAGTCATACGCTCCTGCCGCTCTGGATAGACAATCTTGTGCTCCTGCAGGTAACGAATAAAAGCAGTCCGCTCCAGCAAGGACATGTTATAAACCTGAGGATTTTGTTTGTCAACAAAATTATAGCCCTCGCCGCCATTCAAAAGAAATGATGGAAGCACCACTCCATAGTACTGATCCGTTTTGACACTCTCATATTTCGGAATCTGGCAGTCGGAGCACAGGGCCTTGATCTCGGTGATGCGCTGACCCATGGGTCGGGTGTAGTTGAACTTAACCCTCAGCCCCGACACCTGGAGGAAGCCACTGTTCTGGTTCTTGCTCCGCAACTGGGCGGAATGCTCCAGGGCCTTCATCAGCTGGAGGCCATTGATACGCGTGTGGAATAAGCCGTTGCTAAAGGGCATTACAGTAATCACATCCGCCTCCGTGATGATCCCAGGGTCAATGGATGCCCTGATGGCTACAGAAAGTAATTGGGAGTAACTGAAAGGTCTCTAATAAGGAGTGCTTAAACTTACCGCCTGCATTGATAATACCTATAGGGGCATCTGTCCACATACTACTATCCTGCAGAGTTTCCTGCACTCGAGCATAGACAAAGCTATCCGCGATGATGTTACCAAAGTTGCACTCCCCGTAGCCGCATCTGTTGCGATCTCCATTTAAGTACACCGAGGTGGTGCCCACCACATGCCGCTCCATGTCATCGATCACCTGGCGATGCTTGCCCAGTAGATCCTGGATTTCCCTCTTGGGCTTAAAGCGGCTGTCCAACAGAATGGGTTCACCCTTGAAGTTCAGCAAGTTGCCAGCTTTGTCGAACTGGAAAATGGGAAAAACTATAAAAAAAAAGAAACCATAACTGGTGGAGCTCCCACTTCCAGCGACATCCTTCCCAGATACTTGGTATAGGCATAGGCCTGCACCACTGGCACCTTTCTGCCATCCGGCTTGACCACTATTGTGGGATAAGGACCTTCGGGTATGTCCTTGCCCGGAGCCCGGCCTGTAAACAGAAAGGTGTGCGACTGACCACCGACTACGACATCCACCTCTGGACACATTTTGGCAATTTCTATATCCTTCTTATAGCCTGAATGGCCCAAAGCAATAATAATGTTAACGCCGAGCTCTGTTAGCTTCCTGGCCGCCTTGCTAAAGGGTTTTAGGGGGGAAGTATTAACATCTTAAAAAATATAAATATATATAATTCCAGTACTTAATGGCTGGAATCTCATTTTGGAAAATAATATTATTGGGCTGCGTGCGTTCCTTGGTCTCCGCATGGATGTAACCCACAATGCCAATGGTGCGGTCCCCCTTTTTGATGATTGTAAAGTTCTTTAGGTTTTTGCTTTCCTCGAGCTTGGGCTCGTTGATCAATTTTAAATTACAACTGACCACGGGAAACTTAATTAGATCTATGAATTCCGCTAGAACCTCGGTTCCGTCGTCAAACTCATGGACTCCTAGGGACTTTAGGGGTTTCCCTTTAGGTATTTTGTTTATTTATGTTACCTTTTTCCCTTACCATGGCATCAGGAGCCAGCATATTCAGCATTTGGGCCACCATCTTACCCTGATAGATGGTATACCAGGGGGTACCATGAAAAGTATCGCCACCATTTAGGTAGAGCACTGGATCTCTTTCCTCTTGTCTATATTTATCCAAACTGAAAGGAAGGTAAGGGTAAGGATCTTTCTATTATCTTGGTAAGTAAACTCACGCCGTGGCCACTCGTCCAAATCCTCCATAGCAGTAACCCTGGCGGTCGTCTTCGGCTTTGCATTTACCTCCCTTGGCGGAAACGGAATCGTATCTGGCATGCATATCGTTGGTGTGCAGCAGGATGAACTTGAAGCCATCTATGTGATCGTGAAGGATCAGAAGCAACAGCAGGACCGCTGTACAAGTCTCCTGGAAAGAAAGTTGAATCATTTTTACTTAAAATATTTTACCCGAAGTCCCTACTGAAGGCTAAACAAAAGAAGACTTGAATGGGAAAAGCCTAAAGTACAGCCTACTTTTGGGATTGAGGAGTTTACTTTGGGAAAAGCCAGAAAATATGCCAAGTTATTGCCTGAAAGTAGTGGAAAACTAAGCATTTTTAGAAACAAAATTTCTAGGAATTTTTAAAAGAATTTAATTATTTAAAACAAATTTTTTATTTCACAACAGTAAACCTTTTTAGTGGTAAAATCCCTGATCAAACCCTAGCTAAACCCTCCCACCAGCAAGGCTGAGAAGAGGATCAGAGCTGTAGATGTAGATGTAGATCCCAACAGCCCACTTGCCCCCAAGAAAACAATGCGATCTTCTACGCCCAGGTTAACATTATCACGTCGGTTGAGATAAAAGGACATTGCCTCCATGTCGTTCCTCTCAAGTTTTTCTGGCACATAGTTAGTGTCGTTTAACTTGTAACCATCTCCGCCTTCCAGCAGATAGTCTGTCACTATCACATTGTAAGCTTTTTCATCTTCCAAATCGCTGTACTTGGGCACCATGCAGAAGGCACATAGCACCTTGACAGACACTACCCGGTGACCCTCGGGCTGTTTGACATCGAAAACCACATGTATGCCGGACATCTGAAGGAAGCCCCAGCCCAAGCCGTTGGACATTAAGTGAGCTGCATGCTCGAGAGCCCTTCGGATAGAGCTGCCCTTCAAATTGACCACAAAGAGTTCATTTCCCCAAGGCAGCACGGAGAGGACATCAAATCCGGTGATGGCGCCATCGGAGAGCTTCTGAATGGATCTGCGAATGCCTGGAATAAAGATTAATTATATTATTTAAAATAATAAATATTGTATTTTAATTACCTCCAGAATTCATTAGAGAGATGGCAGCATCCGTCCAGAAATCACCACCCTGATCCTCCATCATCCGGCTAAAGACCATGGAATCGGCCACCAAGTTTCCCATATTGCACTCCTTGGCCCAGCAGACCTTCCGCCTGCCCTCCAAGTGAACCTTTGTGTGTCCCACTATAGACTCTTCCAGGAGCGTCACATTCGGTCGGTACACCGCTAACAGATCAAGGACCTCCTGATTCTGAGGCACTGCAGCATTCAGCAGGATGGGAGCTCCATTAAATGTGATCAAATCGCCGGCATCATCAAATTGGACATGAAGTCGTCCCAGGTATTTGGTGAAGGCATAGGCCTGCACCACAGGCACCTTTTTGCCACTCTTCTGCGTAATCACCGTGGGATAGGGACCAATGATGGGCTCTGCATCCGGTTGGTCACCACTATAGAGGAAGGTGTGCGAATGGCCACCGACGACAATGTCCACTTCGGGACATTTCAAGGCTATCTCCTGGTCCTTTCCATAGCCAGAGTGGCCCAATGCGATGATAATCTTGATGCCTTGAGCCCTAAGTAACTTGGCTTCGGCACTGGAAAATATAAGTAAGAGGTAATTCTTTTTTGTATATAGCAAACCCACTTGATGGACCCCACTTCTTCATAGAACTCTACGTCATTTTTGCGAACAATTTTCTTAGTTTTCGGCGTTAGGTAACCTATGACACCTATCCTTGTGCCCTTGGTTGTCAGGATGGTAGAGTGAGCAAAGCGTTTAGTGGCCTTAATTTCGGGAACCTCGGTCAAGTCCAGGTTGCAAGCCAGAACTGGAAAGTTGGCCGCGTTGAGGAAGGGTATCAGGCCCTCGACGCGTTTATCGAACTCATGGTTGCCGAGGGACTGTAATTGGGGATCTGGTTAGGATATATCCTTTCGAGTTTAAGTGAATTTCCTACCATGGCATCGGGCTGAAGTTTGTTGAGAAAGGCACTGACTATCTTGTCCTTGAAGATGGTGAAATAGGTTGTGCCCCTGTAGGTGTCACCTGCATTGAGATAGAACACGGGAAGACCTCCCTCTTCGGCCATCCTGCGGTATTTGCCAATTCTGAAAGGTAAGGAAAACTTATTTGATTAAAAGCTCAGATGCTCAAACAAGGCACCAGGGAGGCACCACCCCCAGTTGAGGCTTTGGGTGACTCTCGGGTGACTTCAATTTGTAGTTATTCCCCCAACACACTCATGTGCCAAGCGGGCGAATCCTCCGTAACACATGTTCCTCTCTGCATCTTCCTTGGAGCAGCGCTCACTGTTTACATTTGTCTGCTCGAACCTCGCATGCTGATCGTTGTCATGTAGGATGATGAATTCGGTGGACTGGCTGCCAATGGGTTTGGCCAGGTGACCCAGAAGAAGTACGAAGAGAATGAACCAGGGATAATGCATCCTTAGTTTAAAAAAGATTGACAATTCACGCATAACTTGAAATAAAGATATTTTCTTATAGAATTTTAATATTAAGTTTACTATAAAAGTTTTTTGATTTTTTATATTATAATATTTGATTGAAATTACAGGAGCTCCTTAGCACAAATTCAAAAGTAGTAAATCAACCCCTTAAGTCAATAACTACAGCTACATACATTTTAAAAATAACTCTTGTTTTAATTGACATTTGTAATCATTAAATTCCATAAAATATAAAATAAAAACTTGAGCTTCTTAATAAGTAATTCCCTAGCTAAGCACTCGCATTAGGAGGGAAGAGCTGAGGAGCAGGGATGCGGAGCCCATCAGTCCACTGGCCAAAGATCCTACAAAGACAATGCGACCCTCTATGCCCGGATTCACAAAGTTCCGCTGCTCCAGGTAGAAGGATACCGCCTCCTTGTCGTTTCTCTGCAGGCGCTGTGGCGTGTGTACCCCATCCCTGATCTTGTGACCATCACCATCGTCCAGCAGGAACTCTCCCACAATCACATTGTAGAAGGCAGTATCATTCAAGGGGCTATAGGTGGGTACCTGACACGAGGCACAGCGCACCTGGACGGAGACGACACGGTGACCCTTGGGCTTGGCGACATTGAACACTACTTGGAGACCGGAAACCTGCAGGAAGCCACCGTCTGAGTCCGTGCCCATCAGAGAAGCTCCATGCTCGAGAGCCCGTCGGATAGAGCTACCCGTCATGGTGGCCATAAAAAGATCATTGCCCCAAGGCAGCACGGAGAGGAGATCGCTGTCGGTGACGGAGCCATCGGAACGCTTTTCAATGGAGCTGCGAATGCCTGGATTTACAAAAAATGGTTTTAATTAAAAATAAATAAATATGTAATTTCAGAGACTCTTGCTTACCTCCGCCTTGTATAAGGGAAATGGCAGCATCCGTCCAGAAATCACCACCCTGATCCTCCATCATTCGGCTGAAGACAAAGGCGTCGGCCACCAGATTACCCAGATTGCACTCCTTGGCCCGGCACACCTCCTTCCTGCCCTCCAAATGAACCTTTGTGTGTCCCACCACCGACTTCTCCAGCCGGGTTACATTCGGTCTGTACAGCTCCAACAGCTCAAGGAGATCAGGTTCTTGAGCCACCGAAGCATTCAGCAGAATGGGAGCACCATCAAACTCGATTAGGTTGCCAGCTTCATCGAACTGGACATGAAGACGTCCCAGATATTTGGTGTAGGCATAGGCCTGCACCACAGGCACCTCCTTGCCACTCTTTTGCTTAACCATCGTGGGATAGGGACCGTCGATGTGCTCCGCATCTGGCTGGGCTCCGTTGTAGAGGAAGGTGTTTGTGTGGCCACCGATGACGATGTCCACTTCAGGGCATTTCTGGGCAATCTCCTGGTCCTTTAGATAGCCAGAGTGACCCAAAGCGATGATGATCTTGATGCCTTGAGCTTTAAGTAACTTGGCCTCGGCACTGGAAAATTAACAATCAATAGCTTCACCATCTTTTGAGGATCATTAACTCACTTGATGGACTCCACTTCCTCTTTAAACTCCACATCCATGTTGAGTGTAAGCTTCTTGGTGTCTGGGGTTAGGTAGCCAATAACACCTATCTTGGTGCCATTGGTCTCTAGAATGGTTGAGTGCGCCAGATGCTTGGTGGCCTTCAGTTGGGGAACCTTTGACAGGTCCAGGTTACAGGCCAAAACCGGAAAGTTGACTTCGTTGAGGAAGGGTATCAGACCCTCGACTCGCTCATCGAACTCGTGGTTGCCCAGGGACTGGAATTAGGGAGGGGATCTTGTCTAGTTACTTCTTTGATCTTAAAGGTTAAAACTTACTATGGCATCGGGCTGAAGTTTGTTGAGGAAGGCACTGGCTATCTTGTCCTTAAAGATGGTGAACCAGGCTGTGCCCGTGTAGGTGTCACCTGCGTTGAGATAGAACACGGGGAGACCTCCCTCCTGGGCTGCCTTGCGGAATTTACGGACTCTGAAAGGGAAGGGTTATTCAATGGCTCTTCAATGTTCCCCGTAGCTTTGATCGTCTCTCGCATACTCTATAATATTAGTTCTTTCCCCAAACTCACTCGTAAGCCACTCGGGCGAAACCTCCATAGCACTTGTCCGTGTGTGCATCCTCCGGGGAGCAGGCGCCACTGTTGACACTCGTCTGCTCGAACCTAGCATGCATGTCATTATTATGAAGGATGATGAACTCGGTGGCCACCTTGGCTTCCCTGGCAATGGGATTAGATAATCCCTGGTGGCCCAGAAGGATGACAAACAGCAGGGAGAACCAGTGCGACCGCATCTTTAGCCTAGAGAGGAATGACAATTCAATTCAAAACTCACAATAAATTCTGATAATTGTGGCGCTTTAATCTTTATAGCTCTCTAATAGCTTTAATGACTTTACAGGGCTGAGGTTTACTGTTTTGTTTCACTTCCAACCACAGTGGGTACCCACTGTCTGAACAAACAGTAGATATAACAATCATTCAAGTGGCGAAGAGAACTTCATGTTCCGACTATTTGCAAATGGGCTTTTCTAAGTGAACAGGTATATTTTTAACCGTCCGCAAACGATAAACATATCTTGTTTACTTTCCCCTCTGAAAAATGGGATATATCCAAAGCGTCACAACAGAATCCAAGCAGGGTCGAGTGCGAAAAATAACAATACAATTAACTCGAGCAAATGAGTCGCTTCGCGTAATTAATTTGCTTATAAAGCAAAAATATATCATTTGATTCGAGTACAAAAAACCCCCCTACAGTGGGCAGCATAATACTATGCACAGATATTAAATATATTCACGAGTTATTATTTACAGAATCCTTCGAAAAAATACACCTTTAGTTCCAACCAAAATAAACCAGAGAGTGCCATAAATTCCGTGAAAGCAAACAGACCCGAAAAACTTGCCAGCCAAAACAAATAAAAGCGAAAAACATAATTCATAAGCGTATATTTACACAAAAACTGATTATTTGGCAAAAGTGCATTGACCAGAACGAATATGATTTAATTAAACAAAAAAGAGGGTACAACCAAAGGTGTAACTCTTGCTTATCAGAACTTTCTTCAGCAAAGGTTATTAATAAAATTTGCAAAATACTTAATATAATTATACATTTTTGCAATTAAAATATTGCATTTAATGACTGAGAATATTCAGAAAAAGTGACTAATGTATTTATACATTTTTTTTTTCAATTAATAAAACAGAATATTGATTTATCGCACATCTATTAAAACTTGATATGATCGATTTACATATCAAATTTTCGTTCAAATATTGATACAGTATAGATATGTATTTATAATTTTCTGTTAGCCCTACTAAGCACTTTTCAATTTGTCTTTTTTTTTTGCTTTTTTCATAACTTGAACTGTAAGGTAAAAAAAAAACGAAAAATATCTAGAGCTTCAGATGTTTTTTTAGAATTTAAATTTAAACTTCACTTGGACTTAAGCTGGGTAAATATTTATATAATTATAACGACACCTTTGCACATATGTATGTATAACAAAGGAGTTTTACATTTTAAAACAGCTTGCCTTAATTGAATTTCATTAAAGCAAACTAATAAAGCTTATTTAACTGCTGTAAATGAAACTGAAACTATATAGACTTGACGTTCATTCCAACAACTGGCTTGGATTTCAAAGGAAATATATACATAAGTAAATAAGTATATAATTATATCAAGTATAATTTAATCGCCCGGCACTTTGTTCACTTTTTGGGTGGAAATCACATAATATACTTAATCCCCGGCCCAGTTTCCATTCAATAATAAACGATGCCACCCGAGGCTACACAATTGAAGTTTACTTATTTAATTTTCTTCATTTTTTATATTTTTTGATCAGAATTTGTCGCACGGTCTTGGCCCTTAATTGGCCGTTATTTTTGCTACCAACTTGCGATAAATGTGAAGGCAAAAGCACGTTCGGTTCGCTCGTGTTTTTCGCACTGCAAAAATATTCACAACAACCTTTGCCACCGATGTCTATAATCGCACTGACTGCTCTGCTATTCGCGGTCTGACACGCCGCTCTCTGCAGCAACTGCTCTGCTGCTGCAGCTTTTTGTTGTGATTCTTCTAATTATTATTTATTATTATTTTTTATTATTTACTTGGCTCTTGCACATGTTGTTTGGGGGGACTGCACCTTTGGATCAAATCAACCGGCAAAACAGCTTCGCCCTCTCACAGGTGAGCAGCAGATACAGATACAAATACAGATACAGATGCATAACACTGAGATTGAGATACTCTCTGGAGATTCCTTTGCTTTACGTGGCGTTACGTAGCGGAGGGCTTTACGTGGCGAGCGAGAGTGGAAGCTGCCAATTCATGTCTTATCAATCGTAAATCGTAAATCATGTGCAAAAATAACATCGGACAAACTATAATCTTATGAGATTTGGGTTTATGATGATCTTATTTCATAAGAAAAACATTATAAGAAAGAGTACATTTATAGGCAACAAGCAGGGAATCTAACTTAGGAAGCCCAAGTTTTTATACCCTTGAAGTTTGCAATCATAACTAAGCCAAAAATACTTTAAATTCAGTTTGGAAAACTTTTCTGTGCTAGTTATTATTAGATGTTGATGCTGGTCAATATTTATGAACTAAAACATTCTAATTTTTCCAACCCACTTATGATTTCTCTCAGTGCATTAATAGCAGATCAAAGCCCAGACAATTCTGCCATTTCATTTACTCTCAAATGCTCTCAAATTAAAATGTAAAATATCCGTGGCAAAAAGTTAATTATAAATGAACACTTGCACTGGAAGGGAGATCTAGAGCGATCCAAATATAGTTATAGTTGAAATGCAAGCATTAATACCCTGAATACTCTGAAAAAGGGTATATTTCCTATACTTCAGGTATATATATTTTAAAATAATAAATATGTATATATGTATAGGCTAGGCAAATACATTAATATGTAGACAAGACAATATATATAAATGTTTCAAAAAATAGTGACATATTATGAGCAAATATTTTACATGATTAATGACTCTTTTGGTTTCGAAATGTATACACTGAATAGCCTAGCCCATAGCAACAAATAATAAACATCTGCCACATAGTTCTGAGAATATTTATATTTTTTAAATAATGGAAATTCATTTAAAAATAATAAAAAAAATTAATAGCAACAAGTAAAAAACATCTGCCACATAGTTCTGAAAATATTTTTTAAATAATGAAAATTCATTTAAAAATAATAAAAAAAAACTTCTGAAGATATTTCTGACATGAAACTTCTATAAAAATAATAAACAACAAGTTCAATGTGTACCTTCGTTGAACCGAATTTTGTATACCCTTCGAAATCGATCATATTTCATCCAAAATGCATTAATTTCAATTAGAAAAGCTTTTCCAATCTATTAAATATTATTATTATTAAGGATAAATTTCCTATTTAAAAAACTTCACCCAAAAATAACATAACTATAAAATTTTCCACAACATTTATTAGCTATTTTCGTGCGATGGTTAACCCAATAAAAATGTGTGACCTGAGGGGAACCAAAGAGCAACCCAGACCTCTTCAGACGACACAAATTTGAACTAATTGCAAGAAGGGTATGTAAAGGTCCGGATGCCAGGACCTCAGAGGTATACTATATTACGCCAAGAGACTTTCTCTAGAAGAATCTGGTCAGCAGGGAAGAGAGCAGGAGCAGGGCTACAGAAGCCACAATTCCCGACGCAGATCCTGTGTCGGCCTTCTCGTGGATCACAATTCGATTCTCGATCTCCGGGTAGACAAAGTGACGCTGCTTCAGGTAGTCCATGGTGGCATTCAGCTCGTTCCTAGGCAACCGCAGGCTGTAAGGATCCACCTCCTCCTCCGTTAGGTCGAAGCCATCGCCGCCCTCCAGCAGGAACTGCGGCAAGATCACCAAGTAGAGCTGGGTCTCGTTTACATTTTGGTAAGCAGGAACAGAGCAGTTGGAGCACAAAGCCTGGGCGGAGACCACCCGCTTGCCCGCCTCGTTGTTGTAGTTGTACTCCACCCGCAGACCGGACATCTGTAGGAAGCCACCGTTTGAGTCTAACAACCTAACGCTAGCAGAGTGCTCCAGGGCGGCTAGAAGTTTCTTTCCTGAAACCCTCACAATGTACAAATTGTTCTCGAAGGGCAGAACAGTGAGGAGAGTGGCTCCGTTAATGGCTCCATCGTTTTCCTTCTCCACAGAGGCCCGAATAGCTGAAGGAGATTACATTAGGGTAGTTAACCAGTTATTATTTTTTCTTTCGAACAGCTCACCGCCTCCCTGAATCAAGGCAATGGATGCATCTGTCCAGTAATCGCCACCCTGGTCCTCAACCACTCGAGTGTAGATCATGGCATCCGTGATCATATTGCCCAGGTTGCACTCCCTCATGCGGCAAATGTTGCCACCCTCGAGGAACACCTTGGTGTAGCCCAGAATCGTGTTCTCCAGCTCCTCTAGTCCGGGACGGTATTCAGCCAGCAAGTCCAGCAGATCCTGTTCCTGTGCCACCGAGGCATTCAGCAGGATGGGAGCACCATCAAATTCAATGAGATTGCCCTCGGCATCAAACTGAAATGGATATAAATGTAAAAAGGATTACAGGGAAGCCCAGCATAATATTTTTTTATGGTTACCTGAACATGAATCTTCCCCAGATACTTGGTGTACGCATAGGCCTGCACCACTGGCACCTTCTTGCCGCTCTCCTGCACCACTGTGGTGGGATAGGGACCCCTTACTGCCTCCGGATCGGAGTCTGTGACATCGGCCACCGGCTGATTGGCATCCAGGAAAGTGTGAGAATGACCACCAATGACAATGTCCACCTCCGGACAGTTCTTGGCAATCTCCTGATCCTTTTGATAGCCAGAGTGACCCAAAGCAATGATGATGTTGATGCCCTGGGCCTTGAGCTTGGCAGCCTCAGCACTGAGTTAAAGAAATATAATCCTTAAGAACCTAGTCAGGTTTATAGCTGGTAAGCTATACTCACTTGATGGACACTATCTCCTCCTCATACTCCACTTTGTTCCGGAAGGCCAGGGTCTTGGTGTCCGGGGTGAGGTAGCCAATGACTCCGATCTTCACTCCATTAGTCTCCAAGACTGTGGAGTTGGCCAACTGCTTGGCGGCTGCCATTTCGGGTACTTCGGTTAGGTTCAGATTGCAGGCCAAGACGGGGAAATCCACGGCATTAAGGAAGGGCACCAGACCCTCCACATTCTGGTCGAACTCATGGTTGCCCAGGGACTACAAGGGTGTGTAAAATTAATCAAAGAACTTAAAACTTGTAATAGCTTTTGGTTTCACTTACAATGGCATCAGGGGAAAGCTTGTTCAAGAAGGCACTGGCTATCTTATCCTTGTAGACGGTAAACCAAGCGGTGCCTGTATAAGTGTCACCTGCATTCAGGTAAAACACTGGAGTGCCACCCTCCTGCGCCTCCTTGCGGTACTTGCGAACTCTGGAAGAAAATTCAAATTAATAAGACAAAGCCACAAAGTGACTTTTAATAACCCCAAACTCACTCGTAAGCCACTCGGGCAAATCCTCCATAGCACTGATCCGTGTTGGCATCCTCCTCGGAGCAGGTGCCACTGTTGACGTTCGTCTGCTCAAACCTGGCATGCATATCATTATTGTGCAGGATAATGAACTCGGTGGCCACGTCCGCCCGGGGAACTATGGGATTTGTACGGACTGCAGGTATAATCAGTGCCCAGAGGCAGCATGTGGCGATAACAATACTCCGGGCAGTCATCATTTTTCGATCTGAAATGATAGGTAATAATACCCATAATATATTATAGCAGATAAGTTATCGGATCGGAAGAGATGAGATGTGGGTAGATAATTAAACACTGATTTGTTCCATAGAAAGGTTTTTTATGTTCTTAGCATATGGAATTAATTGCGAAAATTTAGATACATTTATGAAATTACAGGTAATTTAGAATTTGCTATCACTTTTAATATAAGAAAAAACACTTTTAATATTAAATCACAAATCTAGAAATTCCTCAAAAGATTACCAACTCAGAAATAGTTAAAGATTACACTTTAATAACTCGATCTTTATCTTCTACTACTATATTTGTCAGCTGTAAAACCGTCGTAATAAATCTGGATTTTCCCTCCCCAAACCACCTGAAGGTCCTTTGCGACACCTTGCCTTATCGTCCACTACCGACAAGAGGCCAGTACCAAGTAGGTATGGTATTTATCAATCACGAGCGGGTACAGAAATCGCAATTCAAGTCATTTGCTAGTTTATTGAAGCCTTAAATCTAATCGCCGCTTATCACTTTTGCGTGTGCAAAACACACACAAATCCCCAGCCCATTCAGATCGAGTAATATGTATTTCTTTCAGCCACAAAACCACTCCACTCCGTTGGCCGCTTAACTGGTTTCCAATTAAAACTCGGAAACGAGCTCCGGAGTTGAGCTCACTCAGATGATGGCATTGGCTTTCAAAGCTTTTCGCGGCTTGAAAGTTGCACGAAAATAAATATATAAACTCTGATACTCTTGAAAGCGAAACCGAAAAAAATCCGAGACACGATCACTGGGTTACTTACATGCACTCGTCGCACGGTCCGCGGGCCAACTGACCGACCCACTGAAATGGCTGAGAGCTCGCTAACCGTTATAGCCGCTGTATAACCCGAAAATAACAACAACAACAACAACAAAAGCCGAATACAAAAATAAAAAAAAAACAGTCAACCGAAATTTACTGTCTCGCAAAGCGGTCTGATTACGATAAGGCCTCGCGTACCGCGGCTCAGATCGGGGCTGACAACGTCACTAACCTGGCCATATCACTAACAATCCGGCATATACAAGTGTATATATTTCACCAATATTTTGGGAGCCACCAGAAGCGGACTTATCGCGACATAATCGACTGTTGTAGACCAGATAATCGTAGATATCTACCTGACTCATCGCCACTTGTACCAAATGCCATACAGGGGCAGGTACTTAGCCAACAGTTGCTCAAAGTGCGGCATTCCCACGCCAAAAAAATATGGATGGTTCTGACAAAAAATAAAAAAAAATACAGTGAGTTTTGGGTACAGTAAACTACTAGCTAAAAGTGGTAGATATATACATATATATATATATAAATATATCCCTGATTTTTATACCCTTGCAGGGTATTATATTTGCAGTTAGAAGCTGATAAAACACTGAAGGGGTCATTTCCGACCCTATAAATCATATATATTCTTGATCAGCATCAACAGGCGAGTCTTTTGAGACATGTTTGAACAAAAATAATTTTTTAGTGATTTTTTGAAAATTTTATAAGGGGTTACATCGTTAAAATTTTCAAAAATTGAATAAAATTTTGATTTCTTAAATTTTTAAATTTAGTATGCAGAGTTATTAGCCTATTAAAAACTAGCACAAAACAGCTTTCCAAATTCAAATTAATGCCTCTTTGGCTAAGTTATAATATTTTTAACTTTAATTATTAGTAAATTATTATTATTAAATTTTAGTCAGAACCCAAAAGGGGTCCAATCTTAATGCTTAGCCTCCTTTCTTGTTTTAAAATATTTTGTATTTGATTTAAAAATTATTTTTATTAAACAGTTCTCTTTAAATATGTATTATTTTATGAATAACTTTTTTAATATGCATATTATTAGAGTTATTAAAACTTTTCCCATATTTTTACGTTTAACTCTCCACAAATATTAATATTCATCTGGTTTTGCCCATTAACACAAAATTAAATCCATAAAACTGTGTTATTTCAGGTGTTTTAACAGACCGCCAGGTCGTTGGTAAGAACTTGGCTGACTAAACCCGCTAACAAAGCTTATGCTTTTGTTTAATCAGCAATATAATTAGTGTTTGTTGTTTGTTAAGGTTCTAACTATGACACTGGAATTAAAGAATAAACTAAAACAGAAAGTCATGACAGTCAAGTAATATCTTTAGAGTTTCACTTTCAGCCTGGCACTTTGTACACTTTCAAGAGCACTCACTGTATTTTGCCACTACTTTACTGCGCTACCCGATCTTTGTTATTAATTTCTCGAAAAAAAAAACCTCCGGCAAGACACTTGTTCCGCGAAAACAAGGCAAATTCCATTGATGACAATGAGGCCGGCTTGTTCCGCTGCTGTTTTATGGCCACCGAAAAGGGATAGATAACACTCGGAGTTCCAGAGATTTATTGCTATCCGTTTGGCTAAATTACTTTTCGAGTTGAATGCGATTGTTTTTGCTTTCCGAGAGATGGGAAGCACCCATACAGATTCATCCCAATTACTAGTGTATCATCTGCTGCCACTTGTCGCGTGCTTTTCAAACTGTTGTTCAATCATCTATATAGTATAATGCTGTGTGGGCTATATACCCCGGACTCGACTCACAAATAACAGCTGCGACGGATGGATGATGTATTTACTGTCTGCGGTCTCGAGCAGATACTTTAGGCCGGCAAAAGGTACAACTTTCCCGCTCTCGTTTTGGCCTAAAAATATATCTCGAAAAAGAAAAGATACAAGATACAAGATATAAGATACAGTATGAAGCAAAGACAATTGAGTGTATAAGTTCGAAAATAAACACTGGATGCAAAGAGAGCAAGCAGACTTCAGATATTACACAATGTCAAGTGTGCGATAAAATATAGAGCGATAAAAATAATATATATGATCCAATTACAATAGGCCCTTTGCCTCAGTGTTTATCGTGCAAATATATATATAAAATGTACCTACTATTGGCAGCGCTGTTGAAAGATTGTTTGCCATCGCTGGGTACCCGGCGACGTGATTATATTTAAATTCATTAACCACAATATGCTAAGATAGTGCCAAATTCACAGCACCAAATCAATCCAATAACGCCCAATTTCCTCAGCCATAAATATGAATTGATTGCCATCAATGAGTCAGTCATTCAGTCAGTCAGTCGAAAAAGCCTTCAAGAGAGTCAGCCTTTTTTTGGCAGCCCTTAAATTAACTATCAGCATTATCGATTGGCATTTATGTCACTCACCTTTCCGCCGGCCCGCTGCCAGCCCATAAGCTCTTGCCATGCCAACCGGGAGTTTTTTACTTGATTTACATTGCCATGGCTACATACAATTTCTCTCAGTGAGTGTAGGGTGTAGTGTGTCGAGGTGTGCACTTATCATTGCAACGGGGCAGGTCAAAAACCAAGCCCAAACTCAACTAGCAGGGCAGGGCAGGGACGCCGCCACCGATCGAAGAGATGAATGTGAAGCGTGCCAGCTGCAAACGCTCCAAGCGTTCGGCAATGGCAACTAGGCAATACCCTTCCCAATGAGGTTGTAAAATTAATGAGTTTCCAGAAACTATAGACTACCATATATAAATTATTTTAAAAAAATGTTTGGGATTCACAATCTTGGAAAAAAGTATTACTCTGCCAAAGCAAACAGCAAAGGAACTTCACTTTTTAAGAAGAAGTTAATAATGTTAATGTTAATGTTAATAAACATCAATTAAAGCGGTCATTGTTTTCTAAAACCAGTTCAATGTCATTATCACTTATTAAGCTTATATACTAAATTTGCTATAAAATCTCGTTTTATTGATAAAACAAAACATATATCTTGTTTTTGTTCTCTGAATTTTTTTAAATATTTTTTGAAGCTAAAAGGATTTAAAGCAGGAAACCCTGCCGTCGGTGTTGCAGCACCGAAGGGCAACAACAGCCACGAGACGGCAGCAGCAACAACTGCAAAGGACGAGCGGAACGGGGATGGGGTATTGGACGAAGGAAGGGAGGATATTCGGAGCGCGGCTGCTGCAGCCAGAGAGCGCCAGCTGAGGGTTGCAATATCCTGCTGCTGCCGCTGCCGCTGCTGCCTGTGTCCTGGGCCTCAGCCTATATCCTGTTGCCCTCCCGCTTCAGCTGCCGCAACTCAAACAGCTGCAACAATTTTTTTTTTTTTGTCGATTGGGATTGTTGTCTTTAATTTCCTTTGGCGCGGCACATCCCCTAATGCCACTGCTATCTCCGGTTCCTGGCGCAGTTCGGGGTTGTTGGAGTTGCCAGTTGGCAGCCGCTGCCGCCGGGGTGCAACGCGCAGCTCAGTCGTGGCGATCGCCAGGTGAACGAAGGTTGTGTCGCGCAGAGTCGAGTCCCGCAATCGAGTCCAGGATTTCTACAATATATAAGCTAGAGGATTTCTAGATTTTGAGAGAAAGGATCATGTCGGGCAAACTGATCATGAAACGCAAGCGAGCGAGTCAGGAGGAGCAGCTGCAGCAGCAGCAACAACAGCAGCAGCCACATCAGCAGCAGCAACAGAACGAGGAGCCAGCTCCAGAGAAACGCCATCGTCCTCTGACCCCACCGGCTGAGGATCCCACGGAGGATCAGCCATCCCGGCCAGATTCTGCCAACCGCATCCTTCTAGAAGCCCTGCAAAAGATAATGGAACTACAGTCCGAACTGGATGCCTTTGAGCAGGATCTCGATGAGCGCGATGCAGCTGCGGCCGGACGCGAGGATCCCGATACGGATACAGACACCGATTCCGAGGACGCCGAGGTGGCCGCTCAATTCGCGCCAGCAGCAGTAGCAGCCACTCCTGCCCAGCGCAGTCAGGCAGAGGCTCTGGGCTTTGCCATGTGCGCTCGGGAAACGCTACTCTTCCTGCAGAGCGAAGGTGTGCCCACAGAGTCTCCGCTGTACCAGACGCTCCTCGGCAAGCTGGTGGGTCAGAGCGATGGCCTGCTAAACGCCTGACGAGCTTATAACCAGGAGGAGGAGGAGGAGGGCAGAATTCTAGTCACTTTGCTGCGATCTCATTGCAAGTAAAACGAGGGAGAGAGATACTATATGGAGGAGGGATGATCATCACTTCATTATGGGGGCTGGAAGTTGTATGTATATCATCCCCGGGGGTTTTAGATATACGTAATCCTAAGCTTTTTACTCTAGTCAATTATTGTGAAGCAATATAAAAATCCTAAGATACAACGAAGCAAATAAAAAAATGATAATAAAAAAACAAGCTAGTGTCTCTGTTATTATTTTTAAAAAGGATTGATAAAGCCGTAGGTTGTATACCCTTGCAGGAGGAACCAGGATCAAATTAAAGATTTGGTTTTTAATTAGTACAAAATAGCTACATCTCAATTTTTAAGAGTATATATTAACAAAAAACAAGAAAGAAAGCTAACTTTGGCCAGCCAAAGTTTGTATACCCTTGCAGGTAACGATTAAAATACATCATAACTAAGCCAAAAATGCATTAATTTCGATTCGGAAAGCAGTTTTGTGTTAGTTTTTATTAATTTAAAAAAACTGCATACCAAATTTAAAATTTTAAGAAATTAAAATTTTGGGCCATTTTGGAAGATTTTAATGATGTAACCCCTTATCAAATTTCTCAAAAATGGCGAAAAACTCGATTTCTTCCGGAAATGTCTATAAAGATTCCCCTGTTGATGCTGATCAAGAATATATATGGTTTATGGGGTCGGAAATGATTCCTTGACTTAGAAAATTATTATTTTGTATTATAAAATCTGATTTTTTATATTAAAAAACTTCTTGATTTTTGTAATACATTTTTAAAATTAAAAATATCATAACTCGGCCAAAAGAGCATTAATTTTAAATCGGAAAACTGTTCTGTGCAAGATTTTCTACAGTTAATAAATCTGCATACTTCATTTAAAAATTTTTAAAATTCAATTTTTTATCAAAATCAAAAATTTTAATGATGTAACCCCTTATGAAATTTCGCAAAAATGGCAAAAAAATCGATTTCTTCCGGACATATCTAGAAAGATTCCCCTGTTGATGCTGATCAAGAATATATATACTTTATAGGGTCGGAAACGTCTCCTTCACTGCGTTTCAAACTTCTGACTGAAATTATAATACCCTGCAAGGGTATAAAAAACAAAGTTACTATGGCATATCATATGATATGATATGGCCTGCTGTTCCGTCCTATGCTTATAATTACCTGTAATAAAAACATATATTAAGGAAAGAAGTTTTATCTAAAAATCTCTGTCGTAAAACGTGTCTAAATCAATTAGGCTGTTGATGCTAACAAAGAATAGATCATTTCTATAGGGTGGAAAATGTCACCATCTGCAAGGCCTTGAAAAAGGGGTGGATTGCCGCCTCTATTAATCAACCAAAAAAAAAACACCCTTTGAAATTAGATTTTTAATACATTTTAAATATATTTATTTATTTTATTCATTTGTTTATTACTTGTGTTATTTGATTTTACATATAGTAATTAATGAGAATAACTCAATCGTCGTATATTATTAATTCTTTTAATTCATTTCTTGTAGGTATGTATATAATATAAGTGTATATATATTTTTATTGTTGTTAGGGCGGGGGCTTTGTTGTTGTTGTTTCGGTTATTTCATTAACTTTTTACCATAAGTAATATATATATATATTTTGTTTGGGGGGCCTTGAGAGCGCCCTAAAGTAGCATTTTGTTGTTATATATATTATATCCGTTTATTAGTTATTTATTCTGTATAATTTGTAACAACAATAATTATTTGTAATAAATGGTTGTAATTCCGTTTCTTTACTTTCGTTTTTATTATTTGTATTTTATATGATATTCCTTTAAAAACTAGATTTTAATTGTTTTCAACAATTTAACGTTTCACATTTGTTGTAAGTAAATGTTTCATTTTGTTTTGGACAAGATATCGTTTATTCTTTATGCGAATTAGTGTTAATTTCGCTGCTTTTTAGTTGAATCAAAGGACGATCATCAAATAAGATTAAATATCAATAATGAAAAAAATATAATGATATAATATCTATAAATTGGCTTTTCAATTGGTTATTTCAGGACCTTCGCTTCGACGATCACCTTCCTACATACATTTGGCACTCTTTCTTGGTTCTACTTAAGCTCTACTGGGGGGATATCTGCCCCTTTTGCTTATTTTTAAAAATTAATTGGTATTTGTGTTAATTATTAATCAAACAGGAAACGTAAAACTTGAAGCTTGAGCTTGGCAACTATCGATTACAAGTTTATATGGGGTTTCTTTAAATTTCTGTTAGTCATATTATCCTGGATTAAATGGGATTAAGTACATAGAATTATTTGTTAATTTACTTTAATTCTTAGTTCAAGTTATGCCTTTGCTTTAATTTGTTTAACTTTATAAGTAAATCGAGTATTCTGTCTGTTATCCTTTAAGTATTCTCGTTAAACTGTTATTGTTTTCGTATCTTGTTTTTTTCTTCTTATTTTTTTGTTGTTGTTAATAAAGTAATCATTTGCAGCACTGCCCAGTTATGGGACATTGATTCACAATAAACTTTGTATATATTTTGTATTCCTTTGCTTAGTTATATTTCTTGTAGATATATTTATGCTGAATGCTCGATTATTCGATTTAATTTTTAAGGTATTTTAATGTTTATTCTGTTCGTGTCTCCGTTTAATTATGTAAATATTAGAATTTGCAAGTGTATATATATATATTCTTTATCTGTATCGTTAGTTTTGTTGCCAAATATATGCGTATATAAATAAAATTATGGTTTAAATGTGCCCTCTGTATTAATTATTAGTATTATTATTTGTATTACTTTCATATTCTATTAAGTTAATTAATCTCATAGATTTTGTCTGCTGCTGCTGCTCCTCCTGCTGTCCCTATACATATGTATATAGCTTTGTCTTGCTTATCAGTTGGTTTGCCCGCCTCTTTGGGATCCAATCCCAAAAAAACCCCACTAATCGTTCAGGCTCTTGTTTGAATATATCTTAAAGATGTCTTGTAAATAGAGAGTAAAAAACCGGACACAGTTCGAGTGTGTGTGTGTGTGGGTGTGTGGTGTCTATGTTTAATAGCCAACGCCAAAGTAAGGTTTCGACTTGTCTATGTTTATGTTACCAGCCTCATCGCACGCAAAAATATATGTATAAATATATCTGTTATGTTCTGTATAGTATGTATATATCGTAAAGTTCATTTTGTCCATTTGTAAATACTCCTCCTCCTTGCTCCTACGCCTCCTCTAAATCTTATGAATCGAGTGTACAAAGTGATGTTGTTGAGATGTTGTGGTTCTTGGGACTCAGAAAAACTGCACTGGCAAGAACGGAAATGTGCCAATGTGTAGCGAAGAAGGATTGTTAGCAGGTCTGTAAGAGAATGTTAATTTCGTTTTTAGAGAGATTGTTGTCTTTGGGGTGACACTGGATTTTCTGGGCCAATGCAAATCAATAATGGAGAGCGTAATAAGCGGAGATTGGATATTGATTAAAAAGCAAGCGAGTTGGGAGATATTTTTCTATATTCGATTTACCGAAGTTATTTTTTGCAAAATTCCAAATATCTCTCGATTATCGATTTGCAAAGATTACTAAAGACACGAATTGTTGTGGGTTTGTGGATTTTGTGTGTCTGTGCAAGGACCAAGGAGTTGGGTGGAGTTGCATGCTGATTTTAATACCTTACTAATAGCATATTGGGCACTGTAGCGGTTGTGGTGGTTGTTGTTGTTGTGTTGTTGTTATAGTTTTTACTGCCTAAAGGTGTGTTGTGATGATTGCTGTTGATGCTGTTGTTGTTGTTGGCACTCTTTGGCCCTTCCATGGGGCTCAGTGAATGTGAATGATACGCGGCTGTTAGGAATGAGACATCGTTGGAGTTCTTCGTGTCACCTGCATTGGTGACTTTATGAAAGTTGTGGCTGCTGTTGCAATTATTGTTGATAATGTTGTTGGGATTATTGTTAGTGCTGCTGCTAATGCTGCTGCTATTGCGGGCTGATAGTTGCGGTGGGAGATTTGCTAGCGACCGTTGGTGTTGTGGCTGGATTAACGAAAAATATATATATCGAAAAATATATATAACCCAAATTGAGTTTAAACTCACCTTGCAATTGCCATTGAAGTAGTAGTTGTTGGGATTGATGCTCTTGCCAATGTGGCACTCACTAGACCCGTGTTGGCTGGGCGTAAAACTGTTGTTGTTGCTGCTATTGGTTTGGGATTTCATGGTCAGATTTTGGGTGGTGGCACGAACTCCGCTTGCACTGCTGCTAGGACCCAGCCAGTTTCACCTATTAACATGGCTGCGATTGTGATTCGAACTGAGACCAGAGCCGCCGATGGCGTTGCTTTGGGGGCCACCACCGCCGCTGCCTACGCCAGTGCCCAGGCCTCCACCTCCACCAGCTGAAATTATTCCTTGAAGTTATTCCATTAAACTAGAGATTCACAAACCGCTTTACCTGAATAGCCCGGGGAGTGCTGATAGTAGTCCCGCCTTCCATAATCCGGCTCATAGTCCGAGCTATCGTAGTGTCCTCCTCGTCCACCGCCACCGCTAATGCCGCCCACGCCGCCCAAGATGTTAGCTGGCGGCCCATGGGGTCCGTGGCCATGACTACCGTAGGAGTAGCTATCGTACGATTGATGCGGATCATAGCCAATGCCGTCGTCATAGCTGCGTCTGTAGGGAAATTGAGATATTAGCAGGAAATTCAGAATTAGGCAGAAGCTCCTTACCCGTACGTCTCATCCATGGCAGTCCTGGCCTTTTCCAGTATGGACATCACCTTTTGCTTGGGTGCGAGCACAGTTTTGCTAAACGAGGAATGCTGCTGCGAGCCCCTGGAAAAATGAAAATAAATTGATAAATGAATATTATGGAAGTCTTAGGAGCCCCTCATTACCTATAACTATGATGCACTGCATTTTTGGCTCCTCCGATGGGATTTATGGAGCCACCCATGGCATTGTTGCCGATGCTGCCACCGCCGCCCTGCATGTGAGAGTTCTTCTTGTAGCCGCCACTCTTTCCAGTGTCGTTGTCATTTAAGCTAGTACTATCCATCAGTTCGCGCAGCTGCTCCTGCCGGATGATGTCGTTGCTATCTGGGATCAGATACTTCCTTAACTCGGCCATGGCGTAGGCAATTCTGGCATAAGCTTCGGCGGGCGGCGCTATAGTGGATATCTCCACATGCAGGTCGGTGTTGAGGTGCGCGTACTTGGGATCCTTGGAGCTGCGCAGTTCCTCCTCCTTGACGCGATCGCGCATAGAGTTGCGGCCCAGGACGGTCATCTTGCAGAGCGTCTCTTCCTGCAGGCGGCGCAGGGAGTTCCCCTTCGGTCCCAGCAGCTTGCCCACAAAATTGAACTGGCAAATTTATAATTTTTAGTAGATGGCAAAACTGGGGTTTGGCGACTGATATTTACCTTGGGGTGTTCTCTTATGGGCACCAGGACACGCTGTGAGATGCGCAGTGGCTTCTCTCTATAAATATCAGCATACTTTTGCTCCCGACTGGGAATCCTTCCTGTGGTCTGGACCTTTTCGATCTCTACAATTAAAGGGATTAGAAATCTCCAAGGGTATAACAGATAACTTCACCTACCGCCCTCGAGGAGCCTCTCGGCAATGGGAAACTTCCTGTCCATGCGGTTCCGCTCGGCCATGCAGTCGCGTATGTACTCGTTGGCCTTCTCGTTGATCTGCACACTGCCGGCCGAATCTGTGCCATGGTGACCGTGATCGTGGGCGGAGCTATCGCCATTGTGGGCACCGCCGGGAGCTCCACTAGAACCGGCAGATTTGCGGGGTTTGCCACCAAACTCGTTATCATCGTCGTTGAAGGCGGAAAAGTCACCATTGCCGTCGTACTTTTCGGTCATTGTTTTTAGTTTTGCCCGTCAATCCGGAGCAGCGATCTGCAAGTGGGGAAAAACTTGAATTACTAAAGGGAAAAGTTACGGGAAAAATAATTTTTTTAACTTCCTAACTTCAGATGCTAATTTTCTCACTTTCCGAACATACATAAATATATTTTATGAAAGTTCACAGTGTAGTTTTAACGCAAAAGACTTGAAAATAGAAAATGCCCTTCTACGAAACTTCACCTAAGGTCAAGAGGGTAAAAGAATTCTCTTCAGATGTGTATACAAACTATAAGAAACATTATTTTGGCACTCTTTTTTTTACTAGAAATTTTCCAAGTTTTGTCTGTGCTTTTTAATTAAATGCAGTTATTTATCGAAATCAATTAAGCGGCTACCCTTGGGCAACGCTTTCACATACACACTCTCACAGTACACACACACACATAGACATTGGCCAAAAACAACCACCAAGCAAAATTGAGCGAATATCAAATTGTTGCCTCCAGGCAAATACAAACACATAAAAAAAAAAACAAAACTTATGGTAAACAGAACCGGTAAAAACGATGTTTTTCCCCTAGAGTTCTGGAATAGCAACAATAACGCTCTGTTTTGACATTTTCCGCCCGTTCTGTGTGTGTCCAACTGGTGCCCGCGCTCCCCCGCCTACCACCCCCGCGGACCATGATGCACTTTCACTTTTCAGTGGGACGCAGTTTTTTCACCTAATTTTTTTTTCTGTATTTGCGAATTGCATCGAACGTTTTCTGCTGCTTGTGCCGTTTTGCAAGCAGCGGGAATTTCACTGTTTTTTCCACGCAAGCTCGCCGGCTTGGACAGGCCCCGATAATTACCACTGTTAATTGGCCTTTTCGATTATTGCTTTCAATTTAAAATGTTGCGAAAAAACGGCAATTCGCAAAAAAAAACAATGCCAAACAGTGTGACCGGGTTACGGAAGCTCAAAAAAAGCTTGTGGAAAAATACCAAACGTTGGGGAGCTGCATTTGGCGGGTGCTGGTACAGTAAGCCTTCGAAAAAGAACAAGGGGTGTACTTTCAATATTTCCTTTAAATAGAATTAATTCAAAGTTTTTTATTTAAATATTTTAATTCATTTTGAAAAACTTTTCAAAGCTGTGATAGGCATTATTTTATCACCATGGCTGTTTCACATTTTTATACTGTATTGTTTTGTAAATTTTTTTTTAAATGCTTATTATGTAATATGCTAATTTCGAGTTAAAATAATATTTTTTCGGCTTGTTTGTGGTGCTGGAAGCGGTCATTTGACCACAAAATCGAAAAAAATTCCGCTGGAGTAAATTCAAAAATAAATACCTTTATCGATAAATGCCGTATTTTTAAACGGTATTTTTAAATGGTTTTTTCTAGTACATTTAACAAGAGTAGTATTTATTAACCAAAAATACCGTTGACTGGACGCGAACTGGCAACTTTGTTGTGATTTCAGGTAAAAAATTAATTAAACTTGTTAAAAACACAGGTGTGAGTTCTAAATAATGTTGCACATACTGCATCTGGCCTTGTAAACTTTATTTGATTCCAGTTTTATTTGTCGGAATGCCGCTGGAAATGTGAAAATAACAAAAACAAAATCAGATAAAGAATCTATTTCATCCGGTCTCTAGTTTTCACATGCCTGTGTAACGCCCAATTGCCCAAAAGATGTCCGCCGCCCAGAGCCCCAGCCCCAACTCCTGCGTGGAGACGCCCAAGGCGCCCGAATGGCTATCGAAGCTGGAAAGCCGACGCGAGCAGCTGAAGCGCTCCAAGCTGGGCCACGAGTCGGGAGCCGGTGCTCCCTGTTTGGAGTGCCAGGACAAGTGTCCCGGCCTTGATTTGCACTTCTGGCGTAAGGTGTGTCGCAACTGCAAGTGCCGAAAGAATCAGCACGCGTGTCCGGAAGACGATGACGCCACCGGCTGGGCACAGTTCGAGATTCTGGGCCAGATAAGGGCCAAGCCAGCTTGTGAGTAATTTCTTTATCTGTAAATCGTCGTAGAGATCTCAAATCTCCAATATATCTGCTTGCAGTCATCAAAATCAAGGCCCTGGCCAGCCAGCCAGTCCAACTAGAGTGGGTGCCTCCAAATGCAGCTCCCGACGTGGTTACCGACTACATGGAGATGCTGGGCACTGCCCAGATACCAGTGGCTGGCAGCGATGCAGCCATTAAGCGGAAGCAGCAGCTGGAGTTGCAGGTGCCGCCGCATGATCTGGATGCTGCTCTGTGCGACGGACTGACGGAAACGGAGGCCCGCCAGCTGCAGCAGTATGTGCAGCGTCTGAGGGAGCAGTGCGTCGGCCAGGGTGTTGTGGTGCGCCTGGGCAATCGTCTTAATCACGCTCAGGTGGAGCATGTGACTCCAGTTGCTGTAGTATCGCCACAGGAAACAGCCAAGTCCTGGCAGTTCCTGGGTCTGCCGCCAGTGGCTGATGCCACTTTGAACGAACTGTTGGCCAATCCCAAGGTGGCGCAGGCCCTGGCCAGTCCGGCCAGTGCTCAACCCAGGCTGCTGGTGGCCTTTGCCGAGCCCCTGTCCGACTCCACAGCTCAGTTCGAGGAGAATGGCGGAGCTCTGCGGGCACAGACCAAGGAGAAGCTGCTGGGTATTAGCAAACCGGCTTTGCAGAGCCTCGTAAGCCATGGTGTGGTATATGACAAGGTGCTGGGAGTGCTAAAGGTAAGCAAAATTATACTTATAAAATAAGAAATTATATGTAAAAATCGTTTTTATTATAGGAAAAGAACCTCAACATCTCGCGGGATCCCAAACTGGGACCCATTGCCGAGTTCCGCAAGGAGTATGTCAACAATCCGCAGTTCCGGGCAGATATCAACAGCATCTGTCCTTCGCAGCAGCAGCAACAAATGACGCCCATTAAATCCTCTCCAGGCACGCCCTTTAACTCCCCGCTGCCGCTTAAGAACCCTGTGCAGGCCAGGTTTGGAGCCCAAATGCGCCAGGATACACCCATGCGGCGGGTTAAATTCGGCGGCGTCTCCACCGTGGTCTACGATTGTGGGCTGCCCGCCAACACGGACTATGAACGCGATCCGATCTTTGCACAGATTCTCCAGGCAGAACCGCTGAAGCATGCCCTCCAGGAGGCCCGATCCGGACGTGCTCCATCTGCGGTGGTCATTTCCAATATTCCAGCTGCGGTGGCGAGTCTGGCGGAACTCAAGGGCCTAGCTCCGGCCACCAAGGCTCAACTTCAATCCATGGGGCTGGACAAGAACATGTTACAATCGGCCGTGTCCAATGCTCCTTACTATGATCGGCTCTTCCGATCCCTGCAGGACAAGGGCATCGCTCACGATCAATGCCAGTTGCTGCAGCCGCTGAAGCAAGTTCACGACTGGCTTCTGGACGATAATCAACTGCTGGAGGATATCGACAAGGTCTTTGCTGATATGGCAAATGGCTGTCGGGATATTACCTATCCGAAACCCATACTGGGAGAGTTGCCTACGTCCCAGAGTAGCGACTCTGGCTTCCACTCGAAACCCTCGACGCCAGGCTACACCAGTGAAGATTTGAATGCCAATCCGGGTAGATTTGCCAGCATTCCCGGCATAGAAGACATGAACATGTATCCAGGTTGTTACGGCATGCCGGAGCAGTTCCAGCAGCTGCGTTTGCAGGAGGATGAGGTCGCTGCGGGCAAAGGTGAGTTCGGTATGATGGCATCTTTAGGTAATTTGCATTATTTGTTTGTATATCACCTCGTTGCTCACGTTATGTGGATTTTGACACCTTTGCCAGCTGGAATTGCATCATCATACTACTTATACCTTTATTTTCAGATCCCCAGCCCCTCATCTTGTGCCGCGACTGCAACGAACCCATTGCCTATGGCGAGGTGGCCGTCAAAGCCGATCGTGCCGGCAAGGAGATTGCCTGGCATCCGGGCTGCTTCAAGTGCCAGACATGTCGTGAGCTGCTAGCTGACTTGGTTTACTTCTTCCACCAGGGTCAGGTCTACTGCGGACGCGATTTGGCCATTAAGCTAAAGATTCCACGGTGCCGCGCCTGCGATGAGCTGATCTTCACCAAGGAGTACACCGCCGCGGAAGGTGCCACCTTCCACATCAAGCATTTCTGCTGCTATCAGTGCGATGAGCCGCTGGCCGGACAGCAGTACGTTCCCGATGAGAACTCCAATATGCCGCTGTGCCTGCAGTGCTACGATCGCTTCTTTGCCGTTGCCTGCCAGCGCTGCCGTTTGGCTATAGGCCCTGCGGATCAGGGAGTGGCCTGGGGCGAGATCCACTGGCATGGACAGTGTTTCGTCTGCGCTGGTGTCGAGTGCTCCAAGTCGCTGATCGGTGGTAGATTCTGCGTGAAACAGGACATGCCCTTTTGCAGTCCAGCCTGCGTGCGCAGCGTAATTTCATAAGACAAAGGATAATTCTTGATTACAGTATTTCCCCAGTATATTAACTGCACAAAGGATCAAAGACACCAACGCACAATTCAATGGAATTAACGATGACACACCATATTAGTAACCAGAGCTAGTGATTTATGGATGCCACAGACTCAAAGTGCCTAGAATATAGACTTGCATTTAAAAAAAAAGCCTTTTCTGCTAATTTTATGTTAACAATCAAATTAGAAAAGCAGATTTGTTTTAAGACATGCTATGGAGGAACTTCTGTAACTAGAATTCTCACTTAAAAGTAGACAGTTTTTGATTTGTTAACTAAAACGCAGAAAAGGCTAAAATATTTACACAATTCCATACCGCTTTTGCCGTGCCAATAGACCAAGTAAAAAAAATAGATATATATACATATTTTATATACAAAGTATACAAATATATATATAAATATTCTATAGAAAAAGTATAAAAATCTATACAAAAATATTTTATATACAAATAGCTATTTACACAGCAACAAAAAAGCATAAAGTATTATATATGTTTACAGGAAAACCCCATTTTTATAACGCACACAAACGTTTTTTAATAAATTTACTCGAAACCAAGAAAACTAGAGGGTTTTGTTCGTATTCTTTACGTATCTTCTGGTAGTTTTTATTGGTAATTGCATTTCTTGATTTATTAATTAATCATAATAATTCCATTTGTTGTTGATTTCTCTTGTCCTTGCTTTGTATATGTTGTATAAAGATGATGTTGCAGAAGCGAAAACAAGGGGAAATCACATTCAATCGCATATATAACACGTGAGGAGGAGTCAGAGAGAGAGAGATACGTTGAGTTGTATATTATTATTATAGGTTGCATTTTATTTCAAGGATACTTTCATAGTGGCTCCAGTATTCTACAGATTAGAGTTGCCCAGTGCCTGGCATTTGTTCAGTTCAATTGTATTGCTAAGTATTGGGTGCGTACGTATGTATATAAACCATAATATGGCGTACTATCTATCAAGTTGTCTGTGGTTCAGAGTCGTAGGTAGTCTGTGTCTCCCTCTTAGCTGCCTTAGGAAACTTGCGTTCGAGTTTGGGGATCGGAGGATTCGGATTTGGGGAGTGTCGAGTGTGTTTATTCAGCATGATTTCATCGATCTCTACGTCTCTACTATACGCTCTTCAGTTAGTTTTTGCTTATGCTTTCGTTTTTGTTTTATTTTGATCTTACACATTAACACTAAGTTGCCTTTGCTCTTCTTTCTTTCGTTTGTTATTGGTTTTCTCTCGTTAAATATGTATTAATTACATTGATAATTAGTTTAATCATAATTTCCGTTTCTGTTCTCATTTCGTAAACAATTTTACATGATAGGATTCTGTCGTTCTTCCTTTGAGTGTGTGTGTCTGTGTAAGGATACTCGTTCTCAGTAATTTGCTACAACAAAAACTATGCCTTAAAATAATACTTTAGTTTTAGTTACAGTGTTCTCTTTTTATATCCTCTTATATCCTTCTCTGCTCGCTAACTTGGCATTTATCAATTTTGTTCTGTTTCTGTCTACCGCTAAAAAACAATCAACAAAAGGGGAGAGTTGGGGCTCAAATTAAATTGTTTGTAACTAATATATTTGTATATAAATGTACTTAATAGCGGGGGGATAAAGGAAAACGACAACTTAAACTAAGGCTTAATAATTAAGAGGGCTTTATGGGGGGGATAGGGTTAGGGGTGGGTGGGGAAAAACACTAATTACAAAGCGATATGGCCACACGATGTGTGTGTATCGTGTTGCTGTTTCTCTTTTCTCTTTCGTAAATTTGTTAAATAACTAAAAAACTTGATATAACTTATAACCCAGGTCGGTCCATCCGTCCCTCCGTTCGTCTCTGTCTGTCTTTCTTGCCTTCAGTCCCAAGTCCAAGGTCCAAGTCCTGTCCGCATCGCACACATCTTAAAGCTATACACAAAAAGTTAAGTTAAATTGTATATAAAGATTTGCTTCCATCTTTTTCGGGCCTCCTCCAGCGGGGGCTGGCTCCTGAGGTTCTCCTCGGACGCAATCTCGCCTCTTTTGTCTGGCGTGACCCGAACCACTTGCTGCTGCTCCCTCCGTACGCTGCTGCTGCTGCTGCTGCCGCTGTCAACAATTCGTGTAGACGCCCTGCGTATAGTAGAGCTCCGTGATCCGTTCCGGCAGTGTGCTGTACAGGTTGGTGATCAGGTCGAGCGGCAGTCGGGACCACGCCTCCTTGATGCGGAATATCAAGTCGTCCTTGCGCGAGAACTTCCTGCCGCCGTCAAACACCTCGCGGATGAGCCAGCCCCACACATTCTCCATGATATTCAGATCGTGCGCAATGGTCGGCCACTTTTGTGTCTTCAAGCCCTCGGCATTCAGCAGATCCTGGGCGGTGGGCAGGGCATGCGACATCCAGTTGTGATCCTGCAGCACAAACTCCGTGCTGCCGCCCAGTTTCGTGACAATATTCGGTCGCTCCCTCATGATTGCCTCGATACATGACTCCGGTCGCTGCTTGGCGGACGATACCTCCAGGTGCACGGCTCCGCCCACGCAGACCATCAGGTAGATGTACACGGAATTGCCTCGCGGCCGTTGCGACAGCGTGCGCTCGTAGTTACGCAAATCGTGGAAATAGTAGGAGAAGCCATCCGGTCCGTCCAAATTGAACCGACGCTCGTCATGGAACACCACCCGCCGCCAGTGCTCCTCGCTCCACACAATGTACGTGTTGGCAAAGTTGAGGCGCTCCGTTTGATTGTACTGCGACAGCACTGGCTCCGTCTTCAGCTTCTTGGCACAATTCGCTGAGCTGCTGGCGCTGGAGGAGGAGCTGCTGGACGAGGAGCTCGACGACGCGGATGATGATGATGAGGACGAAGAGGCGGAGGAACTCGGAGCAACGGAGGCGGCTGATGCGCGTAAAAGCGCATTGGCGGCCGCTGCTATATTGCTGCTGCTGGGAGCACCAACGGCCGCCACACGGGACACAATGGTGGGCGAGACGCTGGATCCGTTCGACTGCTGGGTGGGCGCATGGCTGGAGGCAGTGCCGCCCGTACTCGAACTGGCCGCCGAGAAGTTTGAGTTCTGATTGAGGGCGTGCACGGGCAGGTGCGATTGTGGCTGCTGACTCTTGATAGGCTGTGGCTGGGGCGGTGGTGCCTGCTGCTGCTGGGGTTGCTGCTGGTAGTACGGATGGTGGTGATGGTAGCTGATGTGCTGCTGGTGCTGGTGGATTGTGGGCTGCTTGAGCTGGAGCTGCTTCAGCTGCGTCTGCGACTGTGCCAGCAACTGTTGCTGATGTTGCTGGTGGTGCTGTTGCTGCTGCTGTTGGTGCTGCTGCTGTTGCTGTGGGATGGGCATCTGCTGTATGCCTGGATGCTTCAGGTAGTAGTGCAGGGCCATCAGGTTATTGGCACTGCTGGCTGTGCTGGTGGGTACGGGCACTGAGACGGGCACTACACCGGGATTGACAGCAATGCCGTTGCCGACACCACCTTGGAGCAGCTGGACTGTGGTGCCGCCCGCTCCTACGGGCGGACCATGTACAGCAGCTGCCGCAGCCGCTGCTGCTCCAATAGCGCCCGCACTGGCGGCCAGCTGGGCTGCCGATTTGGGGTCATAGATGAACTTGTTGAAGTTCTGCAGGTCGTCTGGACTGAGCACAAGCGTTTTCATTTGGAGTGGCTGTGAGTGAGTCTGAAGTCTGAGGTCTAAGTGCGGTTTCCGTTTCAGCTGCGCGCCGCTGGCTCAGCTGCTGCTCATGAGTTTTCGGGGTTTTGGAACCCTTCAAGTTGCTTGTTTGGCTATTGCTTGGGCTGGGCTAAATGCAAGTCCGGGTTTCGGGTCTCTCTGTTACGAAGCGAACGCTCACGCACTTTCGGATGGCTGGCTGGCTGGCTGACTCGATTTCCAAATTCGTTGCGCGTTCGACTTGGCAACCTGTTCCTCTCCTTCTTCTCTTTCGTTTCTCTGCGCCGCCGCGTCACCGTGCCTGCTCTCTCGCTTATCAAAGGGCTGGCCGATCGCCTCGGCTCTCCGACTTCTTCTGATTGCAAAACTCTCGGCGCTCGTAAAAAGATGTCGGTTTACTTTCCCACCGTCGTCGGGCACGTACAACAAACGAGCGTCGTGTGGTGTATATGCTGGCCTGGCCTGAGTGTCTGTATGTGTGAGTGCTGGAGCACTTCCAGTATGTTATCCTCTTTTGTTGAAGTGGTTTTTCTTGTCGCTGGCTCTGGCTGGTGCAGTTGCTCCGCTGGCGTGCAAATGTTTCCTTGTTTCTTTATTCTGTCGCTCTCTGTGGCTCTTAGGTATTCCGTTGTCGTCGACGTCGATTTACCTGGAATAAAATAAAAAGCAGGTATGTGAGAAAAGAGTCTTGTTTCACACTTTGCATTGTGTGTGCATGTATCTCCACCGAGTATATATATATATATATATATATATATGGACTGCAGCAGCAGCATGTATTCAATATTTTTCGGCTGGTGAAATCAACACACAAAACACAACAAGACGTCGATGTCCGTTTCTGAACAGATGTTCCGAGATGTGCTCGGATTTCAGGGTCAGAAAGGGTCTCTTTCAAGTGTATATTCCCTAAACCGAAATGGGAGCACACGCACACTAAACACACACAACACACACTTGTACGACGATGCGAGTGTGTGAATATTTTTGGAAATTTGCAGCCTTTGCAATTTTTGGTCTTTACTCCTCGGCCTGTTTACCTTTTGTTTTTCGTTTCCTTTTCTTTCTTTTTCTCTTCTTTTCATTTCTTTATTTTTGGGAAACAAGTGGTTGGGGTGGGGGTGGGGAATGTCAAAAGTGCACTGGCACAAAAGATGGCCAAGAGAATATGTATGAAGCTGGCAGGTGTTGCGAATCCTGCAGAGAATTGTTTTGCGATTGGCAGGCCAAAAATAGGTTCCCAGCGTATGGTTTTTTGTTTTTCTTCTTTCCCGAACCCCAGCACTGCGATAAGGCTGCGGCCCCATCCCAGTGGGAGATTACCCAGCTATTATATGGGCATGGAATGGTTATGGTTACGTGTATGTATTTGGCGTTATCATCTGACTCTGGCTATGACGACTCTTATTCCTATTCTGATTTCGATTCCGATTCCAATTCCGCCGGCGACCACGCGCACGCACATGGCTATGGCTCCCCTTCCCCATTCATAATCCCCACACTGCCGTCTGTACAGAAATCCCGCACCTATAATATATCTATATCTAATCGCCCCGAATGAATTTCAGCCCTACGTTATAGACGGCGACTTTAATACGCATGTTTTTCCCACCGCTCTCTCGCCCTCTGCCGTTGCCGTTGCCCTTGCCTGGCCTGGCCTGTAATGAAATTAAAACTAAATTCAGCTCGCCACGGGGATGAAAATCGAGTTTTTCGATTCGACTAAGGGAAGAAAGCTGCTGCTGCAAACGTATGTATGTATCTGTGTGTATGTGCGGGGTTGCTGTCATCGAGGCGGGACGCAGGATGTGAATGCTGCTGTGGCTATGTCAACCGAAGGACTGCTGTAAGAGTGTGTGTGTGTCTGTGCGCTTGCTGCAACAAACTCGGTCGCTCTCCGATCGAAACTGCTGCAGCTGAGTGTGCCTGGAAACAGCTCCCTGCCTGCCCTGCCTTGGTTGGGGCAAAAGTTTCTCCGGTCGCAGGCCTGGTCAGCGGGTCGAAAGTTCAACGGGGAAGACCTTCGAACTAATACAGCTTTTTTTTGCCAAGAAGAAGCCCATAAGGCATGAATCAGCAAATTTAAGTGTTGTGAAATTCAAAGAGAAATTATGATCTTAAGGGACAATAGGAATTTCGATAATGGAAATTTGAGTTCCACTAAACCTTTTACCTCTAAAGCATTGCTAAATTGTTTCTGTATAAATGTGTTTTTTTAAACATTTCAGAAAAGAATCGAGAATGGAAGCTAAAGTTTGCCATTTAAATCGATCATAACATGTCAAAAAATTCATTCATTTTTATTCAGAAAGCATTTCTATGCCATTTGAAAGTTTTTAGAATCGTAATCGACTTGGCTGTTGATGCTGATTAAAAATATATTTACATATATGATTAATAGGGTCGGAAATGATTCCTTCACTAAGTTTAAAAGTTCTGACTAAAATTATAATACCCTACACGAGTATAATAATGGTGTTTTTTCTTTTTAAAATTAATTTTTTATGACCAATAAAGTCATTAAACTGAGACAGACCGCCTTTGTTCTAACAGCAGCTAATTTTTAGTAGGAAAATAAATAAAGAAGTGATTATTTTGGAGACTAGCATGTTAGACAGAAAATTAGCAAACATCTATTGAAACTCGATAGTTAGTTTAGCAAAGGATTGAAGGATATTTGAGACCTGAAACCTGAATCCGTTGTTTGGTCAACTGTTTTGCCAAGTTTTCTAATTATCATTGTGACGACGGGACGGCGGACTGCTTTCTACGATTTGCGTAGAATAACAACTGCTACTGCTACTGCTGGCTTCAATCGATGGCACAGCATTTTCCACACACATTTTCCGATCCGATTAGATTATTTCACATTCCTCTGCGCAATTACCGGGGGAAGTTGCCAGTGGGAAGTGGAGTTCGGTCGGAGTTGGAGTCGCAGAGAGATAGCATTCGCAGTCGCCCGGCACTGATTGATAGTTGGGCTGCTGCTCTGCGAATTCCCAACTCACGTGATAAGATAAGGCGATAATATGAAGCTCGCAAATGCTGCGAGAACCATTGTTTGGCGCTGCGTGAACTTTGGCCTTGTGTTCGGCCAAAAAAAAAGAGACAAAAAGACAGAAAACAAAACAAGAAACTGGTTGTACTTGAGGGGGAAACTACAGCCAGAGAAGCAGCAAGCTCTTTTCGATTTTTCGATGCTGGTTGCCAGCGGTTCGAAGCCCTTGGAATGCTGCTGGCAGGCCTAAAAAAAGCCGAGTTTTTTCCAACGCTTTTCGCTCGGTTTTTGTAAGGGGATTTTGTGTGTGCGTCTATATGGGTGTTGTGTGTGCTACACACAATCTAATCAAATGCCCTTGATAAGTCTCTGAACTCCGGGATCTTTTGAGACTGCTGCTGCTGACTAATCACATTTTAAGCAATTGAGTCATGTTCAGGGAAAATGTTCAAATACACGTTCGTTCGAATTCACTGTTTTGGTGTTTTTATTTTGTGATTCACTTTAACGAGGAATTTTCCGTGATTTGTAACGATTTCACTGGTTTTCATTGGCACATTTTGTCCTGTTTTGTAACGCGTCGACACTATTTTTATGGCCGCGAGTGTGACGCCCTGCGTGAGTTGTTTTTGTTCGTTTTACGCTTTGCGGGGGGGATGCTCCCTCGTCCACTCCCTCGCCCGCCCCCCATTACGGTATCACGTTATGGTTTTAACGTTGCAGTCGCCAGTTTCCCGTTACGTTGCACTCACATACACACAGAGAGCGAAAGAGAAGCAGCGGCGAGCAAGATGCATGTGGGGGAGACGATGCAGACGACAGGGGGGAGTTGAGGGCGACATGCATATGGACATGTGTAAATATCCAAAAATATAAAACGAACCCAGCGACTGAACCGACGTAATAAAATCCCTTACGCGCTGCAGGCAGCGGCGCTGGCAGCGCAGCCACATGCTTTTGCTTCTATATTGAGCAGCCAGCCAGCCCTTATGTGTTCAACTCTCCGTTATGTACAACAACACAACCAGTCCGTCCCGCATACATACAAGCGGGCACTCACACTCACAGTCGCAGCACTCTGCTTTCGTGCGTGTTTGTGCGCGTCGTGTTTTTGTGATGCCATCGTCGATATTGAAAGTACATGTGTACATACATAAGTACGTCTGTACGTGCGTGTGCCCATGTACATATATGCAGCTATGTACCAACGTACGTTGAACGAGAATCGAGAATCGCGTTGGAAATGAACTGAACTGAACAAACGGAACACAGCACAGCAGAAATGAAATGAAATTGCCTGTGTTTGCGAACAACGGGACGAAAGATACGATCCGATACGACGAGGTGCTTCTTTTTTTCGTTAATTCTTTGCTTTGCACACACACTGTTTGCTGCCTGTATGTATGTATTGCCTATATACACCCGTCCCGTGCCGTACGTACTGCTGTGTGTGTGTGTATCGTTTTCATTTTCACGGAACAAATATGGCTGCAGCACACAAAAAGCACTGCTTGGCCCACACTTTTTTCACTTTTTCACGCTCTTGTGGCTCGTTTTTTCGTTTTAAAGTACTGCTGACTGGCCGATTTGGGTTTCGTGGATTGGGATTCCGTTTGCGTTGCGTTTGTTTGCTTGCCTTTCGGTTGCTTTGGGGTCTGCGAGTGCGTGATTACGCCATTTTCTTTGCTCGTTCGCCTCGCACGCCCATTCGAATTACCTTTGCGATTGATCTCTGCACTCTCGCTGCACTCGCGGTCACTGTGAACGGTGGGGCGCTGGTTCGATTGCCAATCAATATCAATTTATTGACTATTCACGGGTTCCACGGCTCACAGAGGGTTTTTTAAATGCAAGTACGCAAAACTCGAGGTAGAGGTGGCGACGTCGATGCCAAGTTTTCGATGACTAATCGTATTTCGTCAGGGCGATATCGATCTTTTCCCACCTCTGTGTCAAATGTGTCAAATGTAAATTTACCTACAAACCGTGTCAAATGTAGCAATGGGGTCGAAATCGATGTCATCGATATATACCAATAAAAATATACCAATATCAATAGATCGTTATTTTTCAATAAAAATATAAGCTGATAATTTTTAATTCTCAATTCTGTAAATGATAGCAATTTTCAAAAGCAAATTCACTCTATATTCCCATTTTAAACCAGTGCTGTTTAGATGTAAATTGGTAGAAAACTTTGCTTAACTGCGAAGCAGCCGTTACTAGAGATTTTTTAAATGTTAATATATTTAAATATATAATTAAAAACACATACTAAATGTTTGTGTGTGTACTTGTATATTTTTTTGTTGTTTTGTTTTTACGTGCACATATTCTATAATTGTTTATATGGAAAATACATTATAGATTTGATTTATTAGAGTTCGAAGATTAGTTTTACTCGGAAACGCTCAATACGGTTTTTTGAACCTCTCTTTCCGGGAAAATAGAATAATGAGAATAATATTGTGTCACATTTTAACACGAATTTTATTAATTAGGGCAATTGACTTGTTTTTGTAACAATTTACTGACTGTCCTTAAGTTTTCTCTTATTGTAATCTGTAGAAATAAGAGTACTTTGTTAAATAAACAACAATTAATTTATTAAATTATCCTTTATATCTAGTTGTTGTAGTTTACAAGGAATTTAAATAAATAGTCTTAAACTAAGCCTAATTAATTGCTTATATAATACTTCTCTCCCTACTTCTGCGCTTGAATGTTTGTTAAATTATCTTCTGAATTAAAATCCGGAAGCATAACACTGATGTCCGACATTTGCCGCAGCCGAACGATGGTGCAGTAAAGGACGAACAGTATGCTTATGATTAGCATGCCAGAGCCCAGGATGACCCACATAATACTGGCTAGGTGGCTTTCCTCCACCACACTAAGGCTGAACTCCTGGGTCTGCACTTCATTACCAGTGCCCAGATGAAGCTCGAACTTGTGGCTTTTATTATTCACAAATTTCTTCTCTTGAAGACCCTCGTAGATGCACTGAATCTGATTTTTGTTGTGAATCGTCTGCTGGCATCGCACTGTTGTGGAATTGTCCAAGGTCAGGCTGTACTGGTGATCGGGTCCCAACTGAGTAAAGCCGCACACCAGCCGATCATTGGACTGCTGCCACCGACACACAAGGTCCTGCACATCCATCGTAGTCCTTGGGACGGCACTGGCTCCTTTCGCCATAGCCACCAGCGTCAGCATCGTCATAAAATCTAGTAGAAGCGTTTTCCGCTCCATTATATTGAACAGTCAGACTCCGACTAATCATCCCAAAATTGAATGCTTGTATTAAATATCAACAAATACTTTACTGATAGTGCGTATGTACATAATGGAATTTTCACATGAATTTTGAAAACACCCTGGACCTTTTTAATACAGTACTCGGAACTCAAGCTTTTTTTCGATCTTTTTGGAGGGGTGATTTATTTGACAACCTATAGAGGGATTTCCGCTCCAGCAGAAGCGTTTGGCTGTCATGATAATGAGGACTAATTGATTTACTAACCAAATAATTATAATTTATACATATGTATGTACATATGTATGTATGTAGTATGTAATTTCGAAGAATTTCACAGAATCGGAAAGCTAAAAGATAAAGAAGACTAACTAATGTACTGACTAAAGCTAAAAGATAAAGAAGACTAACTAATGTACTGACTAATTGGCCTAATTTTTAAATGCCTTGAACTTATTATAATGAAAAGATTTACTGATACAACAAATTTGAAACCGAATTAACGGGAAAAGAGCTTAACTGTTTGTTACATAAAATTAAAAATTTATTAAATTTTAAGTTTTAAATTTCTGTACATTAACAAAAAAAAACGTTTAAAAGTTGTGGAAATTGCTAAAATAAAAAAATGATTCAGATTTTCTTGACTTATTATCTTATTTGAAAAACATCCTTTCTGATTGGGACCAATGTTCCTGCTAAAATACCACAAACTGAAATTCAAATTGGAAAGTCAGCTGTTTTTTGGCCCAAGCAGCAAGCAATATTCTCATGGATTGTGCAGCCTGGTCACACTTCACACTGGTGGTCTTTTGATGACGACAAATTTAGCAATTTAAAAAGTTTACTTTGGTAAAAATGCACGAGCTCTCCGGCGCTACGCCCGCACACGTATTTGGAACAAATGTTTGCTGAACAACGGTGGCCCACTCAATGTAAACGCCAATATCTCTTCCACCGCCGCCGCCGTCGCCGCCGGATTATTTTGTTTACAATTTTGCTTGCACAAGTGCACAAGTCCAAGTCCTCGGTTCACAGTTTCGGCCTTAATTTTAGTGGCAAAAACGCCGAAGTACATTAGTTCGCACCGTGTCGCTAGCTGTCGCGTCTAAGTGCTTATCAGAACAGCGCTCGCAGTTAGGTATCTCCTCACATTTTGCCTACGCGGCCAGACGCGTGGAGTTCCCATCCAAGCGAGAGAAAGTTAGGCAGGCATCCCTTCCGCTGAAGACAAGACGATGCTGGCCCACTCCGGACATGTGATGACGCTGGCCAACAGCATTATAGGCGTTGGTATCCTGGCCATGCCTTTTTGCTTCCAAAAATGCGGCATTGTACTATCCATCCTGCTGCTGGTGCTGAGCAATGGCATCACGAGGGTTTGCTGTCACTACTTGATCAAGACCTCGCTGCTGACACGTAGGAAGAGCTTCGAGCTGCTCGGCCTGCACGCTTTCGGGGCTTCCGGCAAGCTGCTGGTGGAGCTGTGCATCATTGGCTATCTGATTGGAACGTGCATCACCTACTTTGTGGTCGTGGGGGATCTGGGACCGCAGATAATAGCCAAGCTGTTTGCCATAAACGTGGCAGAGCATCTGCACCTCCGGAGCCTGGTAATTGAGTTCTTGGATTTGTTTGGGAATCTTTATTAATCTTTAATTTTTAAGGTAATGGTGGTGGTTACTGTGGTCTGCATTGTGCCACTGGGCATGCTCCGAAACGTGGACAGCCTGTCAGCTGTGTGCACTGCCTCCATTGGCTTCTACGTGTGCCTGATGCTCAAGATTGTGCTGGAGGCGGAGAGTCACATAGCGGCCAATGATTGGACAGAGAAGGTTCTCTACTGGGAACCAGCGGGCGTGCTCCAGTGCTTGCCCATCTTCAGCATGGCGCTCTCCTGCCAAATGTGTGTATAAAATATATATGTGAATATCTCTAAATAAATATTTAATCAATTTGTATCCGCTTGCAGGCAGCTGTTTGAGGTCTTCGAGAGCATTAACAACCAGAGTCTCGACAAGTTGAATGGCATTGTGCGCAACGCCACTTGGATCTGTACTTTTGTTTACATATCTGTTGGTTTTTTCGGCTATGTGGCCTTCTGCACCCACACTTTTTCAGGTGAGCACAAAAGACCTACCTTGTTGACGCACTTGCTAATCCATATATTCTCTTTTCTTGTCGCAGGCAACATTCTGGTGAATTTGTCCACCTCTTTTGGCAGTGATATCATCAAAATAGGCTTTGTACTGTCGATTGCATTTAGCTTTCCCCTGGTTATCTTTCCCTGCAGGGCCAGTATCTACTCGCTGCTATACAGAAAGGTAAGTCAGCAATCCCCTTAAGTGCTTTGCAACTGATTAATGAACATTACCTTTTCAGGGACACACGGAGAGCAGCAGTTACATACCTGAGCAGCGCTTCCGGCTTATCACTGTGTTCATTGTGGGCTTCTCGCTATGCGTGGCCCTGGTCATTCCCTCCGTAGAGCTTATCATTGGTTTGGTTGGCTCTACGATAGGCGTGGCCATTTGCATTATGTTTCCCGCCTCCAGTTTCCGCAAGATCATCAAAAAGGAGTCTATGGAACGCACTCTGGCCCAGTTTGTTTTTGTCAGCGGCTTTTTGCTTATGATTCTGGGCACCTACGCCAACCTGAGTGCCATCGATGAGCAGAGTTCGGGGCCGGAGTTCGATATGGTTCAATTGGTCACCCCGCTGTTTCCGGCGGGACAAGTGCCAGTGGAGCTACCCAAACATCTGAGCAAGGAAACGGCTGAAAGTGAAAAGAACCTTTTGCAGAAGCTGGAAATTCAAAATCCTGAGATTATCAAGGATTCATTGGGGGAGAAGATCCTCGAGAAGCCTAAGGAGAAGCCATCGGAGCCACCCTTACCACCACTGCCTATTGATGAGGTTCATGTGGTGCCTTTGGAGAGTGATAAGGCTGCCAGCGAGGCCAAGAAACCCGTAGAAGCCGAGGCGGAAGTAAAACCCCCGGAAGTAAAACCGGAAGTCGATGTCAACTTGACAGCTGCCAAGCCCAAAGAGAACCCACCCCCCATTGCCGCTGCTCCAACAGAGGCTCCCAAAATGGGAGTAGCTAGCAATACCATTGACGGAGCGGCCATCAAGAAAGAGGAGGAGGTGGCCGCCGAGGAGCAGAAGGAGAGCAAAGCTAATGCGGAGGAGCTGCTAAAGACGCAAAAGGAGCTCAAGGAGACAAAGAAACTGCTGGCCAAGACTGTGGGCGAGCTGAACGAAGAGCTGGCCAAAAAGAGTCCACTTAAGGAGGACCTTAAGAAGGAGCCTGAGGCTGAGGAATCCAAGGAACCCAAAGGAACCCAGAGAGAGAACCCACCTGTTGCCGAGGACAAGGCAGAGCGCAGGCCCAAGGCCTCCCTGATGGACATACTTACCGAAAATGCTCATTTGCGGGATGAGAAGGAAGCCCATGCTGGTGTCTTTGAGCCATTGTCCTATAAAACTGGCGAACTCTTGAAGAACTCCAGTGTGGACAGGGCGTCCCTCATCAAACGGCTGCCCATACCCTTGGCCCTGATGGTGAATGCCACGCTGGGGGCCAAGGACACAGTCAATGGCAATGTTACAGAGGCTAAAAAGCCAAATATCGAGGATAATGTCGAGGCCATACGGCGAGAGCTGCTCAACCTGAGGACTGAACAGCCGCTGGCGAGGATCAAGCGGGAGACGGGCGAGAACTGTCTGCGCGAACCCAAGCTAGATGAAGTCAATAATAACCCCTTAGCGGCAGCAGCTGGCTTGAGCTTAAACCTGGAGAGCATAGGACGCGATCTCAAGTCCATCAAGGATGACGATGTCGAGATAACCACTGAAAACGAAACAACCTACCAACCGACTTCCAACGGAACCCGACCTCCGCAGCTTACGTAAGCTTTATGTACATAAACTATATACACGTATTTATTTAGTGTGTAAGAGCGAGACAGTAAGCTAGGCGAAAGTATATAGAAATATATATATTTATATTGATATTTGGCTATATTGTTATTGTGTTTTTCAAATTTCGTGTGTAAACCCATAGCCCCGAAATTCACCATTCAAAAAATGTCCATCATACTCGATGTTGTCCAGCAATATGTGTTGGAGAAGGCCTGCGACTTGACCTGCGAGGCAGCCTTAACGGTGCTAAGAATATGGACAGGCGTGAGTTAAGGCTAGGTTATTCCTTTTCTTCTTCAACTTGAAAGCTGTTGCTTTTCAGCCAAAGTTAAAGGAGAAGGGAGAGCAGGATAAGCCCAAGCTGTGGCAGGCTAAGAAGCCAGTGATAGTAGCAGTACCAGAGCCAGAACCAGAACCTGTGGCTTTGTTACCTGCCCAGCCCAGTTGCCAGAAGCTAACAAGAGCCCTCAAGCGTTTGGAACGCGATGTTCCACGCTTTAACAGCGGCTCCATTGATCCTCCTCAGTGCTCCTGCATGCGGTTGTGCCGCGACAGCTACTTCTCTTAAAACCAGATTGGATCTCATTTCACTTACAAAGGTTACCCACGAAACGGAATCACAGAAACACCCAACAATAAAGCCTGAATTAGTTTAAAAACAATTGCAACTTTAATTAGGAATTAGCAAAAAATGACAAGGACAAAGCTGGCTGGGAAGATCATTCCCAAATCCGTATCCAAGGTGTAACAACTAACAGGTCTAAGGTTTGAGTATGCAACGGTGGATCCCTCTTTCCCTCACTGGTATATCCTTAGGCCACATCCGCTCCCAGGGAGTGCAGGTCGTACAGCACCTCTAGTATGGCAGCCACACTCCAGGCCTGCGTGCGACACGAGTCACCGCAGTAGGAACCATTGTCGTTGGTCAACTCGGGCAGGCCTCGCCAGTGGGACGTCTGTAGTTCCCTGAGATGGTTACGCAGAATGGCCCATGTCTCGGCAATGGTTTCATCCAGATGGCCACACCTCTTGGCAAAGATTAGGCGCGCTCTCAGATAGAAACCTATGGGCCAGACCCACTCCGGTCCCTGGTGATAGTTGGCGCCATGGGCCACCGTGCAATCGGTGGAGTCATTGGAGTTGTCATAGTTGGCCCTGTAATTCCAATCCTCAGGATCCAGTGTCTTCATGCCCAGCGGTCCTAGAATGTACTTCTTGGCCTGCTCCAAAGCACGCCAGGCATTCTGGGGATTGCACAGCTCCGGGGCCACGGTCAGGGTGATGGGGAAATTGCAGCGCAGCTGGAAGTCCGTCCAGCTCTGGGTGGCTCCGTAACTGTCCTTGTAGATTTGCTTCTTGTTGGCCAGCGAGCCGGTCTCCGATTCCGACACATAAAAGTGCCTGTCAAAGTTTTCCCTGATGCGATCCGCCCACTCCTTGTAGGTCCATTTGGTCTGCTCGCCCGATGGTCCCTTGCGCTCGACGCCTGTGTACGGAATCTGTTCCTTCTCGGCCAGACCCTGCATGAACCGAAGCACGGCGTACTGCAGGCCAATGAGCTCCACAGCGGAGCCATCGCGAGGCGTACTTGGCCTGCCCTTGTTGCCGGCCTTCTGGGAGGAGCCCATCTTGTCCATCCAGGTGCCACAGTTGAAGTTGTTGCCTCCAAACACGAACCCAGTGTCCGGATGCACACCGATGTGGTTGTTAAAGCCCTGATCCACCATATGGGCATCGATCTCATGGCCGGCATTGCGCTCCCTGTACTGCAGCCCCTGGAAATGCACCTGCAACGCCTCCTGCATCACGTCGAAGAGCAGCTGATCAAATGCTCCAGGAGCATGGGCCTCGGCATCATCGTAGGGGAAGAGGCGCGATACCTTATCCCTTAGGATCTCCGAGCCCTTGGGCGCCGCCTCCACATACTGTTTGATGCAGTACATCCACCACCAGACGGCATCGCGGCAATTGAATCTCGGCTTGCTGCCACTGTCCAGGAGATTGGGAATCAAGCCATGCCGCAGGGTCTGGCCAAAGCCAATGATGATGTAGCGGGCCTCGTTGTAGCGACCGGTCAGGAACATGGAGCCGCGCAGGGCAATGAAGGTGTCGCGACCCCAGCAGCGCATATATCCGGTGGAGAAATGCGGGAGACCGGCGGATAGGGTCACACACTGCTTCGGTGGCTTGGGTGGACTGATGGCAGGACTAAATCCAGGCAGATTTGCCGACTTGCAGGCGGAGAGGAACTGCAGCGTGGACAGGGCCAGGGACTGGGTGAAACTGTGGCCGTTTTTGATGAAACTGGAAAGGGAAACCAAAAGGAAAGATGCATTAACTGGGCGGAAGGACGGGTGTTAAAAGTCACTTACTCTGGCATCAGTTCGTTGACTTGGTTGGTGAGCACATTGTAGACACCACTGATGATGGCATCAAAGTAGCAGGGCACCAGGTAGCGTGGAATATTCTTCAGAGGCTCAAAGGCTGTCTTTAGCCAGGCGGAGAGTGGCTTCAGATCCTCATAGCTGTTCAAGCGATCAGCAATGTAATCTGTAAAGAGAATCCCTTAGAAAAACCACTACAAACCTCCTTTTGAATGGTTAGCAAACCTATCATCCAGTTGCCATCGCGTAGATTGTTGCACAAAGGATGACCCAGGTCATTCTTGGGCGAGATTTCCGTCAGCAGAGAGACGAAACCCTGCAGGCCGCAGTAAACAATCCTTCCAAAATTGGGTATATCGTAGGCAGAGCCTCCTTGGCCCAAATCCCGCTCCTCCTGGTCGCAGCTAAACAAAGCTCCACTAAGAGCCACCAAATCCAGTTTCGAGACAATGGCCTGCAGCTGAGACCACTCCTCGCCCGCTCCCAGACGCAGGTCATTCGTGAGCTTCTGCAACTTGCCAAAGCTGGCACGCGGACCCGGATGCACGGATACCCTTATGGCCACCACAGTGCCCGGCCGTAAATTCACAAACTTCAGCTCCGTGTTGTTGCCATCCACAAAGGCTTGAGTCTGGAAGACCGTAGACTTTGCCAGTGGGATGTGCTCCTGGAGATGCAATTCAAACTGGGTGAAGCCATTGATCACATTGGGATCCTTCTGGAAGGGAGCCGGCCGGTCGAAAGGCTTGTCGCTCTTTGTGGTCAGACTGGCCTCCAAAATGATCTCGTCCAGCACGCCCTCAAATCTCAGCGGTCGGATCCCGGTGGGTCCGGCATTTGGATACGGATAGCCAAAGGCCGTGTGGGCCACCAGGATAACCGACTGGTGAGTGGTGGGCGAGTGACGTGTGACGGCCACCACATTGGGGTCCATCTGGTCCACATACACCTGGCTGAAGCCCTCCTCCGCTAGCTGGCCGTGCAGCAGATTTAGAGCCCGCTTGGCGCCCATTATCCCAGATTTGGAGTCAACGCCCTTGCCCCATTCCTGGTAAGTGCGCTCCTCATCTACCACATGGATCTGGAGAAATACAAAACGAAACATTAATAGATTCTTAAATATTTCTAGGGAAAGTACCACTCACATGATGGGGCACCAGCTCATCGTAACCACGGTTGCTGCCTGTGGCACAGCAGGCCATGGAAACCAGGCCAGCCGAGGGCAGCAAGTCATAAACGGAACGCTTCTCCACCGGCGATGGATTGTCGTGGGTGAGGTCCAGGAACAGAGCATGCGCCACACTGGAGGCTTCGTGTCGCGAAGAGTTGGCATAAAATCCACCCACAGGCACACCGCCATACCGGTAGACCAGGCGACCCTGCTCGTGTGAATCCCAGGCGGAAAGAGCCTCACGGATCAGAGAGGTAATCCCCAATCGGTTGACAAACACATTGTCCGTGGCATCCGAGTTGGTAAACAGCTCCGCCACCACATACAGCTCCGGGTTGATCTTGCGCGCAGCATCCAGGAGATATTCGGCCACATGCAGCGGCGTGGAGTGGCAGTTGTCTAGGCGCACGCCATCAAAGATGCGCGCAGTGGTCTCTACATACTCGGTCATGTGCTTCCACAGATAGGGACTATCCTCTGGCTTCCTGCCAAACCGCAGCTTCACACTATCGCCCCACGAGATCAGCTCTCGCTTGAGGTAGACATTGGCGCGGCCCGGCTGCTCCTCGGCAAAGTCTCGCAGCGGATCGCTAGAGCCCATCACCCAGCCATTGTGGGCCATGAAGAAATCACCCGCCTTGGAGTACATATCGGCCTCAATCTCGGTCAGGGACTTGCCCAGAGTGCCCGTGTGCGTGAAGTAGGTCATGAATACCGAGTGCTTCTCGGAGATCTCCTTTACTCGGGGTCCATCGCCCTGGACTCTTTCGTAGCGCACGCCGGCCAGGACATTGTCGATGGCATAGTTGAGGTATCCCTGGATCTCGGCACGCACACGCTCATTGAGGGAGTCCAGGTGACGGCGAAGGGTTTCGGCGCACTTGCGGAACCGCGACTCCTCATCGAAGCAGTCGCCATGGAAAGCATTAAAGATCTCCAGCGCTCGCTCGAAATTAATGGTGCTGGCCAAGCGTCGATATTCCGGGTCCTGTATCAGTTGGATCTCCTCGAAGCGGGACTCGTTGGCCACGTTCTTAGGCGGTTCACGAGTCCGCACTTGGGTCATGAATTCGTTCACATACTTCATGGCATCACACTGATACAGCTCGTGGATATTGACCTTGGACAGGTAGGAGGTGTGCAACTGGTACTTTAAAGCTTCCAAATGGCACTCCTGCTCGATGACCTGAGGCACGCCCACATGCTCCAGGCTGCCCTCGGCTATGTCCAGGCCGCACTGGGCAAAGGCAGCGTCTAGCAGAAAGGCAGGACGCAGATAGGGACAGGTGGCACACGAATAGGTGGCATCGGGATGTTGAAGCAGCCACTCCGACTCGTTGGCCGTGTGATTGAGCACAATGTCGCAGATGGAGGCCACCTGGTAAGTCATCATTAGAAACTGTAAATAAATATATTTGGGTTCTCCTTACCCCCCATTCCTGGCGACACTTCTTGATCACCTTCTCCACCTCCTCGAAGCTGACCTTGCCGCCCTTCTGGTTGGCATAGATGGAGCTCACCCTAAGCTGGTCACGCAACGAGTAGCAGGAACGGGAGCCGCCCAGCTCCTGAATAGGCGTGAAGTGAATCACATTGTAGCCGGCCTCCTTGGCCACGCGCAGCTTGGCCTCCCAGGTGTTTAGTGGCCCCAAGAGCTTTGTAAGCACCGTCTGGCAACGCACTGAGTCCAGGGGAATGGTCTTCTGGGCGCCCGGCGGACCCACATGCAGGGTGGGCTCCACTTGGACATACAGAGCACCATCGGCGCCAGAGCTGCCAGTGTCTGGTCTGCAATTTAATGTTGATTAATAGAATTCCGGCTATGAATTGAAATCAATTAAGTTTTTTTGATGTTTTTATAAGCTTTATGGATTTCTTCATATCTTTTTCAAGGTCATGTATCATTAAAATATTAATAAAAATTTAAAATGAATTTAAATTTAAAGTTTAAACAGAATCTTCAAGGTTAAAACCCCACTCACCTCTCCAAATACCGGAAGTAAAAGTGATACGTTCCCGACATATTCAATTCCACCTGACTGTAGATGTCCGTATCCACGACATGGGCCTCTGGATGCATCACCGTTGTGATCTGCTTGCCACTGCTCAGTTGCCATCCCAAAACCCGGTAATCAGTACGCACGAATTTCTTTCCCTCGGCGGGATAGTTAGTGTACAGGACTATCTTGCGGCCTAGCAGCGAGGCATCCGGATGAACACTCAGCTTGGAGCCCCTCTTCAGGCGGTACAGCACATGCTCGGCATTCTGACCCTCGCTAATAGGTATACTGTGCGACTCCGTCTCCTTGCCCATAGTGCTCATCTAAAGAAATCCGGAAATCGGTTACACAATCGCCAAGCGTCACATCGAAGATTACACATGAACATGGGTGTTGTTATGCATGGAATGTACAGTCAGTAGAACTATTTATAAATCCGCACTATCTCCGAGATCTATTCTAACTAATTAGCAAACTTTAAGAAAGGTTCCTTTAAAGTTAGATTAACTTTAGTTTCCAAGATTAAACAAGTAATTTGTGAGGAGTTTTTAGATTATTTAAGGCATTTCCTTTAATACTACTTTTCCTAGATCCTTTTACATAATGATAGTTTAAAAAAGACACTTTAAATCAGATCAAAAATTCGTAATACTCAAATTTGTTTAGCAACTAGTGGTTCCATTTTTTAAAACTTCATTGTATATTAAGAATTTTGGGTAATATTTGCCCTGGCATATTCATAGAGATCTGTAAATCCTTTTGTTATAGAAAAACACTTGTATTCCAGATTGATTACATCAGATATTCAGGTCCTTAACTTTCTTGTCCATTTTACAGGTTCTTCTTATAAAATTTCCACTGTATATTTATGAATTTTGGATATTAATATTTTTAATAATAGGGGAAAACGCACACACAAAGGCATCTTCTTGTTATAACACCACCACAATGCGAGCAGAATCTTAGAGGTTTTTCCTGACTTCTTCCAAGCTTCTAATGACACTAGTCTGTGCTGTTAACGAGGAGCACCCGGCGCTGTAACTGCAGCATCGCCGGCAGGGATTGCATGTTTTATATTCATGGTGGCCTCCACTCAGACACCTCAAACACACACACACACAACATACTGGATTATGGATTATGGACACTCGGGGGGACACGGAGACTGGAACACGAACACTGGGAACACACCGATGATGATCAGTTGGGGCGATAATACCTCACGGCGGCGGATGATTTGATTTGATACGATTTCGGCACTGCCTGCATTGCCCATTGCCTTAGCATTTGCACTTGGAACGGTTCTAATCGCGACTGATTCTGGCTCTGATCTTCCGGTGGATTTTGCCTGCTCCAGAGGCGCCTGCTTCCTCTTTCTCTCCGGCAATCCGTTGTCTGCTTCTTCCCCTTTTTCGATTTGCAACGGTACTGGGTTATCGATCGCCCCAGAGAAGAGGCCCCAGAGCCAGCGAAAGAGCTGATAGCGCATCAAGATCCGGAGCACGCTCCTCCAGAGCCAATGGAATCCCTCGTTCAGCATGACGGCCACTGACTACTAATACGGTTCTTCGTGGTCTTTTGGTTGCCAGGAATTTCTGGTCGCCGCTATCTCAAATGGAGCATTAAACAAAAATATGTACGTTTTAATCGCGCTTAAATGTCAAGCACACACAACGGCGACGAATGCAAACAGTGGCGTCGGATCAAGGGGGGTTAGGTACTGTGTGTGGGGGAAATGCAATGTATCTCTTGATTCCCTGAGCCCCTGTGGATGCATTATCGACATGTGGCGCCTACGTGAATATTAGACAAAAAAAAAGGTGTTGAGCAGCTAGAACCTTATCAACATTGAATTTTCACTAGCAGGTCAGGAATAAAAATAATTTTTGCACAAAACAAGCACACACACGTCCGCACCTGACATTCACTCACACACACACGCACACATTCAGCGCATTTATATGTAGGTCAAGGAATTGCACTTGTTTGCCGGTAGATGGCCTTAGAATATTTTTATTTATATTTTGGCAAATTTATAAAAGTTCCCACTCCTTTATCTATAGATTTTTTCACTTATCTCGCCGCAATCATTCACGTTATCACACTTCTCAGGCAAAAAATGGTTTGTGTATTTATGGAGATGCAAATGCCGTGATTTTAAATAATTTATCACTATTATTTGGAATGATATTGTTTACTTTTTGGGCTTAAAAATCTAGCTGCTAAATTGAACTTTTACGTTACCAGCTGAAATAGGTTCTGCTTTTTCTGTTTTCAAGGTGACCTTTGAAGTTTTTGTGGCCCATCAGCTGTTGGGGCGTGAAAGACGCTTGTAAACAAACACAGCTGTTGGCCTTTGTTTACAATAACAACTGTATGAAATTGTCTTTTCAAGAGGAGTTATTAGTTTAATTATTTTTTTTATTGAAGAATTTGATAGCAGGCTACCTTTATAGTTAAAAACTAACTATAGTTTATGTCATAATTTTCGTTTATTTGAGGAAATTGGTAAATTAATCGTTATCGATATGTGCTGCGAAGCTTTTAAGAGTGACCACTTGCCGTGGAGGCGAAAATACCCGATTTTCTAAAGTAAAAGTTGTATATATCGATATCTTCAAGAGTGGACAGTTCTAGAGCGAGACAAACGGATACAAGTTTTACTCTTAATCAAACAAACCATAAAACATTCCAAATGCGCTGAAACCGAAAACTTATCTTACAGTCGCGTTCCACCTCGCATTCCGTACGAATCGCTACCGCCGTCGCAGTCCAACGAAACCGGAAAATGTCGGTGGCGCAGCACCTGATTATTGTTACAGTGGGCCTGCTGCTGGGATTCCTGAGACCCACTTCCGCGGGAGTTCCCCTGCCGCGGTACGAGGCCATGCTCAAGCAGCAGTCGGCGGTGGAGGATCCCTCTCTGGGCCTCTACGATGACACCGACAAGGTGGTCCGCCTGAATGTGGACAACTTCAATGCCACGGTGCTGGACCAGAACCGGGGGGCGCTCGTCGAGTTCTACAACACATATTGTGGGCATTGCCGGAGATTTGCGCCCACCTACAAGGTGATCGCGGAGCACCTGTTGCCCTGGTCCGAGGTTCTCATTGTCGCCGCCATCGATTGTGCGGCGGAGGAGAACAACGGCGTCTGCCGCGACTACGAGGTGATGGGCTATCCCACACTGCGGTATCTTGGACCCGGTTTCCAGCCCAGCGCCCAGCACTATGGCCAGAGCCTGCTGACGCAGGATGAGAACGAGATACGGGGACTGCTGGCGGGCATGTTGGCGGCGGAGAACATGACCAGCAGTCACAACAACACCCTCTGGCCCAGCTTCCACACCATCACGGAGAGTGATTCCGCGTCCAGCCTTTTCGAGGGTCTCAGCAGTGTCAAGCAGTATGTGGCCGTGATCCACGAGCCGGAAAACTCTACGGTGGGCATTGAAACCGCTCTGTTCCTGCTTAATTGGCCAGCGGTGGAAGTGCGCCGCGTTCAGGACGCCAAGGTGGCAGCCAAGTTCAAGATTGAACCCACAAACCTGTCCCTGAGTCTGGTGGATCGCAAGGGTGTGATTACAGCCTACGCGGCGGAAAATGCGGACAGTGCTTCCTACGCCAAAAAGATCGAGGAGGTGCTACGGCAGAAGAACATCACACCCAGGCCGGCAAAGCTGGTGCAACCGCGGACCACAGTGGCCACAAAGACCGCGGAGCAGAACGATCTCATCAAGGAGGTGCAGCGGAACAAGCATTTCGTCTACCAGGCTGATCTCGAGCAGGCCATTCGCACGGTGCTGCACAACGAGGTGGCCAAGGTGGCCGAGATCAGTGGCGAGCGGCTGCTTGCCCTTCAACGCTTCCTGACCGTGCTGCAGCGCTACAATCCCCTGGGAGCCAACGGCCATAAGCTGGTCAACCAGTTGAAGGACTATGTGGTGCAGTTCAACGAGCAGCTTTCAGGAGAGCAGTTCGAGCAGGAGCTGAAGCGACTAGAGGCCCACCTCTTGCCCGTCTACTCCTCTACACACTTTGTGGGTTGCGCTGGCTCCAAGCCGCGCCTGCGAGGCTTTAGCTGCTCCTTGTGGACTCTCTTCCACTTTATGACAGTGCAGGCTGAGTCTAACGAGGATTCATCGGATCCGCTGGAAGTCCTGCAGGCCATGCATGGCTACATCAAGAACTTCTTTGGCTGCACCGAATGCGCCGAGCACTTCCAGGTGAGTGAGTCAGCGGCAGGCTGCCAGGTAGGCAGGCTGCTGTGTGAGCTACGTGCTAATGACCACCATATCGCTGACTAGGCGTAATGGATTCGGGGAGGTGGGGGATTTATAGTTGATTACCAAACAAAAGATTGAAATGCTGACAGCGCATTGTTGGGATTTTTCCATACGAAAACTAATTGACTTCAGGTATAATTTTGGCCCACAAAAAAAAGCTACACTTGTGTGCTGCGTTAATTAAATAAGTCACCTTTTGGATCAGCACAATGTCATGGCTTAGTTGGCTAACCCCTGTTCCTTTTTTTTTTATTGATTTAGCTCCACGTACTAGGCTTGTATAAGAGCACTAAGTAAGTAGCCACGATCTAGGTGGCTTGTGTTTACTAGTTCTCCCCTCGCAGCTTTGATTATTGCGAGAGAAGTGGCTGTGGGTTGAGTCATGCTACAACTTTCTCTAACTGCTTATTATACCTGCTATTGTGTTTTGCTTCAATGTTTGTAGTAAAACAGAAGAGAAGGCGTGCTCAATGCCAGTCGATTTACTACTATATGTAAACATCCACGTATGGCAAATATAATCTCACAAGTTAGAACTGGAAACTATGCAGCAATAGGTCTACGAATCCCACACAGATTAGATTTGATGCAAATAATTGAGTGCCAGCAGAGATACTGGAGCAATCAGGCAGAGTTGGTAGAACTTGGGAAAAACCTTTAACACAATTTACTTATCTCTTTACTTAAAGGGGTTATTAAATTTTCGTTTTTATAAATGCCCAATATATTATGAATATTTTCTCAAAATTTCACATCGATCATAGATAAATTCACAAAATTATGCTTAGCTGAAGGAAGGGTATAAATAATTTACAGAGCTTTCCTAAAAATAATTATTTTTACTATTATCCAAGCCTGTGAATAAAAAATAAAACTGAATTTTTAGGCCGCCAGCTGTGCCAACAGCTATTGTTAATGCCTTTCTTGTGACGTTCACTTATTGAGTAATTTGTGTTATTTTTTGTTTACTCTTCGCAGGCAATGGCATCGAGACGCAAAATCTGGAGCGTGCCGAACAAGGAGGAGGCGGTTCTCTGGCTGTGGGCTGCTCACAATGAGGTGAACCAGCGGCTGGCTGGCGACGATACCGAGGATCCGGAATTCCCCAAACAGCAGTTTCCCAGCCCCAACAGCTGTCCCGAATGCCGCCGGTCGCCAGATACCAAATCAGAGAACCTGGAGATTGAGTGGAATAAGGACGCCGTATTGGGCTTCCTCAGGAATATACACAATCCGCAGTTTGTCAGCCGCTATGGCATCCAGCGGGAGGAGCTGCTGCATCCATCGGTGGATAAGATGCGGCAAAAGCGTCAAATATCCAGCGTCTTCACCGACATGGACATGCGTATGGGCATGCTGCTGTACGCCTTCTGCATTGTGATGATGGTGCTGGCCTTCAAGCTGTTCGCTTTTAAGGGATACCGCAAGAAGCCCTATGGACACGACCTGCTTGGCAAGGTGTAGGATGGACGGATGGATAATCCCCGACAAAGCTTCCGCTAATTCTAGAAAAAGACACCGATACCATGACCACCTCTCAGCAGAATGTTTTTGTTTTTTGTAATCGTGGCACTCAGCGTTAGGATTAAGATAAAAGTGTGTGTTGTGTATATATAAATATTATGAGCATTATCTTCCAGTTGTAGTCCCTAAAAAACATAATCGCTTTTTTACAACGACAAAGATGCACCAAATGTGATTTTTTTCACTCCACAAGTAAACGCTACCCTGTGTGCATTTGAATAAAAAAATACATATTAAACCAAACAAAAGAGCTTGTTTTGCAACGATGTAGGTACACTGGTTCCAGGAGACAGCAAGTAGCTCTCGAGATAACAGCTGAACAAGCGCAGAACTAGTGTTCCCGGGCAGATAACCAACTCGGCGGCGATGACCTACAGCAGTAATGATTGATAAGGCGAGATAGATGGGTTTATTTCACAAATTTCTGGAAATCGGGATGCCACCAGGGCAATACTTTGTACTTTCTAATGCGAGGATACTTCACGGTCACGGCCACACCTTGACTTCGGTGCTCGGCAAAGTCCAGCTCCAGATTATTGGCCCGCATGTCAGTGCTAAGGAGTTCTCTGGTGGCTTGCAGACGAAAACGAGCTCCCTGCTGGTCATAAGAAAGCTGAGTGGGCGTGGGCACATACTGGGGACATATGACAATCAACAGAACGACTCCCTCATTGGCATTTCCCTGAGCAGGAGCCAATTGGTAGCCCGCATCATCCTCGGCTAGAGTCTCCCAGTTGTTAACCACTGGTACTTTGGACTCCTCTGATTCATCCCGTACTTGCACATTGTGCAGGCGATTCCAGAACTTGTAGCACATTATCCACAGACACTGGTAGTTCTTCTGCCAGCAGGACACGAAGGTGCGCTCCAGCAGCCAGTCCAGATGGTAGCCCCTCTCCAGGCGGACCTTTAGCGGTCGGTGGCAGTGGAAGAGCGCCTCGACGACAAGCGATCTGAGGGCTCGTGTATCACAGTTGCGTATCTGCTCTAGTTGTAGCTGGGCGGGCAGGTCCAGGTTCCAGCCCGAGGTAACACCGGTGCAGTGGCGCCGGTACAAATTTCGCCAGAAGGCTCGTGAGGCCACCAAGCGTGCGGTTTCTTTGCATATCAGAGAGAAGGCCTGCACATCCTCCGGATCGATGCGCATGGCTATATGGAACCAGATATCATGACGCACATTAGTCACATTGCTATTTTTGTTGCTCTCCGCCATGGGCAAAGTGGGTGCAGTGACTCGGAGTGCTGACTTCTGCTTTACCTCCACGAAAACATCAGATTGGCGTGCATAAATGGCTGTGGACGGTGTGGAGTAGGTTTCACTTGAAATTTGGAGCATATTTGCAGCTGAAATGGCTTACCACATTTACCCCGGGTGCGGAAAAGTTTGTTTTGTATAAAATCATCACAATCGTCGGCATCCAAACCCATGTTGCGGCCCCCATCTAGCAGCAGGGTTGTCACCAAGTGGCAGAAACATGCACTTGGAGAAAAACTGTAGAGTTTACAATCAATTCACAGAACTATCGGTAAGGGAAAATATTTATGGCACAAAATGTTATGCTTTTTCGATTGATTTCTAAAATCACTGAATACCTAAAATTTATTTAATATTTTTGGTAGAGAAAACTTAAGAAATTAACAAAAAATGTCACTAATTTTAAACCGATATTTGGTTGTTTATTTTTTGTTTCAGATTTCGAATGGGAGACAACCCTGGCTAACAGCTGTTGCTTATTGTTGTTGGTATTTCAGGAAGTGTATTTAATTTATTGTTATTTTAATTTTATAAACCGGATTAACATTAAATAAAATGCGGAAGTACCAGCAACTCGTGTTGCTCCTGATCTCCTGCCTCAGCGTGGGCATCCTGCTGATGTACAAAACCGAGAACAACCGCTTGAAATATGTGCTCAAGTATGTAAACTTCTTTGGCCGAAACGATGCTGCAGTGCTGCGCCGCCTGGAGAATGGAACCAAGGAAGAAATCCCGCAGGCGGCTCTGTGGCGTCCACTGCCCGTTTGGCAGATGATTGGCGACAACTTCCATGCCTACTCCGCCTACTGGATGCGCAACGAGTTGGTGGCCGGTGGTGAGGCACATGTCCTTGTGGTCGGCAAGAAAGGAGCTGTTGTTGACTTCCGTTGCAGTTTGGACCTCCTCGCCGGACGGAGTGTTCAGGGAAAGTTCCGCTTTCAGCGGGACTCCATCGAGAGTCTGGTGGTGGACGACAAGTCCTCTAACTTCACCAACTATCACTTCTTCTGCCAAGTGAGCCGCGATTTCGGTCAGCCGGGTGGAGTCTCATTCACTGATATCACGTCCACCAAGAGCCCGGTAAAGCTGCGCCTGCGCAACCTAAAGCCTGTTGGTGTGAAGACCGATTTCACGGCGGTGCCAACTGCGCCGGTACGCCTGCCTGCCACAATTTGCGTGGATTTGGTGGGTTTTAACATGACCTCCCGGTTCGCTAGGAACGAGAACGCCCTGCTGCAGTTTTTCCTGTTTCACCAGGCCGTGGGCATTGAGCAGTTTTTGGTTTACAACTACGATGCCCTGCCTGATGAGGTGATTCGCCTGCTGGACCGCACCAACATCCATTTGTACGCCATGCCCTTCAACTTTCCCTTTCGGCAAGCGAATGCGACGGCTGCCAGGGTGCGTCAGCTGCTCCATACCGACTGCCTGCTCCGGAACTTGAACCATGCCAGCTTTACCCTTCTACTCCGTCCCAATGAGCTGTTCTTCCCCAACGCCCGCTTGACTTCCGCTCAGGCAAAGGGTTCACTGCAGCAGCAGTTGCGTCACTTTTCGGCCGAAACAACCCGCTTTGAGCTGGCCACCATGGCCGTGTGCTACGATGAGCGTAAGAAACTCCTGCCCGACAATGTCCAGTACGATCCCGAGAGAAGGGCTCCATACAAAACCTTGCTCAACCGGCTTGAGCTACCGCCTGCCCAGCTTTTGGCCAGCACCACTGAGGTGGAGCTCTCACTCTCCACCGGATTCGTGCACCGCTACGTGGACTGTGAGAATGTGGGCAGCGATGGGCTGCACGATTGGCGCAACGGGGTGCGCCAGGACTTTATGGAACACATCAACGTGCTGCGCAATGAGGTGGACCTGCTCATTTAAGTAATTATAGCCTAAGCTGTTGTAGTCTTTAGTTTGAGATTCTAGATGTAGCTCATAATTTGAGAGATTACTTGACTGCCATATTAAAGCAAAGAGGAGAGATTATACACAAATTGTATGTTTTGTAATATATAATAGACACTTATAGTCCTCGATTCGGCCCGACCGCACAAAATCCTGCTTTATTAATTCATAATAGTCGATCTCTTCGCTTACTTAGCCTAGGGGGGGTTACTTGAGGCGCTGCATAAGGGCGGCGTTCTTGAGGCCAGCCTTCTCGATGGTGGAGTTATCATCGCTCAGCTCACGAGTGGGAAACGAGGACACCAAGACAAAGTTACTGGTCGAGTACTGAGGGCGTGCACTGGAATTTTCAATAGAAGATTAATCAGAGCCCAGAATCAGCCCGAGAATCGAAATAATTACGTGCGGATAAAGCGACGAATGTCAGAGACCGTGTGCGACATATTAAACTGCGCAGCCAGACGCGAGCCATCGGCCAGACGTATCTGCAGCGTTGTGGACGGCGCTTCGGAATTCAAGTTGATTGCATCACGGGCACTGGCCTCCTGATTGGCGGCATCATCGGCAGACAATGTTGCTGCTGGTACTGTTGGCGATTCAGTGACCACATTGGCCACTGGGCTGCCCAGCTTCTGGCCCGATCCCTTGAAGGTTAGTGGCGCAGCCTGGCGCTTAAAGTCCTCATGGCGATGGTCCTCCACATCTACATTGACCATGCGGCCCATCTCCAGCAGCTCCTGTGGGATTTCCCTAAAAAATTTAAAAGAAAATAAAGATAAATCCTTGGAAAGCCTTAAAAAGAAGATCAACTCTTACCCGCGCATGACAGTCTCTAGGAATTCTTTGTTCTGGGGATCGTCATAGTGACGCAGCTCGCCGCCATCAATAGAGAAGCCCTGGCTCCAGAGCTTCAGCACCACCACAGGCTTGTTCTCGCCACCCTGTGCAGGCTTGCTGGTGCCCACAGCGGTGTGATCATTGTCAGTCATGCCCAGACGCATGCCCTGGCCCCAAACGTTGCCGCCACTGCTGCTGCCGGCACTGCTGGTGGATGGACCCACCTCGGCGATATTCTGCTCTTGGGCTGAGCGCATCATGTCGGTGAGCTGTTCGCGGAAATTCTTGCGCTTGGGCGGTCCCAAAACCTGTTGACCAGAACGATCCGAGCCGCCGGCATAGAAGGCTTGCTGTTCTTCGTCGCTCGAAGGCTCCTTGGACATGTCGCTGAGTGTGGCGAATCTAAAGGGAAATTTGAGATATTAAAAGGAGAAAAACCTCATTATTGTTGGCTTACTTTGGCTTGGCCTTTGGTCCGGAAGGTGCTACATCAGATGAACCTGAAGCGGCGGTACTAGTGCTCTTGGGAGCCGCCTTTGCCCCAGCTGCTGCCGGCGCTGCTGTGCTTGAAGTGGGTTTTGGGGCTGGATTGTCAGCATGTCCCACGGTTTGTGTTGGCAGCGGCAAGTCCGCCTGGGTGCTCCAGTAGTTGCCCAAAGCTTGCTGTAACCAGATTAAACGCGTCGTTTTCATTTGCAATTGCGCTGCATCATTGTTGTTGTCATCGTTGTTGCCGGCGATGCAAAGCTCACCTCTATGTCCCAGTCGCAGCTGGTCAGGTAGAAACGTGCCACGTTCTCATCCGTTCCAGTGATTTCTATGAATTGTGCAATCAAATCGCCGTGTGAGGCCATTTTGTGTGGCTTTTAAATTAAATTTTTCGACGTCTGACAAAGTGATTGACAAAAAATTGCAACCTTCAGTGTGACCCTACAAAAAAAGAATAAAAATGTCTGGCCAGTCGGGGCGAGCACAAAACACCTTCAGGCAGTGTTGGTAAATGTCTAAATTTGGCCAGACCTGGTCCCACTATTTTGCTTATTTGAAAATTAAAAACCTTTCTCCGTAGTTTTTATTGTCTTTTTGTTTTATTTGTCGTATATTATAAGCATTCACAATATTTATTAAATAGCAACTAAATAACAATAACTAGTTTAATGTATATAACGAAATATCCAAAGCTTTACATCACCCACCGATATGCAGTATAAAAAGTAAAAATGTTTTTTGGGTTTTGGTTTTTTGTTTTCTCTAATCAGTTGTTGAGCTTTGCTGAAAGTATATTAAAAAGTTAAATGTTTTAAATTAAATGATTTTAGTTGCCGAGTTAATTTTAATTTTAAGTTAATGACCCATTTTTAGTCGTGTTGTGAATGTGTAATGTAGAGTTAGTTTGGTGAGAAGGCCCAAAATAAAGAAACTCGCTCTGAGCTTATATATAAATTTATTGCAAACAATTCCAAATGTAATGTTTAAACTTCACTGGCGTTCACCTCCGGGCATCCTTCTTTCTAGCGCGACAGCTTGCCCTGGAAATATGCGGATTAGGAGGAGTATGTGGCGTGTCGTTTAAGCGTTTTGTGTTTGTTCCCAGGTGACGTGTGTGTTTTGTTTTCGTTGCATGAAAGATAATTGTTCATTTTAATGGGGTCACAAGTTGGCGAATGGTGTCGGGCTTACACAATACCTTTCTTACCTGCATGTAGAAGTTGGCCAGAACCGTCAGACCAACGCCCAAGCCCAGGGCCAAAACGTGACTCAAGTGCAGGTTGGGCAGCGGACGGCGCTTGCGCAGCAGGAACGAGAGCAGTGATCCCTTGCGGTCCGAGTAGGGAGGATAACGTGCCCTTAAATGGGGGGAAATGATTGAATTATTGAATATTTATTAATTTTAAATTGTAGATTATAAAATTCAGTCCAACTTACGATGCCAGCTTCTCGCCAAAGGCCGATAGATCCTTGCCCAGGCAAGATTTCTTGTGTGTGAAGGTATCGAAGCCATATTTGCCATGATAACTGCCCATACCGCTCATGCCCACGCCTCCAAAGGGCAAAACATCAACTAAGGGAGGGTAAAAGCATTCATTTTTAGGGTTTTTCTTACTTTTTGAAGTAAATATTAAACAAAAAATCAAGTCATTTACTGAAATCACAAATTTCCTTAAGGATTTATGTATTTTGTAAGCTATTTTTAAAGCCATGACTTCAATATTTGTATATTTTATATTTTATATAAAATTGCAACTTAATAAACTAGACCTCATCCACGTTTTCTAAATTCTATTAGCTATCACCACAAATAACTTTTAGCACTCTTAATACTAATTTATTATTTGCAATTACTTAGCCAAGCGTTAAAGTGTTAAACAAGCAAAAAATACATATAAATAAATACAAGCCGAGTCCGAAACTAATAAAACCCACTGAGCTTTCATTAAATATTCAAAACAATGTGCATAGTATATGTATACTTGATCGTTTTACGTTTTGTAGCTGTCTTTATCCGTGTTTTCCCTGTATTTGCATTTCAAATATTGTTTGGAGAGTGTGTGGCTACTACAGAAATTTGCAAAGTATTTAAAAAAAAAACCATAATAAAAGTGCAATAAATCTTAAATATTGTATATACATTTATAGCGAAAATACCTCCACAGTGCATTATAGTTTCGTTGCTGCAGAATCCACCGCTGGTTGTATTTGTCCTGAACTCTTTAACTAGCTTATTCGAGTTGGAGAACACGTAAATAACAAGTGGTTTCTCTCTGATTACGGGGGGGAGAAGGGTATAAATATGGATTAAGTACGATCAGCATCGTTAAGGGGCTAGCAAAGGGATAAGAATTACACATAAAAGACAAACGCAGCAGATCTGTTTTTGAATAATTTAGAACTATAACCAATATAAAACATGTAACAGATCTGCTGATCAATGATATATGTATGAATATATACAAATGCATGAACAATATGTAATGACTAGTGTACAGGGGGGGCTATTACTCAAAATTGGGGGTCTTGGATCATCGTCTACAATAAGGTAGAGACTAAACAGGAGTAATTAGAGTCACCAACACCAGATAAAAAGGTATACAAAGTTAACAGACAGAAGAAGAGCTATAATAACAGGTTCCGTTTCCGTTTGGAGTTACCGAAACCTTAGAAAAGCAAGCAACGAACTGTATCCACATCCACTAGCATCTCTCTCTCGTTGTGGTTTTTGATTTATATCGCTTTCTTACCGGCATAGTGCATTATCGTATCGTTCACGCACAGTCCGCCCGACTGTGTGCCGTTTATGAACAGATTCTGTACCTCTGTTTCCGATGTGAAAATATACAGGACAAGTGGACTCTCTCTAAAGAGAAAAACATGACGAATCGGACATATTTTGGTTGTTGTAATTGTTTTGTTGTTTTCATGAGCAGGAGCAGGAGGAGGAGTTTGATGATGAGACTAAAGACAAAGGCTCTATACAAATCAGCTCACAAACTGTCATACCTGGCATTGATGAACTTAATGGCATCGTAGGCACTCTCCACGGTGAAAATAGGCAAGATGGGGCCAAAGATTTCTTCCTCCATAATGGGATCATTGGCTTTAACGTCCACCAGAATGGTGGGCTCAATGAAACGCTCACTGGCATCGTATTTGCCGCCTACAGCAACGCGTCCCGACTTCATCAAACCAAGCAACCGTCTGTAATGAAACCAGAAAAAAATTACTTGAGTTTCCTCGAAACACCAGACTTCCTCTTACTGAAAGTTATTGGCATTGATTATGCGACTGAGATCCGGACTGCTTTGGATATTGTCGCCATACCACTCCTTCAGCACATCCTTGGCCTCGGCAATAAACTTGTCCTGTACTTCCTTGGAGCAGAGAATGTAGTCGGGAGCAATGCAGGTCTGGCCGCAGTTGATGAGCTTGCCCCACAGGATACGCTTGACGGCTGTGCGCAGCTCTACAGACTTGTCAATGTAACAGGGACTGTAAAATGAAGCAGAGTAGAGTTGGAGTTCAAAAGAAAAGCGCTTGCTTGTGCTCACCTCTTGCCACCCAGCTCCAAGGTAGTGGGGGTCAAGTGCTTGTTGGCCGCCGCATGGATGATCTTGCCCACGCGCGTGGAGCCCGTGTAGAAGATGTAGTCAAAGCGCTGGTTGAGCAGCTCAGCGGTCTCAGTGGGTCCACCGCAAACAACTGGATAGCAGTCCTAAAAAAGGAAAAGATAAGGGGTCCAGTTACTCAAATGCTGACAGTTTCCTGAAACTCTTCTTCCTTCATCTCTCTTTTTGAACTCCACGTCTTGATAACTAGTTTTAAAATATCATTTGTATCATAAAAAACAACCATAAAATCAGTTTGCAAATTCGACAGCGCTCTAAGTTATGGAGTTTCTGCGCTGCATCTTAATTTTCTTTATAAATATTTATGCTTGCTACTGCGCTGCCGTATTAATGAATCTTTTTAAGCTGAAATTCACATGATAATCTTAGGAGAAGCTTGCAATTTCTATCCCTAAAATTCAAAAATTTAAAAGAAATTCTCCTGCTTGCCATATGCTAATAGATTTAAGAATAAATATTAACTTTAGCTTTAGTTGAAGAATTTCGCGCTTAGTCAAGTTCAACAACAATGACTCAGACTCACATTATCCAAATATTTTGGAATGACATCGGCAATGAACTTGGCGCAGTTGGCGGCAATCTCGCTGGGCTTGATCACCACACAATTTCCGGCCGCTATGGCGGAGGCCACCGGCACCAGGAGCAACTGCAGCGGATAGTTCCAGGCACCAATTACCAAGACCACGCCAAAGGGATCATTGTAGATTTGTACATCATCCATCAGGTTCACAAACGGCTTGGAGGGCTGAAAATAATTATTAAAATTTTTAATTAAAGATATAAAAAGTAAAAGAGCTTCCCAGCTCACCTTATCGGCCTGAATCCATTCATCTAGATGAAAAAGAATGTGCTTGATGTCGTTCTTCATGAACTCGGTCTCCACAATGAGACTCTCCTGCTTGGGACGCCGGAGATCCGCCTCCAAGGCGCTGATAATCTCATTCTCATGCTCCTCATAGCAACGCAAAAGATTCTCCAGCTGCTTGCGTCTGATCCGGCGACAGAGACATGGAGGTAGACACAAAAACGAAATCCAAGAAACGAAAATAATTAATGGACAAAATGATGATGATGATGGGACAAGTTCCGCGGTAGGAGTGCGAAACAAAGACCAAAACAAAATCAATACTAATCACAATGCACAAGAGATCGCTTGGCGCTTAGCGCTTGACGCTTGGGGAAGGTCAATGTTAGCTTTACGGCCGGTTATGTGATTCTACGATTCTACAATTCTCAGGTGTGACTCAACTCCGGGCCCGGGCCAATTACTCTGTATAGAACCGTGTAAACCGGCTTGACAACCCGCTGCTGTCTGTGTTGATCTACTTTGATCAGGCCAATAAGAGGTGGTGATAATGCCCCCAGGAGGAGAAGGCCGTCAAGGTGATCCACAGCAGCAGGTGAACAGCCCCCGAGGTGCAATTGAATTGAATTATTTGCTCATGACAAACATAAAACCATATAAGCGGACAAACCACCGATCGTCGATCGCTGTGAATATAAATAAAGCAATTAGCCGCTCCGTGTCCGATTCAGTAACTCATATTCGAACTACAGGCCAACTTCCCTATAGTTCCCTTTAAAATGGTTGCATAACTTGAACTAAATTGGGTGTTAAATCGTTTGAAGAGGCTGCCTTTTACGTTAAACAAGGAAATTAAAAGTTAAGGAAATATTTGGATTTACTATTTCTTGGTGAAGCAATAGAGACTTTAACTTGGATCTTAAATATTAAATCAAGAACTATCTAGAACTTCTTGTCCTACCCAAAGACCCCCTAAATTCAAACTCTAACCAAGCCAAGTTCCATTTTATGAAAGCGCA